TCTTGTTTGGTTCAATAAAGTGTAAATGTCTCTCACTTTTACAGATTCCTTCAGTTCTGCCTTGTAATAAAAGTAAATTTAGAGATTTCTTTATGAAAGAAAAAAGTAGTTCAAGTGTGACAGAGGTGACGGTTATCCAATCACAACGAATATAACAAGGTCAACCTTGTACGACACACGTGTGACGTACCGTGTTAGTATCTTACCACCTGTATCTTCACCACATGGGTAACATAGTCATATATGCAATGACTTTTGTCATGTTTGTTCTCTTAAAGTGTACGAAAACATTGATTGTGATTCTTGTTCAAATATCGACCGCCTCCGTGGTCTAGTGGTAGAGCGTCCGCCCGGAGAGCGGAAGGTCCAGGGTTAGATCTCCGGCCGCGTCATACCAAAAGACGTTAAAAGATGGTAGTTGTTGTTACCCTGTCTGGCGCTCGGCATTAAGGGGCTAAAGCAAGGACTGGTCAGCTCGGAGTCAGTACACTGTGTTTGAGTGGGGTATTCATATTATACTGCGGCATGGTATCTCAGTGAGCTAGCACTATAAATCAACATTAGTCCGGACTAGTACAAGTAGCCACACACACACAAACACACACGTACATGCACGTCGCTATATAAGTGCAATAATCTTGAACCCAATTTCACCTCACCTCTTCAATTTTCCTGTGTACGTACACACGTCGTAATATACGTAATAAGTATGTAAATGTCCAAGGGAAAGTGCTTGATCGGAATCCAAAACATATGTATTCGTGGACTAAAGCTACCGGCGCAATGGTGCAGCAGTGTGGGACAAAGGTTTTCATTGCATTAACGATGTCACGATCTGTCCAATTCTGCAAAGCTTTACCCACTCAGAGCACTATAAGTTCTCTTACAAATGACGTATACATTCGTACATTCTGTCTAAAATAAAACGCAAAGCTCTTATGAAATATACAGGATGTCAATTGACAAGGAATGAAGTTTCAACATCCTTAGCTACGTTTTAATATGAGGTTCAGTGAAACAAACTCATAAAGATCCTTCAGTCATCAATTATTCTTTATCGATTCCTTTATTGATTCTTTTGAATGCAAACCGTTTCAGAAATCAAATATGTACCACATTACCACTTACACATGAAAATCTTGCAAGTTGATATCAGAGGTGAGATGAACTGGGGTTGAACGCCGCGTTCACGATAATTGCACTTATATAGCGACGTGCATGCACATATGCATGCGTGCATTCGTGTGAGTGTGTGCGGCTGCTTATACTAGTCCGGACTTATGCCTATGTAGTAGTGCTAGCCCACTGAGATACCATGCCACAGTTTAACATGAATACCCCCACTCAGACAATATACTGCCTCCGAGCCGACCAGTCTTTGTTTTAGCCCCTTAACGCTGAGCGCCAGGCGGGTAACAACAAGTACCATTTTTTAACGTATTTTGGTATGACTTGGCCTGGAAGTTGATATCAGAAGGTATGTATTGCAAGAAAGTATGTACATGCTATCTGGTATGAGGTAAGATATATCAGTCGACTGACAAGTAGATATTAGATCCAACTAATTTGTAAATAATAAGATGGAAAAATCAATTATTGTTTATAATGACACGACAAAGGTGCAATATGGTCTTGTATTCTAACATCAGAATACAGCATTTGCTTGAAAGGGAGTCATACATGTCTAGTCGAGTTTTGAGCAAACGGTTTAATTCGATGATAATGGCGTGACGGCACAGGGTTATAGCTAGGAAAGCGTCACTGTTTGAATGATCCCTGTGAAGCATGAAGCGGTGACGCGACTGTAGACGAAGATGGCTGGGACGCGTGAGTGTATCCGTATTATTGGCGCTCAGACGAGGCTGACATAAAGACAAAGACATTCAGTCAGCTGTATCTGTGACACGAGACCAGGGTTTCCTGGAGACAGGATGTGATGCCGATGGGGAGATTCAGTTTGTCCTGTATGTCCTGGGGACTGTAGGCAAGGGTGGCAGGGACACAGGTGTGATACACGAGGAGATTCAGATAGTGGTGACTGTTCTGGAGACCGGGTGCCATCGGTGTTGCAGGATATGTTCACCTTTCCGCGAAAACCTGGAAAACCTTTGGAAACAAGGATATTCACTATCATCATATTTTAAGTTTGCAGCCCAGGTGTATTTGGCGATAGCTGCAATCAGTTCTGCCATTGCTTCCAAGCAACGTGTGACCCAGTCAGTGGTGTGTGTCCTGGAGACTGTAGACCAGGGTGGCAGGGAGACAGGTGTGATACAGGTGAGGAGATTCAGTGTGTTGTGTGTGTCCTGGAGACTGTAGACCCGGGTGGCCGGGAGACCACTGTGATACAGGTGAGGAGATTCAGTCGGTGGTGTGTGTCCTGGAGACTGTAGACCCGGGTGGCAGGGAGACAGGTGTGATACAGGTGAGGAGATTCAGTCAGTGGTGTGTATCCTGGATACCGGGTGCCACTGAGGGGGCAGGATATGCTCACCTTTCAGCAAAAACCTGTAATCAGCACTAGTGATTCATGAACACATGCTCATGGTATTGTCGAAATCGTAAAATGTTTCAGTGCTGATCTTTTCATAATTATGGAAAAGATTTTGTCGCTTTTATTTACAGTTATTGTATTTTGAGGAACTGTAGGGTAAACTATGAAATGTAAATGATTTATTTCATGAGACCTATCAGTAAGTATTTCAAAGTATACATACACAGTAAACAGTCAGACAAGCCAGATCATTGGTTTTAAAAAGACCAATTTGAGCCTCCAAACATGTTTTTAAGAGAAATAGCATGTTTGACATATAAAGACAAGGCTAAATAATGACAGATAGTCATTTCTGGAGTTAATGTTGCTTCATGCCGTTTGTTATTCTCTTGAAAATATTTCGTTATAAACTGTAAATGTTAATTTTAAACTCGTCAATCGAATGTTACTTGACCAGCGTGTATTCCAACAGTGGTCTCGGAGTTTTCAAGAATATTTTGGGTTGAAGAGGATTTTGTATATAGTCAAATCTATACATGTATGATACAAAATTTTAGTTACCCAAAATATGTTTTGTTACTTTTGTTAATATGTTTTTAAGATTTTGCAAACACGAAACTACTTTTTTAGTCGCAAATACAAGGTGTGGTGAACCGTCCCAGTGTGTTAGATAGGGATAATTTTCCTTTCAAGGTTTTACATTTTTAATGAAATACCTTGATTTTCCCGCAGATAACTACACCTAAAATATATAATATATAGGACAGGATACGAAGATATCCCGTTGCGGGAGAAAAGGATATATTTTCACGAGTGGTTACGCCAATATTTCTCCTTTTCAACCGTAACTCGATGAGAGAAACATGATATTTAACTCGAAATCTCCTCTAGGTAATGTGTTTATGACTTGGTGCTTGCTCCACAGTGTGCTCAAATAGAAGCTATGGGCCGAAGTGCAGCAACATGTGCACAGATAGGAATTGTGCAGGAGACTCGCCATGTGATCACATAAGCGGGACGTGTGTTTCTGGGTGTAAAGCTGGATGGATGGGTGACGACTGCATAGAGGGTAATTATCGTAGTTTACATTTGTAAGACATTCAAACTTGTCGCAAGTGTATTCCATTGTTAAGGCTACTGACTCTCCTTTACAAGTGACTTAACATACTTATCTAGCCATAAAAAGAACATTTAATACGCTGCTATTTGTAATCCGTAAATGGCATAGTTACTTCTCCACAGTGTGCTCAATTGAAAGCTATGGACAGAACTGCCATAACTCGTGTACTGACAGAAAGTGTGCTGGAGATTCGACCTGTGGTCACATAAACGGGACATGTGTTTCCGGGTGTGCGCCAGGTTGGATGGGTGAAGACTGCAAAGAAGGTGACCATCTGAATAACCATTTTAACGTATTACTCACAATGTTTCAACAGTGTTATTAGCCTTTAAAACATGTTGTTGTTGTTTAACGCCCCACTCAGCAATATTCCAGCTATATGACGGCGGTCTGTAAATCATCGAGTCTGGACCAGACAATCCAGTGATTAATATCATAAGCATCGATCAAAGCAATTGGGATCGATGACATGCATCAACCAAGTCAGCGAGCCTGACCACCCGATCCCGATAGTCGCCTTTTACGACAAGCATAGTCACCTTTTACGGCAAGCATCGGTTGCTGAAGACCTATTCTAACCCGGAATCTTCACGCGTCTTTAAAACATGTGGTAGTATTACTAATACATGTGAAGAACGAATACATATCTTTAGCATTCAGTGGTGTACGCTACCGCTGACAACCGTCTGTAAATAAACGAGGTTTGAAGTATAAAAACAGCATTCATTAAAATAAATGTACCTTGTAATCAAGCCTTTATCTCGAGTCGAATTGAAACTGTTGCACCCCGTGATATTTGCAAGAAGATGAGGGCTGCATAAGTTTTATTCTACCTATATGACGTTTGCCTTTAATCTATTCAATCTGGACCAGACAAACCATTAACCGCTGTCAATCTGAAGACGAAGCATTATCACCCTGTCATGGTCGCCTCATACCACACGCATAGGTTGTAGGGACATGTATGAAGAAAAATGTTTAACATGAATTGGCCAAATGTACCGGCATGAAGTTCAAAAGAATGTATTATTTTGTCAAAAATCAAGGTGTGATCTACAATGCAAATCACAAAGATACTAATTGATCCTACTATAAATACATGTTAAAATACAATGTAATCAACCAAACACCATGTTCAACTCTATTTCACCCCTGTATGGTGCCTGGTCATGGCTTAAGTTTGAGATGAACAGAAACAGATTATTCATACATTGTAACCAATACCCATTTAGTAAACATTTCACATTCTGTTTATTCTGTTTTATCTGAACTTGGGACCGGTGTTAAATACGTTTTAAACTGGTAGTTATCATTACATTATTAGCATTATTATTATAATCATAGCAACATATATACTCTGTTCATGACATTAACATTGCTCCGCAGGGTGCTCAAATGGCAGCTATGGACAGAACTGCAACAAATCTTGTACTGACAGGAAGTGTGCTGGAGACTCGCCATGTGATCACATTAGAGGAACATGTGTTTCCGGGTGTGCGCCAGGTTGGATGGGTGAAGATTGTAGGGAAGGTGACCATCTGAATGAATATTTTAACGTTTATTGACAATCTCTCAACAGTGTTATTAACCTTCATAACATGTTGTCGTTTAAATAACTTTCGGTGCAAATAGTGATGTACTCAACCATTGAGGTTTGAACACGCATTAAGACATTAAAAACAGCATTCATCAAAATGTATGCTTTACAAAAGGAACCTACCATAACATGTTCAAAACAATGATTATCTCGAGCCGTTTAGAAATCACGCAGAACGTTACAACCAATCATATTTTGTGTTGTAACAAATCATATTAAGCTAGAACCAGGTTTTGTATTGTATTAGCAATATTTCACCTTTATGACGTTCGCTTGTCTGTAATTGAGTCTGGACTAGACTCTTACTACCCTTTCACCGTCGGCTCTTATTAAAAGTATAGGTTACAAGACTATCTCGTAAGGACACTGATATCAAGTAAATTTCCCTTTGAAAATATCCTTTTTATTTAAATTCCACATGTGACTATAATGCATATTACTGAGATTTTGAATTTCATAATAGGCATAACAATATTTAGCAAATGGGTTCTAATATGTTCGTGACATTGTGACTTCTTCACAGAATGCTCAAATGGAAGCTATGGACAGAACTGCAACAAATCTTGTACTGACAGGAAGTGTGGTGGGGACTCGCCATGTGATCACATTAGAGGAACATGTGTTTCCGGGTGTGCGCCAGGTTGGATGGGTGAAGATTGTAGGGAAGGTGACCATCTGAATGAATGTTTTAACGTTTTACTGACAATCTCTCAACGGTGTCATTAGACTTCATAACATGTGGTCGTTTAAATAACTTTCGGTGCAAATAGTGATGTACTCAACCATTGAGGTTTGAACACGCATTAAGACATTAAAAACAGCATTCATCAAAATGTATGCTTTACAAAAGGAACCTACCATAACATGTTCAAAATATGATTATCTCGAGCCGTTTAGAAATCACGCAGAACGTTACAACCAATCATATTTTGTGTTGTAACAAATCATATTAAGCTAGAACCAGGTTTTGTATTGTATTAGCAATATTTCACCTTTATGACGTTCGCTTGTCTGTAATTGAGTCTGGACTAGACTCTTACTACCCTTTCATCGTCGGCTCTTATTAAAAGTATAGGTTACAAGACTATCTCGTAAGGACACTGATATCAAGTAAATTTCCCTTTGAAAATATCCTTTTTATTTAAATTCCACATGTGACTATAATGCATATTACTGAGATTTTGAATTTCATAATAGGCATAACAATATTTAGCAAATGGGTTCTAATATGTTCGTGACATTGTGACTTCTTCACAGAATGCTCAAATGGAAGCTATGGACAGAACTGCAACAAATCTTGTACTGACAGGAAGTGTGGTGGGGACTCGCCATGTGATCACATTAGAGGAACATGTGTTTCCGGGTGTGCGCCAGGTTGGATTGGTGAAGATTGTAGGGAAGGTGACCATCTGAATGAATGTTTTAACGTTTTACTGACAATCTCTCAACGGTGTCATTAGACTTCATAACATGTTGTCGTTTAAATAACTTTCGGTGCAAATAGTGATGTACTCAACCATTGAGGTTTGAACAAGCATTAAGACAATAAAAACAGCATTCATCAAAATGTATGCTTTACAAAAGGAACCTACCATAACATGTTCAAAACAATGTTTATCTCGAGCCGTTTAGAAATCACGCAGAACGTTACAACCAATCATATTTTGTGTTGTAACAAATCATATTAAGCTAGAACCAGGTTTTGTATTGTATTAGCAATATGTCACCTTTATGACGTTCGCTTGTCTGTAATTGAGTCTGGACTAGACTCTTACTACCCTTTCACCGTCGCCTCTTATGAAAAGTATAGGCTACAAGACTATCTCGTAAGGACACTGATATCAAGTAAATTTCCCTTTGAAAATATCCTTTTTATTTAAATTCCACATGTGACTAAAATGCATATTACTGAGATTTTGAATTTCATAATAGGCATAACAATATTTAGCAAATGGGTTCTAATATGTTCGTGACATTGTGTCTTCTTCACAGAATGCTTAAATGGAAGCTATGGACAGAAGTGCAACAAATCTTGTACTGACAGGAAGTGTGGTGGGGACTCGCCATGTGATCACATTAGAGGAACATGTGTTTCCGGGTGTGCGCCAGGTTGGATGGGTGAAGATTGTAGGGAAGGTGACCATCTGAATGAATATTTTAACGTTTTACTGACAATCTCTCAACGGTGTCATTAGCCTTCATAACATGTTGTCGTTTAAATAACTTTCGGTGCAAATAGTGATGTACTCAACCATTGAGGTTTGAACAAGCATTAAGACATTAACAACAGCATTCATCAAAATGTATGCTTTCAAAGGCACCTACAATAATATGTTCAAAACAATGTTTATCTCGAGCCGTTTAGAAATCACGCAGAACGTTACAACCAATCATATTTTGTGTTGTAACAAATCATATTAAGCTTGAACCAGGTTTTGTATTGTATTAGCAATATTTCACCTTTATAATTATGACGTTCGCTTGTCCTTAATTGAGTCTGGACTAGACTCTTACTACCCTTTCACCGTCGCCTCTTATTAAAAGTTTAGGTTACAAGACTATCTCGTAAGGACACTGATATCAAGTAAATTCCCTTTGAAAATATCCTTTTTATTTAAATTCCACATGTGACTATAATGCATATTACTGAGATTTTGAATTTCATAATAGGCATAACAATATTTAGCAAATGGGTTCTAATATGTTCGTGACATTGTGACTTCTTCACAGAATGCTCAAATGGAAGCTATGGACAGAAGTGCAACAAATCTTGTACTGACAGGAAGTGTGCAGGAGACTCGTCATGTGATCACATAAGAGGGACATGTGTTTCCGGGTGTGCGCCAGGTTGGATGGGTGAAAACTGTAGAGAAGGTGGTTATCGTTGTTTTACAGTTTGAGTTAAACATAGGAATATATATCGAACGTGTATTTCTCGACGTGTTGAGTCTCCTTTATGAGTGAGTATTGATAGTGCATATGTAACTTATTGAGGTGAACTATTACTTAAATAAATTTATATTTTCTATGTCGGTAACACCTCATATCACAACTTAAGGTTTACACGATAATGTTCCAGTCTGTGACACTGGACGTTACGCAGCTAACTGTGACAAGACTTGCGCCTCCAGACACTGTGTGGGGAATTCTTCCTGTAACTCAACAGGGGACTGTGACACTGGGTGTGAGACAGGGTGGACAGGAGCGGACTGTACAGGTAATGATGTTATGTCACGAGCGAGGAAGTGCGTAGAGAGCGTGGCAGAGGCTTTTGGGTCAGATGGATAGATAAATAGATCTTCTTTATTTCCTCTATGTCATGAAGAGTACAAGGTATACAGTGATAAAACAACATTTATGGGATAAGTGTGTCACACAAAAATATATATGTATATAACATATATATCGGAAGAAGTTCATATACACATGTATCATAATGATTTTTTGTGTAATTAAATGGACTATTAGCATGTGCTATTTACAAGTGTACACTTGACAAAGTACACACAATTTATGGATCAACTACTTTGATACTGTAGAGATCCTTATACCGTTGTAAAGCACGACTGAATGAGCTGACTGACTGAGGTTGGGGATTTATATTTAACGTGCGCTTTCCGACTAACAGCGTATGTAGCACACGGGATGAATGAGCTTAACTTAACTGAATGAGCTACATTGTACAGAATATATATAGTAGGTGGAGGATTAACAGTAACAACAATTGCATACATGAGTAAGTAATGACAACAGAAGGATGATACTGTCAAAACATGATGGACAGAGAACACATAGCTGGAAGCCAATGGGACATGAAGCCAATTAGACAGAAAAAGGTTGTATAGGTGTAGTGATTATTGCTTAATGAGTTCATAGTAGGTGGATGGGGTGAAATAGCCTTGATCTCTGTTGCTTGGCTTGTCGCGGCGTACTTAATATGTTCATTTGTGACCTGTACATATCTTGGATAGTCTACGACATATGTAACGTATTGAGATGAACTATTACTTTAATCCCTTTATATTTTCTACGTCGGGTACAACTCATATGACATATGTACATAGTTACCTCCTTTGTTACCCTATCGCATGTTTGTATAATTTTGACTCTCCTTTACAAGTGACTTAACATACTATTATAGCCATAAAAAGAACATTAAACACTCTGCTATTTGTAATATGTAAATGACATAGTTACTTCTTCCACAGTGTGCTCAAGTGGACGCTATGGACAGAAGTGCAACAACTCATGTACTGACAGAAAGTGTGCTGGAGATTCGACCTGTGATCACATAAACGGGACATGTGTTTCCGGGTGTGCGCCAGGTTGGATGGGTGAAGACTGCAAAGAAGGTGACCATCTGAATAACCATTTTAACGTATTACTCACAATGTTTCAACAGTGTTATTAGCCTTTAAAACATGTTTGTTTGTTTGTTGTTGTTAAATGCCGCACTCAGCAATATTCCAGCTACATGACGACCGCCTGTAAATCATGGTCTGGAAAAGACAATATACGCGGCAAAAAACCTCAAGTTTCAATATTCATAAGATATTTTTGTCTCAAACAGAGTTGATTGTACGATTCCGACTATATCATGAATATGTGTTTATGAGTCACTATCAAAGAGTGATGATGTCAGGTGTTCGCGAAAAATGTGAGTGTATCATGCTCCATGCACCCGTCACAAACACATGAAAAGACAAGTCAGTTGTTCACTTGAAGAGAGTAGGGAACATCTGATAAGTCAAAATCGAGAATTGCATCTGATATAATTTTTTTACTGAGGCCTTAAATGTTGTAACCTTGATCAAACAATTTCTGACTCTGATCTAAATATGAAACAGATGAAGCTGTCTCACTGGTCTCCTTTAGTTCCAGTTCACGTGGGTAAATCAGTGGAAGAGAATTGGCTATTTGACCATTATTGAACGATATCAGATCATCGATATACCTGAAGCTCAGGTTAAACTTCTTGGCCAAATTACCTTGTCTTGAAGCATGTCGCAAGCTTTGAATATTTTCATCATACAATGTTTGCATGTCTGACAAGCCGAATGCAATGTACATATATTAATATCCATTTTTGTTTCTTCGTGTATTTTGTGAAGTGTTATACTTGCAGTACAAACCCAAGCTTCTGCCTCCCCGGCTGTGCCTGTCGCGGCAGTTGGTGGTGCTGTGGCCGGCCTTGTCCTGTTGGTCCTGGTGCTGGTCCTCCTCATCATCAGGTCAGTTTCACCCGCCTGGAAACAATGAACTAAATTGCTCATCAAAGTGTAAATAGGATACTGGTGACCATGTGCTTTTACTTTGTTTGTGACACATGTGGGGTATTTGATAGTGATTCATAAACACATGCTTATGATATAGTCGGAATCGTATAATCGACACTGCTTTATACAGATATTCTATTGGATATGGAAAGGGCTTTGTCGCTTTATTTAATTAATTAATTAATTATAGGAGGAGAAGAAACAGAGGGAATAGGCCCCCTGATGGACCAGTATTTGATGAGACGTCCCCAAGGAATAGAAAGCTCCTAGGTAATGATATGTTTGTTATCCAGCTTATGCATTATGGCCACAGCGGCTTAACTTTCGTATAATATATATGAGTTATATTGCAGTTGATACTGTTCTACAGTCGTACTAACGCTGACGATGTGATGTCGATTGGCTTACACACAGCTTTTAAACGTGGTAGGTACGTGTCAATATTGACATGATTTGTCATGGTGTATTACATGCGTTCTTTGATATAATCTTCAGAAAGAAGTTACTATTCTGCTGGTCATGGTTTCAGGTGCTGATAACGTTTACATGAATGTTGGGTTTGAGGAGAACAAATCCGTGCCCAAGAAAGGACACACTCTGACTATTGCTGACAAAGATCACGGCCATCAAGAGCATACACAGGAAGCTGATTCCCAGAGTGTGGCCAACCAAGAGGAAGACGACAAGGACGCCCATGTTAACATACATCCGAAGGGGGAAGCAGTACCGGGTGTCTCAGGATGTAGCTATTACAACCTGGGCGACCTTGGTCACGTGATTCCGTTGTCTTCTCTTGAGGCAAGAGTACTTGAAATTAAAAACCATCCCCAAGAGGCATTCGAGGTAAAGTTGTGTTTTATTGAAAGACAAATGTCTGGTCTGTATAGCAGTCCTCTTCCTCAAACCAGTGTAGAATGTTGAGAAGGACAACGATAATACAAGTGCAGGTCATTTATTTCTGAGTAAAAATAATAAACAAATAATCCCATGCAGGATAAATGCACAGATGTTTATAGTTGTTATGGTACGAAAAGTTGTATATGTTCTTTTCAGTTGACGGTTTTCGTGAACAGTGTTTTCCTCAAATTCTTTTCAGTTTTGCCATGATCACGAATTTTGTGAACAGTATTTTGAGCAGGTTCTTTTCACTTTTGCTAAGATGTCGGTGTTTGTAAATAGTTACTCTGTATGTCTTAGCGCTTGCCAGGCGGATTTACCCACAGCTACGGAGAATCTCAGAAGGCAGGGAACAAAGGGAAGAACAGATTCAAGGGATACTATCCATGTGAGTATGATAGAACGTTCTTGCCTGTCCACTTATCAAATATAACATGGCTTCCTGCTGAACACGCAATCTTCCATTTCCTAGATGACTACAACCGTGTGGTATTGCACGACGACAGTGACGACAGTAGAGGCGACTACATCAACGCCAGCTACCTAGATGTGAGTTTTGATTTGTCATTATTTAAATAGCATGGTTATGAAGTTGTTTTCTCGTTCTTGTCCTTGTTAAGGTTACATACCAATTCCCGCAATACAGTAGTACCATGAGCCCATGTTATGCAAATACACACAGTAAATGTCCATTGCTCGTGTTTTACATTCAAGCATACAATTTAGAAGTGAACTTAACATGAAACATTCTAGTTATGAGTAACATCGTTTTTATCATTTCTCTTTCAGGGATATAAAACTGACAATCGATACATTGCAGCACAAGGTAGTACACATGCTTATTGATAACAGCCGAAAACCCGCCAATTGAATAAACACAATTGATAACAACATTACCATTATCCAATAAATGTGTGTCAGTCTAGATGTATAGATTCAGTGTCAGGTAACGCCTTCATACGTTTTGATATCTATAACTATACGGTGTATTGTTAAATCAAATAACAGTAGCTGTGTCCTTGTCAGAATGATATTTAAGTAACGATAATAACGCTTTTCCTAGGTCCTTACAAGTCGGACATTGTCGAGGATTTCTGGAGGATGATTTGGCAAGAAGGTTGCACGTCTATTGTCATGGTAACGGGGTTGGTGGAAGCCGGCAAGGTAGGACAAGATTTGTTTGAAGGAAGTGAACCATGAGTGGTTTGGGTAAAATGTTTAGAAATTATTGTGTGAATTTTGAACTTAAGTGCTTGGGCGAATCTCAATCGCTCACATTACTTATTTATAACCTACTTCTATACAGACAATTATTTAATCATGTAATAGAGCACAGCACTGAGCATATTCCCCACATTGGTACATTGTTTACATTGGTTCACAGGTGAAGTGCCTTCAGTATTGGCCTTCGGGGAAAGTATCAGAGAAGTTTGGTGACGTTATGGTTACGGTGGAAACAGAGACACGACTAGCCAACTACACCATCACCAAGTTGGCTGTTGAGAATGAAAAGGTGGACGTGAATCAGTCTGTACATCCTTGGTCATTAGCATTAGTTATATTTTCAAGACATTGGAATCGGGTTTGGAGTAGGTTATACATAATAGAAAAGAAATAAACACTAGAGTACAGGTACAAAGGGAATAACGTTGAGAGACATACATGAGTAAAGAGAAAGTAAAATGTATAAATATTTTCTGTTAAAACTGTTAACACGAATTAAACTACTACCCAAATTTCATGTAACAATCATTGAATAAATGTAACCAATGTGTGGGTGTGTGTGTGTGTGTGTGTGTGTGTGTGTGTGTGTGTGTGTGTGTGTGTGTGTGTGTGTGTGTGTGTGTGTGTGTGTGTGTGTGTGTATGTGTGTGTGTGTGTGTGTGTGTGTGTGTGTGTGTGTGTGTGTGATTGTACTATGACCGGACTAATGCGGATTTTAGAGTGCTAGCCCTAGGAAATACCATGCGGCAGTTTAGCATGAACATCCCGCTCAGACACAGTAGACTTTACTCCAATTCGACCAGTCCTTGTTTTAGCCCCTTATTGCCGTGCGCTGGGGATCAAACACTAAACCTTTAATATAACATTGTTTAAATATTCCTTTGGGTCGCATTTGACATATTTCAGGAAAGCGAGAGACGGGATGTCTACCACCTTCACTTCAGCAGCTGGCCAGATCATGGTGTTCCGGACACTGCTGCCCTGCTGGACTTCATGTGGAGGGTCAAGGTCATATCTGGACAACAAACAGAGCCGATCATAGTCCACTGCAGGTGAAAACACTACACCGATAAAAGGGATGCCTCTGTTTTCATGTCTCTATCTATGTCTATACATCTCTACATGAAATTCACTATTTTTACTTGAACCATATGACATTTCTTACAGAAAGGGTTCGTCGGATTTATATACACTTGTGTGCATCCATTGCACTGATTAATAAAACGTTACATATGGCAATATTTAATTATGCCGGAAGCCTTTTTGTAAGACACTCATTCGACCTTCACTGCCCCTGAGGAGAACAGAACATATTAATTGCAGACTATTGTATAGACAGAGAAGATATGGCTGAAACAGAATTTTACCACAGACAACGAAACACTTGTTCCTGTCTAATAATATTTAGAGCCAATTAATCTTCCCCTTACCATTATTCGCATGTTTTAGTTGATTTACTGTCTCTTGTACTCAGTGCTGGTATAGGTCGGACAGGGACGTACATCGCTATTGAGAGTCTTGTGGAACAGGCAAAGTCAGAGGGCGTAGTGGACGTCGTCAGCTTCGTTTCAAACATGAGAGGGCAGAGGAAGAACATGATTCAGACAAAGGCGAGTACATGCAGTCGTGGTTTCTTATTTTGTACTACATGTTATGACACAAGGGTCATCAGAAATTGTTTCAATGAGAACTTTAAGGAATGCAAATACAACACTTTCATTTTTTTGTTTAAAATCGTCCTAAATGCTGAAATCTAAAAGTGACAGTGGCATAAATTAACTTATTTCCTCTGTGCATGTGTTTCTGTCATAAGATATGATATATACTTCAGTAAGAAAAACTGAAAAGTTGAGAAAAGTGATAAATACTTATAGAGAAAAATACTTGACCCAGGTGTAATCTTGCACTTTCAAAAGCGGTCCTATAGTTTTCAAAAGACTTTTTGGTTAAAGTTGATTTTGGATATAATCATATCGATATGTATGATGCAGAATTTTCGAGACACTAAATGTGTTTGTTTTTTTACCTTTGTTTATAGTTTTTAAGACTTTGCAAACACAAACTACTTTGTCGAAAATACAAGGGGTGTCTGATAAAAAGAATTTAGGTTTATAGGTTTCACATTTGTCATAAAATAATTTAATTTTCCGGTAGACAACTACAAAAAAAGTATATCTAAATAGGATATTCCATGTGTCTCGTGAAATATCCTCTATTTATTATTGTTATATACATGTACGTGTTTCTTGGATTATTTAATGTGTTACAATTGCTGCAAAATAATAATATCTATTTGAAAGAATCGTACCTCGTGATGAAACTGAAACACATTTCAAAGCAACGTTACGCCCATCTGTCTCATTATGGTGTTGACTGTAGTTATTATTCAAACACCTCTACACCCCCCAGGAGCAGTACCTGTTCGTGTACCAGGCGGTGGCGAGGGCGATGACAGAGGGTGACACGTCATTGGATTGTGACGTCATTAGAGAGATCAACCTGGATGACATGTCAGACTTTGCTATGGGAAATAGGACTGTTCAACAACATATCAAGGCAGGGGTTGAAATTTACATCAGTGATGTTAATCATTCTCGATCATGGTCGCTTTTGAAAGAAATGTTGCAATAACAAATAACATATCATACATGCATTAGAAACGCCAAATAATGAATCAAGTTACTATTACTACATACTACAAACCTATTCATTCGTTTGCAGGTCTTGCAAAGTGAAATTCAAGGTATGCATACATCCAATACAATATAGCTAATAATATAATTTCAAGTTTTGACATGTTAAATGACAGGTTAAATGTTATCCATCTAATTGATAAGAATTGGTGACAATATGTTCAATAAGTAACAAAATTGTATCTGATAGTTTTGTTGTGACGATGAACACATGGTTTGTCATATTTGATCTTCTTTATGGATCTAGGCAATGCCAATTCTATCATTAACTGATGCATGTTAGATAGCTCTGAAATTGATTTGTAATTTTCCTTCTTCAGTATGTTTTCGAGGTTGTTTGTTAAAGGTCAATTATGACCACCACCTTGTCATGTTTCACTGATGTACCTTGACGCATGTAATTGGACACGGTTCCTAGTGTAAAACTTGGCGTCTTGAACTAAGCATCGTACTTTGTACCATACAGAGTGTTCTCCAAAGGACTCACTGAGACATTGCCAGCTTTAAGAAAATTGTTTCAATTAATTCAAAAAACTTGAGAATTGGGTTTGAGATTCGTCCTGATTATATTTCGAGGTTTTTCAGCACCAAACCCGTCCTCGAGAGTTTCACCAAATTGTTAAATGTATAAGACCTGCATCACTGCGGGCTTTCTTCCCACACCAAGCTGTTACACCGTGATATAACTGAAACACTGTTCTAAGCAATGTCCGAGTATCCTCTTAGTCTGCATGTGATTCGCTTCCAGGCCAACCTGACGATTCACCCATCACGACTGTACCAGTAAGTATATGTACTCCCCTATATGGCAAACTTATTGTCAACACACCTGTCATTGGCGTGCGCTGAAGTAAATCATATCTCATCCAAAAGTTGTTCTTAGTTTTTCACCGAATATTTAATAAACGAAGAAAACAGAGAAAAGTATATTGTGTGTGCGTTAATTACTATATAGTTTTCATCTCGTATATACTCTTCAAATGAATCATATTTCCGCTTCAAATTGATCTATTTTCTTTTATATCCCCCAGTCATATACATCGCGTAATGGTTTCGTTATCATGACGTCACATCCGAACAAAGAGGAAGTGTGGGAGACACTTTACAATAGTGACTGCCGAAGTATATTCACGTACCCTACACATGATCAGGTTGGTTAAAATTAGATAAACATGTAACCTCTGCATGTGTTTGTCATATTATAAGCTATCAAATGTTTAAGCATTACTGCTTTTAGTTTGAAGAGGGGGAAGGGCATGTAGGAATTAAATGCATCAAGTTGTTTTTGTATAGTGTATGAGGGTAACTATATTTCTCGGTAAGATAAAGCCAGGGTACATCGTATCTAGAAACAAAACAGACCAACTCATAAATGATTCTCTTTCAGTCTTATCTACCAACAGCTGAAACTTCAGTGACAACCAAGAGGTTCGAAGTGACTACCCCATTGTCTGACAACATCTTACTGAACACGGTTGAAGTCAAATTAAAGGTATGCGTTCTTAGCAAAATAAATAATCCAGTTCTGTTTTAAACCTTGGTATTTAATTGGTAACTAAACTGGGGCATTTAATCTAAAAACTGATATCCCTATAACATGGATGTTTTACTTCCCTGGCTTAATTCATTACTTGTTATTATAAAAGAATATTCTGGAGTAACCTGCTTCTTACGAAATCTTAACTGTGTCAAAAATAGATTAGGTAAGAACTAACAAGCTTTCTTCAAGCAATCCCATTCTACATTTTTCTTCCAGGATAGTGGCGAGGTCACTGTTATACAACACTACCACAACACCGGAAGTGCACGTGACGTGGAACTGGATTTGCTTATTGATAGCCTTCTGACATGGACCAATGATCCGGAACGAGTCTGCAGCATGATCATTTCTGAGTAAGTATATACGGAACCATCTAAACACTTGATCACCTCAGGGACATGCCCTTTCTGCAAGAAAACGACTACACTGTCACCGAATACATCACATGTCTTGAGCATGACTATGTGTATTTCAGCTGTATGAGCGAGTGTCGACTCCTGGTGCTTCTTGTGAACATCGCCAGCAGACTGCAGGACGACGGCAGAGTGGACGTCATCAACAACATGCGACAACTTTACACACGTTTGGGAGGTCCACCATTCACAGAGGTAGACGCAGATATGTGTGCTCATTAGAGACAGTGTAGCCTGCGTGTAGCTTGATTTAGACATGTCATTCATGTCATTACTTCGATCCCCGATCGTGTCAAACCAAATGGGGTTTGACGTTAACACAAAGACCGGTCGGCTGGAAAGGTCAGATTATTGTGTCTGATTTGAGTATTCATGATACTATCATGGGATAACATTTATACTAAGTTATCTTATAATAATTAGATCTACATCAAGTGCTTTTATGAGTTATCATGGTGTAATATTTATACATCATTTCATATAATTATAGTTTAAGTAATAAATATCATTAGGTAAAATGCATATATAAAATATCAGTAGTTTCAGTTAAAGCTTTTTTTAGATGGTTGCTAGCCTAAGGTAATGGGAGCGCATCTTCTAGACATACTATTCAATAAGACAAGAGTTACGTCTACATAGTTTAATTGATTTAAAGCTTTTAGATAAATGCTAGCCTAAGGTATCAAGATCCCATCTCCCAGACAAAGGATATTTATTTAAGTATATCTGTCATCACCCACCGGGGTATATTAGAATAACATTATTTCAATTAAGACTCATTAAGGATTAGCCCCCATACAAGCTCGTCTATAGTGCATTAAGGATTAGCCCCCATACAAGCTCGTCTATAGGGCATTAAGGATTAGCCCCCACACAAGCTCATCTATAGTGACACCCTAATCTCTTTCAAAGCATCCAGTAAATATGTCAACAAGATTAGTGCCAGTCCAACAGGATAAACAGGATTTAGTATTCCCCTCTGTCTAGCCATCCATTTAGCTTAGGACACAACCAATCGTGTATCAACCAATCACATTCCTTTCTATTGTTTAAATTTTTGTTAAATACATACTGTAGGCAGGTTTTAGGCAGAGAAGGGGTTTGACCAACTTACCAAGCAGACCTCTCTCCCACAGCCCAGAGTGTTGTACCGACTCTCTGTGGCACCCTCAGTTATTATCTAAGTATATTGTAAATCGTTAATTGTTCTTGTAAATAAAATTGTGATTAGTCTCCTGTGACTCTGGCTCTTTGCTGACTAATTCCCCAAGAAAACCAGCACGTCATTTGGAAGGTATTGTTCACCCAGAACAGTTCCATGATAATTTGGCGGAGAATCATCGTTTTCGGAACCACAGAGTCCAGGAACTAACTACGACCAGCTACAAGAACCCATTGGAGGACATGCCCAACCGTGATCATCTGATGGAATAACAAGCAAGCTGCATCTACCTCTGACCTCAACACTGGATTAAAGACAACCAACTCCTCCAAAGACACCAACAAAGGAAGAAAAAGTCTTCAAATATTGTAAGTAATACATTGTTGAATACTTGTCATCCTTTAATTTAGTACGGTACATACTAATAGGTGTCATGGCAAATATGGAGTCTGGAATGGAAAGTAACTTTGAAAGTGAAATTCCAACAGTGTCTTTAGTTACGCCCCTTGCCAACAGTGTAATTCAGGCAAAATTTGGCACAAAAACAACAAATTGTTTAGTAGATACAGGGGCATCCATTTCTTGTATTTCGTCTGCTTTTCTTAGCACAGCTTTTGAAAACCTTACTCTTGGAAACTCACCCTTTCCACAGGTTAAAGGTGTTGGCGGCGAATTGCATAAAGTGTTAGGTTCAGTTGTGTTAGATTTTGTCATTGAGGATCAGGAATTTTCTCAAAGATTCCACATTCTGCCTACACTTCCAGAGGCAGTGATACTAGGTGAAAACTTCCTTGATGACAATGATGCAGTCTTAGATTATAGCTGTCATTCCTTGATACTTAACAACAGCACCTCAGACAGGCAATATATCAATTTCATAGCCAATTCAGTACAAGAGATTAGTGGATTAGCAAAAACAATAGATCAGATTTACATCCCCCCTCAGAGTGAAATTCATTTCAAGGTTAGACTATCAGAGACCAAAGAGGACACCCTCATCCTCATTGAACCCATTGCTTCCCTCACTGCTCATTCTGAAGTAGCAGGTGGTAGAACTCTTTCCAAAGTGAAAAGCAAAACTGCTACATTTAGGCTTATGAATCCCTCCCAAGAAGAAAAGGTTCTTGACAAGGGTACAGTTGTAGGCAAATTTAGTTACATTGAACAGGGCTCTGTTTATGAAATCGACTCTGACCAACCATTCATCAGTACCGTTCACACCACTGAGAAGAGAGCCAATGACACCAGGGATTATGTTAAAATTGCACAAGAATTAGGATTTGATTTGACCAATACACAACTGACTCCAGACCAACGACACAGACTACTTAGATTTTTGGGACAAAATAGAAACATGTTTTCAACGAGTCTTGCAGATTTAGGTAAGACTGACATGCACCAACATATCATTGACACTGGCAACCACCAACCCGTTAAGTGTAGACCATATCGTCAATCTCCTCATCTCCAAAAAGTCACTGAAGAACTTATAGATGATTTTCTAAAGTATGATTTGATCGAGGAATCTACTTCTATGTATTCAGCTCCAATTATCCTAGTCAAAAAACGTGATGGCTCATATAGATTTGTTTGTGACTACAGAAAGTTGAATTCTGTCACTTTACCAATGTCTTGGCCTCTTCCTGATTTTGATGATGTTATTGATAACATCGCCAATGCACATGCTAAGATCTTCTCAACTTTAGACCTTGCTAATGGCTTCTTCCAAGTACATGAAGATTCAAAGCATAAAACTGCTTTCGTCACCCATCAAGGCCTTTATCAATTCAAACGATTGCCCCAAGGTTTGACTAATTCTCCACTTTGTTTTCAACAGCTCATGAGCAAAGTGCTACGAAAATTACTTTTTAAGGTTGCGCTGATATACATTGATGATTTGATAATTTACAGCAAAAACTTTGAAGAGCATCTCCAACATTTGGAGCAAGTATTTTACTATCTGAAACAGGCAAAATTAACACTAAAGCCATCCAAATGCAATTTTGCAACGGACAAAGTTTCTTTTCTGGGTCATGTTTTATCATGTGGAGGTGTTCAAGTTGATGACAAAAAGATTGAAGCAATTAGAACCTTTCCAGTGCCCAAGTCACAAAAGCAGATTCGCTCCTTCTTAGGTCTCACGAACTTCTACAGGAAGTATGTGAAAAATTACGCTCACATAGCGCTTCCACTGAATGCCTTGCTAAAGAAGCATTCGGAGGCAGAACTAGAAAAGAAACCAAAGTTCCAATGGTCACTTGAGTGTGATCAGGCATTCAACACACTCAAACATGCTATGAGTAATACACCTGTTCTGGCGTATCCAAATTTTGACAAAGAATTTCTTCTTGCAACTGATGCCAGTGATATGAGCATAGGTTTTGTTTTGAGTCAAAAAGACGAGAAAAATAATGAACATCCAATAGCTTTTGGTGGTAGAGCTCTTCATGGCAGCGAAAAGAACTGGAGCATTACAGAAAAGGAAGGCTTAGCTCTAGTTGAAGCCATTAGATCCTTTCGTCCATACCTTGCAAATTCCAAATTCACAGTCTACACTGATCATATAGCATTGAAGTGGCTGAAATCCATCAAGGATGCCACAGGTAGGTTAGGACGATGGTCTTTGGAACTTTCTACCTACACTTTTGACATTGTTCACCGCAGCGGCAAAGCCAATGGGAATGCTGATGCTCTGTCACGTAGGGAATATGAGGAAAATATTAACTGTAATGATCAGACAGAAGAAGATGCTGAGAAAACAGTCTTCTCAGTAACTTCAACTCAGCAAAGCAAATCAACTAGCAATACAATCTTGCCAAACACCCATTCATCCACACAGGTCACACAGACAACTCAGACTGAGGATATTTGCACACCTATTGTCAATCACTTAGAATCAGACACACAGACAACACATTGGTCAGCCACCTTTGAATATGAAGAGGATTATCAGTCAGTACCAGTTAATGTTGTCGCAGCATTACATGCTTCAAATGCTGATGTTACCCAAGACACATTGGTTGAAGTAAGTATAAAAGAACATCCAAATTTACGTCACCTACAAAGGATTTGTCCAGATTTCATCCAAATCTTTGACTACAAAGAGGATGAAGTCCTTCCACAAAATGAAAAGGATCGTCAAAAGATTCTTATTGAAGCCAATACTTTTGAAATTGATGAAGGCATCCTATACCGATTTGTTCCACAAAGACAGAAAGGCCACGCAGACAAGTTCATTAAACAGCTGGCAGTCCCAAGAACCCTCAGAAATCAAGTCCTGCAATCCTATCATGACTCAGAGTTTGGCGGTTGCCACCATGGGAAAGAAAGGATGCACAACACCATGAGACCTAAGTACTACTGGCCCAAAATGTACAGCGATATTGCTACTTATGTCCAGACATGTGAGGTATGTCAACAGACCAAGAGGCACTACCATGGCAAGAAGGCACCACTTCGTCCACTACCTGTAGAAGAGGTCTTCACCCGATGGCACATTGACATTCTCGGTCCCCTGCCAACAACACCAGATAAGTACAAGTACATTTTGGTCATCACAGATGCATCATCTAGATGGTGTGAAGCCTTTCCACTTCGGACCCAAGAAGCCAAAGAGGTAGCAGATGTTTTCGTCAGAGAAATAATTTGTCGTTATGGCGCTCCAAGGACCTTAATTTCAGACAGAGGTCAGAATTTCATGTCCAAACTTATCAAAGCAATTTGTGAACTTTTGGCAATTAAATTTACCCATACCAGCCCATACCATCCTCAAACAAACAGCTGTGTAGAAAGGCTCAACTCTTACATCAATCAATCACTAAGAGCCTATTGTAACAAGTCTCAAAATGATTGGCCCCGTTTTATTCCTGGCATCATGATGGCCTATCGGATGGCTCCAAATTCATCAACTCAAAAATCCCCATATGTTATGCTTTTCGGCCGGGAAATGAGAGCTCCACAAGATGTAGCATTAATTCCAAAAGAAAATTTAGGCCACAATAACAAAAGTTATCTTTCCAATTTGCTTGAGGAGCTTGAAATCACTAGAACAATCGCAGCTGAAAACACTGCTCAGGGTAAGGAGGTGTATTCAGAACAATATAATAGAAAGGCTAAAGAACCAGAATTCGCCCCAGGTCAAAGAGTTTGGCTTTACTGTCAAAAAGTTGAAAAAGGCCTTTCCAACAAATTAACCAAAAAGTGGTATGGTAGCTATTATATCATCCATACAGGTCCAAATTATACCTACAAACTGCGCCGATGTTCTGACGACAAAATACACAAACCACTGGTCCATGCCAACCGTCTGAAGCCATATTTTGATCCTGCTGATCGTCCACAGTATCCTCCAGAACCATACCTCAATAACCCCAGTAACATAGATTCAGGAGTCATGGATGACAACGAGGAACCAGTCAATGATACTCATCCTGACAGCAACAATTCCCCACCAACAAGTTCAACTTACCAGGCAACTGATCAATCACCTCCACAACAGAAAGGTAAGAAGGTCAATTCCAAAACAAAGGCAGGTACTTCCAGCAACAAGAGTCAGAAGCAAAAGACCCCAACAAAGAAGAAAAACCCTGCTTCAAGTACAACAGAAAAACCTACCAGTCCCACGGCAATCATGAAGGAAAATCATGCCACACCAGGTCCTAGTGCTCCAACCAAGGTAAATGAAAAGGTAAATAAAGGGAAAAGAGGAGTGAATAGTAAGCATCACCAGCCCAAATCCAGAAAACAACCCGACGACAGCCAGGTACAACCTCCAACATCAGGTAATCAAACCAAGGGCATCCCTCAGGTCTTCAATCCAGAGGACATCCATTCACTTGTTAGTTCCAAGAGAGCAAATGGCAAAATCTACTACAGAGTAAAATGGAAGGATCCAGAAAGAGGAAACACATGGGAATATGGTAGCAGCATTCCAGACTCCATTCGGAGAGAATTTCACCTCAAAAGAAGTATGTCAGGAAAACGACGAAAACGTCCACTGAAGAATCATAAGTTTTTCGACCAAAAGGAATCAGCACAAGACAATAAATCAGTCAATGTTTTGTCAGGTAATCCAATGTCAGGGAATGTCCAGCAAGAGAACACCAAACCATGCATAGAATTAGACGTCAAACCATATCCAATTTTTCCAAAACACCTTCGAAAAGTAGATCATGAAATAGAAAGAGTTATGGGCATTGAAATTATTCAAGGAGACTGCTATGTCAAGGTCTCATATGGAGATGATCATCATGATTACCAAACACGCTATTTTGAAAGTGTTCCTCTCCACCTCATACAGCGCTACCTTGATGATAGCTGGAAGGATCTTTCTAAGTGGCCCGTTAAAGTAGACAGTTGTCCATATGATCCGACTGAACTACCAATCTATAAATCCAAAAGGGTTATTTTTCCACATGGGGACTTGGGAAACATCGACAGGTTTTACTACCGTGCTACAAGCATACACTATAGACCCAGTTCACCATTTTATGATCAACTCCCCATATATGTCTGTGAATGCCAATTGAAAATATTCCTGTGCAAAATACAAAATCTCCTAAATAAACGGTGCAAATCACGAAACAGTTATTAGCTGTATCTTGTTATGTTTTCTTGTGTCCAGTCTTTTCACTATGGGTCGCCAGTTGAGAACAAATGGCATCAGCCTGATCATCTGAGTTATTTGTATCACAACAAATTTTGAGCATTGACCTGATCAACCAATCTCAAAAACCAAGCGAAACGAACCGAAACCGAAACCGTACCAAAACGAACCGAAACCGTAACAAAACGAATCAAACCGTACGGCAAATCAAACCGAATTGAAACGAACGGTATCACGAAAATGAAGTGAACCAAACCAAACCATACCGTGAATCGAAACGAAACGAACCTTATCGTGAATTAAATGAAATGAACCAAACCAAAGCAACCGATACTGCGAATCGTACCGAAGCAAATCAAACTATATAGCAAACCGAATGAAACCGAACTACATTGCATTGAACCGAATTGAACTGAACGAAAATCGAAACGAAGCAAAGCGAAACAAACCAAATTAAAATAAACCAAACCTAACAAACTGACATGAACCAAAACAAAAAAAAGGCAAACCAAATAGTTACGAAAACTAACAAAGAATTCTAAAAAGGATATACACCTTTTGTATACCGTATTAGTGTAATAAACCAATGCACTTGTTATATGCACATGCACATAGATGCATATATAATGCGTCTAATGATTGTATCCAAAAGATAGAAGGATATTACTATTTTTCATGATATACTTTTGTAATTTGCCGCCAATACATCTTCCTGGTCATGACACCGTTTAGTAATATTTATGTACCGATCTTTTACATCATAATTATCATATTTGTTTTATTTTCTAGTTATTACAGACAAACTGAGAAAGTATTTATATATGACATGCTAACTCTCTTTTCTTTGTTTCCATGTAAAACCTCCATGGACACAGCCTACTATCTTACAACCCCAATCCAGGATGTGGAACTCAAGGCCTCCTTCATCACCCATAAAACTACCAGTACAGACTGCCCAGACAAGCCAGCTCCACATCCAGAATCCCTGATGACAGCATTTTTATATTATGTTTCCTTATATCAAAGAGACTCTATAATAATTATTATTCACTACTACCAGTTTAACTTTATACATTGTCCATCTAAGCCTTAATTATTTTTATTTTTTTTACACGTTTGGGGTCCAAACTTTTTCAGACGGAGGGGAAGTTATCATGGGATAACATTTATACTAAGTTATCTTATAATAATTAGATCTACATCAAGTGCTTTTATGAGTTATCATGGTGTAATATTTATACATCATTTCATATAATTATAGTTTAAGTAATAAATATCATTAGGTAAAATGCATATATAAAATATCAGTAGTTTCAGTTAAAGCTTTTTTTAGATGGTTGCTAGCCTAAGGTAATGGGAGCGCATCTTCTAGACATACTATTCAATAAGACAAGAGTTACGTCTACATAGTTTAATTGATTTAAAGCTTTTAGATAAATGCTAGCCTAAGGTATCAAGATCCCATCTCCCAGACAAAGGATATTTATTTAAGTATATCTGTCATCACCCACCGGGGTATATTAGAATAACATTATTTCAATTAAGACTCATTAAGGATTAGCCCCCATACAAGCTCGTCTATAGTGCATTAAGGATTAGCCCCCATACAAGCTCGTCTATAGGGCATTAAGGATTAGCTCCCACACAAGCTCATCTATAGTGACACCCTAATCTCTTTCAAAGCATCCAGTAAATATGTCAACAAGATTAGTGCCAGTCCAACAGGATAAACAGGATTTAGTATTCCCCTCTGTCTAGCCATCCATTTAGCTTAGGACACAACCAATCGTGTATCAACCAATCACATTCCTTTCTATTGTTTAAATTTTTGTTAAATACATACTGTAGGCAGGTTTTAGGCAGAGAAGGGGTTTGACCAACTTACCAAGCAGACCTCTCTCCCACAGCCCAGAGTGTTGTACCGACTCTCTGTGGCACCCTCAGTTATTATCTAAGTATATTGTAAATTGTTAATTGTTCTTGTAAATAAAATTGTGATTAGTCTCCTGTGACTCTGGCTCTTTGCTGACTAATTCCCCAAGAAAACCAGCACGTCATTTGGAAGGTATTGTTCACCCAGAACAGTTCCATGATAATACACTGCCGCGTGGTATCTTCGTGCCATGAGCCAGCACTATAAAACGCCTATTAGTCTGGACACACGCACACACACATAGGTAAATGCCCGTCGGTATATAAGTACAATAATCTTAAACACGACGTTAAATCCCATTGCGCCTGACATCATGTCATTGCAGTTTAACGATTATCTATTTTATTATGGATATGGAATCGTTATTTAGAATATATTGGCACCCTCTGTTTACCATGTTCTCCACTAACAGCGTCTGAACACAGCCTGTGTCATAATATCATGTAACCTATTATTCCAGGCTGACGTGAGACTATGTCTGGAGTTTACTCAGCGGCGACTGGAGGCACGCGGAGTTTACGCCAACATGTGACAACAAGAACCGTACCTTCCATGGAAGCGACTGTGTGAAACAGTGGCCTAAAGGAAACGTTCAATATTATAGAGAAACAATGACATATCATCACAGCTTACCAATATTCTGTAAGACTGCAACTTTAAGGACATCATACCGTCAATATATGAAATACACCGGAAGCTCCATCCTTGAATTCCATTTCATTAGGGAAAATAATTTCATAGTTTTAATGTTGTTACATTCACTATATTTTTATCGACTTGATATTTTGCGTTGTATTATTCATGACCTCTTATTTGCAAGGCAAGGCTTGGTTTCCTGGTTGCACTCGTAGCAAATTATTTTGTTATGAAATCCATATGCACATCTTTTTTATTTTCTCTTTCCGATTGTAAGTGATATATTGTTGGTAGAGCGAATGAGATTTCTAGATGCACATGGACGTTATCTCTCTCTCTCTCTCTCTCTCTCTCTCTCTCTCTCTCTCTCTCTGTATAAATAAACAATTTGATATCTTTGTAAAAACGAAAAAAAGAGTATAAAAAGAGTGTGCACGTTTGTTTAGAATTTGATATTGTTTGCATAGAGATTGATTTGATTTAACGAAATTACAAAAATATGGACAGGTTCTTTCAAATGTATTGATTCGATTCTTGTGAAGACAGATACTGAGTATGCATTTACTTTTGGTTTTACTAAAAAGGTAACTTGGCAGAAGAAAGCTTTTTAAAATGTTAGAAACTAGTTGCAATTTAGGTAGCAAATATATTTTGATTCGACAAGCAATGCCACAACATTCCACAGATTTATTTTTAAATGGTCTACAAATTAACACTAAGGCTGGGATGGTGTGTCAGCTAAAACAAATATCAACCATACGTTATTCTGTGTAACACAGAATCATAACTCTTCTGGTGAGTAGACCTCCAGTTATCAGCCTCAAATAAATAAGGCCTCAAATAAAATGTGAGATTTTATATGATCACGCAATTATAATTTCATATATTAAGAATACATTTAACTCAAATACTTCCGTGTCCTTTATATTATTTTTAGGTTTCATTTTCTTTCCATCTTCCATAACTGAATGAGCGTGAGTTGTAAGTTATAAATTACTGAAGACCTAATTTCATCCGATATTGCTACCGGGGCGTCTTCCATTAACTGACTCACTTGGCGTATTAAACGTTTTCATAAGGCATTTGGCATTTCGATAAAGCACATACAATATCACTTACGATAAGTAAGAAAAGGAACTTCTTCACATTACGGGTGAAATGGTGACAAAACAAGGATCAAACTCAGGACGAATCGTTGATTCAAATTCACGATCAACGGATCCTGGTTTGACGAGGATCACGTTCATCCGATTCTGACGCCACAGGCCACTTGGCAACCCATTGCTCTTGAAGCAGGAATATAAGAGTGAATTACCGAAACGTTTGTATTTATTGTGCCACTGACCTAGAATAGGTATGAAATATAAGCGGCTATTATTATTTATGTGAACTGTATCTGCGTCATGGAACAGTTTCATTCACATCTAAGTACTCATGTACCTTCTTCTTATCAACACTAAAGGTCAACGACACAGAATCATCAGTCTCGAATGTCCACCAAAAGAGATTCAATAAGGCGTAAAAAACAAAATAGTGACCAAAAATATATGATAACACCTGTTCACTTTGTACACATGCATTATAAAGCAATGAGAATCACGTGATGAGTAGATTAGCCAAGTTGACTTTATTTGTGTGAGTTGTCGTTTGATTTGAGGCGTTTGTATTTCTTCATATACATATTATGTCACCTATGATAATGTTATATCCATTGTTTTTCACTGATAAAATATACTAAACTTTACAATAACAAAGTGTGGGGGAAACATAATGTTTTAACATTAACCTGATAGCTACTCAATAAATGTCTAATTCAAAATTTTATTTGCTATGTGGGTAAGGAAGTATGAAGACATGGTGCATTTATGGATAACAACGTCTTTATAAAGAGGTTCAGGGCTTCTTCTTGACCCCTTCATATGGAGAATACTGAGTAAAGGTATATACACATATGTAATAATGTTCATATATATACATACATATATTCTTACACGGGTCAGGATTAAAGTATAGTGTTCGATCAACTTTACCTGGTGATAGAACGTAAATGCTTTCATCTATATTCATTTCCATATGATGTATGTTTACCTTATTCAATAACATAAGCACAAATACATACAAAATCACATTATTTGATTAGTTTAGGATAATGCTTTAGCAGAAGTAGATGCTGTACCATTGCAAGAAAAAACACAAAGACTTGAGTCTGATGTAAGGCCACAGGTTTATATACAGAAAAGTACAAGACTGGAGAACACTCCTGGGATGGGAAACGCTAAACACGACTGTCAACCCGATTTGATTATTTTACCATTCTTAAAATAGATCAGGTTTTCAATCGTATCATACACATTTTCTTTCCAAAAAGTGTGCATACGGTATGTTGATGTGTTGATAACTCTTCAATAGAGGAAGCTATTATAAGGGGCGTGTCTGATTGTGGTTGATCGCATGCTCCATTGCCCAACGAACAATGCTCTGTTTTCCTGTGTTATTATTGCAGGTTTTTATGTGTAAACATGTTTTCACACTTCCTCTTATATCTTTCTCCCCAGTGGGGTGGCCTAGCTTTTATACTAAATAAACCAATGAAAAATCATTTGTTCTAGTTTGATTCATACGTAACCGTGAGACTTACCTCACTGTTTAACTTTGTCAACGGGTATTTAATAGGTTATAAACTTGTTCTGATCGCGATATGGCTGCAATATTGTCGATGCGATGTAAAGTTTCTACTCACTCACTCACTCTTATATCTTAGTTGACTGTCTCTGCTATGGTGATGTACCCATGCTTATCTTGCAATTCACTTTGTGGTCTGTCTATCTAATATAATCTTCCAAGTAAATTTCCTCAACATGTGTACACGTAAAGTGGCCATGTTCTTCACGGCCTTGCACTTTTGCGTCAACTCATTGATTAAAGTTTGTTTATCAAACAGGATGTTGTGGCCACAGAATATGACACATGGGGCACCTTACCGAACAATACGAACAATATGCAATCAACATTGATTAAGGTAAATTTAAGCTTCATGCTTGTCATTGTTGTTTATTCAGATGACACTTGGTTCTTGATCTTCTAGATAATAATGGCCCATTCTACGGACCATAACTATGACAACCGGCAGAACTGTATATTCACATATGCAAAACAGTATGGACATTGCCTCAGCGGATTTCCAATGCCTGTTAGTTTTGGTTTACCAAACATCCCCTGTTGCCCTTCCATATCTAGTTATAAAAACTCGTTGTTCTGTCTCACTAATAACTAACATTACACAAATGGCGTGTGCTTAGATGGATGAAGAGTGATGAGAGAATGTTCGTCTGATTCCTATGACCAATGCAACACAGAGGGAATATCTCATTTTATGAATCTAACACTAATTCCTAATCTAACACTCAGGGGATTGTGTGTGTCTGATTCATATACCAAGTAATCCATGGAGGGCGAGTGTATGCATTTTCCATGACTTATAGGACACAGAGGGATAATACGTGTGTCTGATTTATATCATTAATACATATAAGTACAGACGGAGTGTATCCACAGAAATAAAAACATAGACAAATAAATTATTCGTATCGTGCTAAGACTTGTCTAAATCTATGCTCACACAAATAAGCATGTACCTACATTTAGTTCATCAGCGAATATTCGCTGAACTATTGTTGTAAGTAAAGTAAGCGTCCAAACAGGATATATCTAATGGTATCTATACCAAATTTTGAATGGAATGCATATCACGTGATTGTTGTGGCAAAAAGGGAAATGTCGCTACAGCATAGTAGACTTTCGCTAATAGCAGAAATTAATAAGAGTGGGGCGATTACACTCACAACCACATTGAACATTCCTCACTCATAGTAATAACACGGATCGTCAGCTTGGTATGGTATGCTACTGACAAGTATACTATTATAGATAAATATAAATAGACTAGAACCCACGATAATATGTTTATGACATATCTAAGGGATATGCACAGTGATAAAGCTGTAAATTACAGCCATTAGTAGAGGTATCGCTTAGAATGTCACAGGGAAGTATATTTGTTCTCTTTGATATCTATTGAGACCAAATCATGTTATATGTTAGTATTAATATACTTCCTCTCATGTTGAGTTTTATTGTTTTTGTTTTTTTTAAAACGTATACGTACACGTGTTTCAACCTGATAACGTACTCAAATAGGGTGTGCCTTTATAATGTGATAGAATTACATTATAACTTTTACCTAACAAATGGAGGAAGTTGTGTGCTTTTTCCTGGTAACCTTCATCCCCATGTGTGTACTGCAGCTTGACTTTGTGCTATTACGCTGATAAAACAATCCGAATTCACAATTCAGTTGTTCCCCTCTGTCGAATACAATGTACAGTAAGAATGTATAATGTTTCATGTGTATGCTTTCATCCAGTCAAATAAATAAGGAAGTATATCTGTCGTAGAAACGAAGTATGCAACACATGACGCAATTCTCTCCACTCAGCCGATTAGTTGCCACGGGATTCTCCAATGACTTCATAAACAACTGTAATGCAATGGTCGTGTGTATCTCATAAATCTTATTAAGATGGTTGTCTCACTCATTAGTTCCATACCACAGAGAGGGAGAGGATCTGATTCCCAAGTCCAGCAGAAAACATGGTATGTTTGCCATGCGAGTAATATAACAAAGCGATCACGGACGTGTATAATTCATAAACTGACGAAGGTAGACGTATGTTTAACTTAATGAAAACCCTCGACATGTGCGGTGATCTTCAGTAGTATTCAGCGAATATTGGATTCGAATCCTAGTGACGCCTATGACTTTCCCGGATGCAATACATGACTTGCTGGTGTTTGGGGGACATGATACACGATGTGAAGCATTTACGCTCCTCATATTACGGAGAAACATTCTACCTTCTATCCAGGCACCCAATCATAACATACCACCAGAACATGTTACTGGGCCTAAAACGAGTGCACCATGTCAAAGTCATGTATTGATTATATCCTTGAACCTAAGATATGTTTTGAAAGGTGAAAAGCATTGGCCACCAAGCGTAAATTTTGCTTGAACTGTTGACAGAATACAAACTTAATATTCTTTTTAATATGAACTCTGAGCTTTCGCTGCGTTTACACGCAAGGTAAGTGACAAAGGAATACGTGCATGTCAAATTATTGTATGTATGTAAGCAGCTTTACACTTTTTCCCCATCACAAGTGTACATTTACCCGTGTAGCATTACGTGCAGGTGTCCCCAGCTAATACGTTAAGCTGAAACAACTTCCTGGTTGTCAAACATGTCGGTTATGTGGACACTGACTGCCAGCGTTGTGTTGTTAGCCTGTTGGATACATTGTCAGTGTTTGATTGACATTCTAAAAGCTCGTGGATAAATAAGAGAAACATAAAACTTTGTGGATGACAACTTCTTGTTCATTGCATATAGCCACGTTTCGATGTAGATGTAGAGTTGTAGGCAATGTTGTGTTGTCTTTAATCTGGTCTCCCTATTCAACCTATGATATGATGATACGGTCTCACTTCCCTTATTGTAACACTGCTGCTGAGGTCAGTTTCAGTCAGACGCCATCGAGAAAATATGGCCAAGTTAACTTTATGCTTAAAATAACTTTGAAAAGGAATAATTTTTGAGCACAGTGTAATGCAACGAGTCATCTCTTTGGGTGAAGCCACCTGGAAACGTTATACCTCTTTTGACAGTGAAAGTCTATAATAAATGAACGCCTCCGTCGTGTAGTTAGTTGAGCGTCTCCGTGGAGAGCGAAAGGTCGGTTTTTCTTCCCCTGGCGGGTTAATACCAAGACGTTAATCGATAGTACTTGTTGTTTCAAGAGCATTTTCGTTGATTCGGGTGTCTTAAAAAAGGGGTTAAAGATTATACCTCATATATTTCAATTGAAAATATCTTAGGCTAGCTATATCATATAAGAAAAACGAACTGTTCTGGCTACTGGTACTGCTACCTAGTTTTTATTTTACATATCTTTGATTGGAAAGTTTTAAAAATTGGAAAATATAACACACACACACACACACACACACACACACACACACACACACACACACACACACACACATTCACACACACACACACATTCACACACACACACACACATTCACACACACACACACATTCACACACACACACACATTCACACACACACACATTATGCGTCTTAGTTTTCCGGATTTATGATAGAAGTATTACAAATTTGAAATTAAAACCATTTTGCAAATTTAGAAATAATATAAATTATACGATAGTTTTTAATCATCACCTCTAAATCCTCACCTGGCTTTGTTCTGGAGTTGCGAGAACATAGACCAAAATAACATACAATTTGTGTCAAGTTTTGATTAGCATTCCAGAAGTTGGTGATCATGAGTAAATAAGAATCCATACAACTTAATGGAACTTCTGGTTCATTGCATTTGGCAATGTATTGGTGTAGATTCGTAGACCATTATTTCCTGAGAAAAGCTATTTCGAAAGTTCTACCAAATACCATACACTTTATACACCAGATAAAAACGATTCGATTGTTCTACCTCTTTCAACGTATTCTGCCCTTTATTTTCAAGGCTAATATCCAGAACCCCCCTTTCCTATCAAACCCTTCGGTTATGGAGTTCTGAAACGAGGAACAAACTTGGATGTATTCTCTACTCGGGATTGATTTCTGAAAGTGGTACAATGTGTGACATCTTTGTTTATTCACTCGTATTATGCCTCCAAATGTTAAAGCATCCAGCGGTATATGTACGTAAGTCTTAACGAGCAATGAAGTCTTGATATATAAGTCAATATTTATTGAAACGAAATTTGAACATACAGACACATCTATTTCAGTATAAAGGCAACTAGTCGATAAGTCATCATGCAATATTATTGTCAGTGCATTTCTTATTTTTTCACTTTATACAAATACGTAGAGGTATTACATAGCACCTTATATTTTTCAGATGACCTGACTGCATTAAAGGAATGCAAACATAATGATCCAACATATTTGGATATATACATATTTCAATATGGAATCCTGTTCACAAACCAGTAACACATGAAATCCGCCTTCAGCGTGAGTTCTCCCTGTCTTTAGACAAAATCGCCATAACCTCAGTGCACAGTCTATTTTTGGTGGAAATACTATTATGACATTATGAAAAATATCCTCCGCCAAGTGTTTGCCGAGCACATATTTTTCTGCAGTGGCTGGGTGAAGTCACGACAGTGGTTTACTACTTCCTGGTTCCATGTCACCAGTCCTCGGCCTTTTTGAGACGACAGAACTGTCCCTTTGGTGTCTCCGCACCGGGGGGTAGCAGAGCTAAGAAGACCGGCGTGTCGGCGCCTGCAAGACCAGGAGGAACCAATTACCACTCATTCACTCTACTGACATCCGCCCTTCAATACAGTGTAGAACACACAGTCCTGTCCTCAGTCAACTCTACTGACATCTGCCCTTCAATACAGTGTAGAACACACAGTCCTGTCCTCATTCAATTAACTGGTATCTGCCCTTCAATACAGTGTAGAACACACAGTCCTGTCCTCAGTCAATTCTACTGACATCCGCCCTTCAATACAGTGTAGAACACTCTGTCCTCAGTCAACTCTACTGGCATCTGCCCTTCAATACAGTGTGGAACACACTGTCCTCAGTCAATTCTACTGACATCTGCCCTTCAATACAGTGTAGAACGCACTGTCCTCAGTCATTTCTACTGACATCTGCCCTTCAATACAGTGTAGAACACACTGTCCTCAGTCAACTCTACTGGCATCTGCCCTTCAATACAGTGTAGAACACACTGTCCTGTCCTCAGTCAATTTACTGGTATCCGCCCTTCAATACAGCGTAGAACACACACACTGTCCTCAGTCAATTCTACTTGTATCCGCCCTTCAATTCATAAAGCCGAGAGTGCTGTGGATATTTACCTTGGTCAATGGTCAGCGGCCCCAAGTGACTGGACATGTCTGTGTCTACGTGACCAGGGCAACACTGAAATACAAGAAACATATACTCCATGCTTCTAACATAGTGTTCATTAACACAGTGTTAATATTCTTCATACTGCTAACACAGTGTTCAGATACTGCATAAAGTCACCTAGAGTTAATATACTTCATACTGCTAACATAGTGTTCATATACTGCATAAACTCACCTAGAGTTAATATACTTCATACTGCTAACATAGTGTTCATATACTGCATAAAGTCACCTACAGTTAATATACTTCATACAGCTAACATAGTGTTCATATACTGCATAAAGTCACCTACAGTTAATATACTTCATACAGCTAACATAATGTTCATATACTGCATAAAGTCACCTGGAGTTAATATACTTCATACTGCTAACATAGTGTTCATATACTGCATAAAGTCACCTAGAGTTAATATACTTCATACTGCTAACATAGTGTTCATATACTGCATAAAGTCACCTACAGTTAATATACTTCATACAGTTAACATAGTGTTCATATACTGCATAAAGTCACCTGGAGTTTATATACTTCATACAGCTAACATAGTGTTCATATACTGCATAAAGTCACCTAGAGTTATTATACTTCATACTGCTAACATAGTGTTCATATACTGCATAAAGTCACCTAGAGTTAATATACTTCATAATGCTAGCAGAGTGTTCATATATTTCACACTGGTAACAAAGTGTTCTGGCGACAAGATAGGTAAACTGGCGACGAGACTTACAGCATTGACAATTATATCCTCTCGCGAGTCTGCGGCAAGTTCTCGCGTGAGTATAAACGCCATCACTGTCTCGCCGATCTTTGACACTCCATAAGCGGTGTTCGGCCAGCCCCGTTGTTCATGAGTTCCCGCGGCAGTGTCCCTGGCGTGGAAAACATAATGCACTCTATGATTGTTGTTTAACACCGCACTCAGCAATATTCAATCTTTGTGATGGCGGTCTTTACCTAATCGAGTCTGGACCAGACAATAAAGTGATGGATACCATGAGCCTCTACTCCATTTGGATACAAATACATGCATCAACCAAGTCACCGAGCCTGACAATACGATCCTGTATTCGCCTCCAACGACAAGTATGGATTGATGAAGACCGATTATAAACCGGATCTCCATGGGTTATGTCCCATATATAGTACTGTAAATAAGTAGGCCTTGATTTAACGTGTTCATGTGTTAAAATTAACCTTCAGTCAAAATAAATTATTTTTCTATTGGTATTGTATGAATGACAAGTGAGTGAATAAATGTTATCTCACACGATAAACGCTTTCATGTGCATATTTTACATCGTGTTTATAATCGACTCTGGACCAGACAAACCAGTGGTTGACAGTATGAGCATTGATCCACGCCGTCACACATTATCACACGGTCCTTATCTCATCTGAAATTTCGTAAGAGAACCCAGTGCCGATTCTGACCATCCATGTTGGAGTTTATGTAAACGAAGTTCGATAGAACTGCAATGCACCCATTTACATAAATATTTACGAGACGACACACATACACCACACGAAGGGACAGTATATCCCAAATTAATGCATGATAGGAAAATAACTTGTAATCCGAAGTTTTGACCAATGATTGAAATGCGCGAATCATTTGGCCGTCACATTTGCACATATTATGCAGGTCTTGATTATAAATGAGTATTCAAGTAACTATGAAAATGTATTAGAGAGGTGTGTAAATATGGTCATCGTTTTCATGTTTTTATCTTTTCTATGTGAAATAGATTTACAGTGTGACAGTGAGCTCTTGGCAATAATAAACGTCCCCTGTGTGCTGGGGGTGCACTCACTGTACAAACTCCGCCATCAGTGACTGTAATCCTTCCATGGTCAAGCTCGGATCTCGGAACTGCGCCTGTCGTTCGGAAGAACATTTGTCCACCGCCCTCTTAGAAGCCTCGCTGGATACTATTACGACCCTGAAACAGAGATGAGTCTTTCCACACATTCTACATTAACCGATTAAAATGTGTACACTCAGTGTAACCTAGACCTGGATCACTCGAAGTCGATTTATTCATATTTCGTGTCAACGGAGTGATGCTATTAGACCACTTTGGCTATTCATTGAAAAACGACATTTCCGGTAAATGGAATACATTTGAATGGCGTTTCACAGTCTGCTTAAAACGAGAAAAGACAATGCATATTTATTGATGTAACTCAGGTACTCTTGTAATTAACGAACTACCCTCGTTAAACTTAGGTCATTTCTCGCGCTGCCTGGGTATGGCGACACTTTTGTAGTAACATGCGATTTAATGGCCAGGCAGTCAACCATATCTTCTTAACGCAACCCTCAGCTAACCCACCCCTCCCCACACCTCTCCACCCCACCCCTCCCAACACCACACAACCACCATTATCACAACCAAACAGACAACGCCTCCTTGAAGTAGGAGCAGAACTCCAGGTAGAAGTAGCAGTAGTAGGAACTGTAGTAGCAGTAAAATACATGTACGTAGTAGATGGATTTGCAGTAGGAGTAGTAGTAGTATGAGAAGTAGTAGTAGCAGTAATTGTAAAAGTAGTAGTAGAAGCTTCTTGTTGTAGTAGCAGTAGCAGTAATTGTTGTAGTTGCAGCAGTAGAGCAGCTGCAGCAGTAGTCATAGTAGTAGTAGTAGTAGTCATAGTAGTAGTAGTAGTAGTGGTAGTAGTAGTAGTAGTAGTCATAGTAGTAGTAGTAGTCATAGTAGTAGTAGTAGTAGTAGTAGTCATAGTAGTAGTAGTAGTAGTAGTAGTAGAAGTAGTAGCAGTAGCCTACCAACCTGGCGTGAGGTCGAAGGAGGGGCGTGAGTGCCCTGGTGACGCTGAGTGTCCCGGTAAAGTTGCATCTGACAGACTCCAGTGCCTGCTCCGAGAATGACGCGGGTGACTTGGCCTAGGAAGAGAACTTGATTTCAAGAAGTATCACACAAACACAAAAAGGAACCGATAATGTGTCAGTTACATATATGACTCAATTCAAAATGTTATCATATCATCTACATGACCTGCATATGTCGACGGTTTTCACCACATGCAGCCGGTGTAGGGATACTCGCCATCGTTCAGACGGCACAATGCATGTACAGTGAATCCTACACCATTGCTAAGTTACCGTCGTGTACCTTGTAAGCAATGGCGGCGTTATTGACCAGGAAGTCCAGTCCGCCGTAGTTGTCCTTCAGGAACGTCGCGAGGGCGTCCACGCTGTCGGTGTCAGTGATGTCCAGTTGGTGGAAGCGAGGCCGGAGTCCCTCCTGGTTGAGGTCAGTGACGGCCTGCTGACCCCGGTCAACATCTCGAGCTGCATGAGATATTGTCTTGGGTATAAATATAAATGTCGTATCCCCGTGATGGAGTTACATAATTGATATGAGAGATTGACTGGGGTATACATTACCCCCGGGATAGAGTTGTATGACTGGTATGAGAGATTGACTATGGCATAAATTACCCCGGGATAGAGTTGTATGACTGATATGAGAGATTGACGTGGGCGTAACTTCAATATCCCTGGGATAGAGTTGTATGATTCATATGAGAGATTGACTGGGGTGTAACTTCAATATCCCCTGGATAGAGTTGTATGTCTGATAAGAGACATTGACTAGGGTATACATTATCCCCAGGATAGAGTTGCATGACTGATATGAGAGATTGAATGGGGTGTAACTTCAATATCCCCTGGATAGAGTTGCATGACTGATATGAAAGATTGACTGGGGTGTAACTTCAATATCTCCTGGATAGAGTTGCATGACTGATATGAAAGATTGACTGGGGTGTAACTTCAATATCTCCTGTATAGAGTTGTATGATTGACATGCGAGATTGACTGGGGTGTAGCTTCAATATCCCCTGGATAGAGTTGTATGACTTATATGAGGGATTGACTAGGGTATAAATTACCCCCGGGATAGCGTTGTATGATTGATATGAGAGATTGACTGGGGTGTATATATTATAACTTCAGTATCATCCTGATAAAGTTGTATCATTGATTGACTGGGGTATAAATTCATTATCCCAAATCAACTAACCAATATTCATTTTTTATCCCTAAAATATAGTTCCCTATGTCACCTGGCACTGTGCCATGTCAAAAGGCGTATATCAAGTGTTTACATGGGTATTATAAATATTGCGCCGGACAAAGACAGCTTGGATCCAGTCTTTATGATATTTATTTGTTTCAGCCTACACATATGCGTGACGTATTTCGTATACTCTCAGTGGGAAACAAAAATACTCTTATGTATGAGCACACGAAACAATTTACGATTGATAGTCCACATGAGCTGTGCAGGTCAGCTGTATTTAAAATTGTAATCCGCTCTTTTTACTCCTACTCACCTGTAAGTATCACGTCACCGTCAAACTGTTTGCACAGCGCCCGGACAACACCAAACCCCACCCCCTTGTTGGCTCCCGTCACCTGAAGACAACGCAAATAGATCACGCTGGGTATCGATGTTTGTTTGTTTGTTGTCTAACGCCACACTCAGCGATATTACAGCTATATGAAGGCGGCTTATAAACAATCGATTCTGGATCAGACAAACCAGTGATTGATATTATCAGCAACATCAGACGCCGTTGGGGATCGACTGAGCCCCGTACGACCAATATATTGCTGGGGGTCCAACTGCGACCCGGATTCCCCACGGATGCGTATTGCTTCATGTGAGTTTTCAAGGTTACCTGTTGTTTTTTTCCTTGTTCAGATTCGTGGACGTATTCCGCGATTCGCTGTGCAGAGTTGCGTCCCGTGCGCACGCCAGAAACCTATGATCGTGGGTTCGAATCCCGGTTCACTCCGATTATGTTTCTAGGTTTGTCAGCACCATACCCGTGCTCGTTGGTTTCACCGAAGTGGTTAACGTCTGAGACCTGGATCACTTCGGGCTTTCCTCCCATATTAAGCTGACACGCCGCGATATAACTGGAATACTGTTAAAAGCGGGGTTAAACCTAACTCACTCACTCATTCGTGGACGTATTTCTAGAAGTAATATCTGCATGCTCATCTCTTACAACAATCTTGTTGCATCAAACTTTTAGTAACTATCGGCTATATTTAAACATAATTATACATTGAACTATTAATGTATAATTAGTTACTGGCAAGCACTCAAGATATTGTATTAAACGTTCATCAGACCATCATTAACTAATGCCTCCTAAGTGTATAGGGCTTTCATTAATTATAACATGTCATTAAATTCTGTTTTTCCCCTTAATGTTTCCATGACGTTAAACGCACTCGTTAAATTCCTGTTGAAATGACATCGGGCCTAAACATCGATCGTTCCGTAATATAGTTTGTTTGTGAGTTGATCAAAAGGAAAACTGTAGCGTGCCCGAACATCGCTATGAATTCAGTCCTTGTGCGCCCAAAGTGAGTTAGTTTGGGGTTTTTCTTCCATCGTCATGAAAACGTTGGTGCAGCTGATTTACAGCGTTGGATATATGAGACGTTTAATACAACGGGTCCAACCATCAGCAACTCTCGGAGATACAACAACGACAGCTACGACAACGCAACTCCTACATGACGAGGCAACACATTACTGGCCTGCCCCATATGCATTGTGACCTTGTCCGCAAGGACCGCCAGATACCAACCTGACCTGAATGGGGTGATTAGAAGTAGAGCCTCCGGGGCCAAGCTTTCTTTGAACTGTGCACTCTATATTCCGTAACTACGACCCGCAATACCACTTACAAGTTTAAATATTTTTGCTGTTTGCTGTGACAAATTATTTAACTGGTTTCAGGCTAACATAACGAATATTGTTAAACAGTGGCATTGGTCGCGTCCCCCTGTAAAGCGTAGATACAATAACAACACGCCTCAAATGTTAACGTACTAGTAACTGTATTCAAGTATAATCATGGAATTATATATAATTATATTATATAATAATAAATAAACTCCAAAAGTTATATCATTATAAATAAACTCTAAAAGCTTTAGTTAACGCTATAACAATTGAGCTGAAATATGACGAGGAAACGCTGTGTTATCTGTTAAACACGACCATGTGTTCCTCCATATATAGAAATATATTATTCCTAAAAATTCTAATTGAAGATCTTTAGGGATAAGACACACAGGTCAGTACAACTAAACAAGAGGAAGGTGAACCTACCACGGCTACACGCTTGGACGACATGACTGCTTCTTGTGACGACCAGGTGAACCACTTATGCCTGTCCGAGTTATCAATCCAGGTCAGCTGATAAGGGGATATCATCATAGCGACCCGTGAAGACCCGGGTTCGACAAGGTCTTCGTTTGCCGTAAAAGGCGACTATGCATGGCGTAAGAAGCGATTAACGGGGTGGGGTGGTCAGGCTCGCTGACTTGATTGATGCATGTCATCGTATTCCTATTGCGCGGATCGATTCTCTATGATGTCCATCACTGGATTGTCTGGTCCAGACTCGATTATTTACTTATAGTTGGAATATTGCTGAGTGCGGCGTTAAACAACAAACAAATAAAAATAGTAGCGTGCTAGTCTTCGAGATTTACACATATGTATGAAATAGAAAAAGCTAATTCGTTTTGACGAAAATGAGATTACAAGAGATATGGAAGCTGGATTATTTACAAGTTATTGTACAAGTTATAACAGCTGTTGATATTAGGGATGAATTGAGCTACAGGAAGAATATTTTCTCCCATGTACTATTATATGGCATCATATGGTATTAGAGTTTAAGGGCTAGTTGCATCATTCAAGGTCGCTTCGTGATCTCTATTTTTTAATTTAATACCGCTTGTAAACACTATTTCATTTCTAAAAAGTAAGTACTAATTCCATTTAAAAAAAGCAGATCACACAAATAAAGAAAGCCGTTAATGGTTTAAAAGTCAATGCAAAATGTATCAATATATTGGTCTTCGGGATTATATGAATTTTACCCACATCACAAAAAATTGTCCACTGAACTTAACCATGAAATATGTCGGGGCGCCAAAGTGTAATTTGAGGAAATGTAGTACTGCACTATATAATTTAAGTCTGATATGATTGTGGCCTGTTTCACTGTCTCGGGAGTATTTACATCACAGTGTACAGGGAAGACCGCTTTATCAATGGCACTGCTGTAAGCATTTAACCATGTGTCCAAGACAAAGTCTTGTAATTATAACCTCCTCCCGTTGCTTTCGACGAAGAAATGTCCTATTGGTGTTAACAGGACAAACCGCATACAATTGTTGACCAGTAGTCCCAGCATGTCACAACTGTTTACAGCTTATGGCAAAACAGTTTACGAAAATCGTGGTGTTGGGATCTGATTTGAGATATGGTTCCCGCAAGATTTTGTGAGCCAGATTTCGCAAGATGTCTGCTGTCTCATTACCATGCAGCAGCCCAATATGAGCAGGTAATGCATTTTCAGTTCAACAATTTATCCAGCTTTAACAGTTCACGTGCATTGTCACTTCGGGAACCACTGATACCAGCTTCAATATTTTTATCAGTTCCCATGGAGTCAGTAAATGTAACTGTCTTGTGATCATACCCATTAACCCATCAAAGAGTTTGGAGGATTCAACTGTTGAGAAATGATCATTTAGTTCGAACTCATTTGCGTCGGCAATCCAGTATGCTCGAGCAGGATGTACCATGGCCAAATCATTGGAGGCATCAGTAAACATGTGGGTGAAGTTGGCAACGTGCTCATTCAGAAAATCCTGAGATACAGCTTTTATGATGCCTTGACTCATTGTTATTGCTAATAGCTGAATACAGATCCAAACAGGTCCAGGTTTGAGTGAGTGAGTGAGTTGGTTTTAACGCCACTTTTAACATTATTCTAGTTATGTCATGGCGTGTCAGCTTAATGTGGGAGGAAAGCCTGAAGTGATGCAGGTCTCAGACGTTTACCATTTCGGTGAAACCCACGAGCACGGGTATGGTGCTGGACAAACCTAGAAACATAATTGGCGAGAACCGGGATATTCGAACCGACAATCATAGGTTTCTGGCGCAACTCTGCACAGCGAATCGAGAGTAAATACAATTATCATGTATGAGAGGGATTTACATGAGTAGGTTGAATTATATCAATTTTTGATTTGCACAGATTGGAAGTGTGGACTATTTGAAACAGGCATAGTTGTATCTTTCTCTGATTTTGGTACTGGAACAATGATGGCATGTGTCAAGGTTTCAGGAATGGTCCCAGAATTCCAACACACATTTTGTAGATAATTCAAAGAGCAGAATCTCATCACACAGGTCAGCTGTTTGTAATTAGGAATCAGAAGAAATATCACGTGCAAATGGGGTTTCATACGACTCTTTGAGTTTTCTTAAATCCTTCAGTAACTAGTACTGTTAACTGTTTCCAATTGTTCAGCAAGTGACTCAGCCTCCTAAAAACTGGCCACTATGCTGTCATCTACGCCTCAGTCGGATAAAGGACTGAACCCTATACCTATACCACTGGTACTTTGGATTCTAGACCAGATAGATCACAATGAAGTACATATTCATACTTGAAATAAGTGAGGGTGTTTTGCTCCACGAAGGACACGTTGAAGCTCGGCAAGTTTCTTTCTGAATGCAGCCAATCACAAGAGTAGTGAAGTATGACAATCCCTGGTGCAGGCTTGTCTCCTTGCTTTGTTAACACAACTGTTGGAGGTACGTACTGACGGTAACCAAATGCTTGAAAATACATACTGATGTGTTCAGTTTCATGTGTCAACAATTTCAATTGCGTTACGGCCAGTGTTATATATAGCACCTTCACTTTGACTCAAGGAGTGTGGGACACAAGACTTGACACGGATGTCACCAATCGTGCATACATTCAGGGCGACCTTCAGTTGATCAAAAGTCCACGTCACCAATGTTTTTATGAACATCCATCAAAAGAAATCTTAGAAATCTTAGGCCAAAGAAATCTTAGTTTTGAGCTTCAATGTTGGTTCATCTGTCGAAAATGCCACCATAAATATTAATGGACCATTGGAAATGTAATGTTTTGGTGATTGCCTTTTTGGATACAATTATTGTGTATTTTCAGCAATTGTGGCATCACTGGACGTTTGTTCAAAGTCAAAACGATTAGCAGTATCCTCATCCCCATCCCGTCTGTTCCAAGTGTTTTACACCCGGCGACAAGTCACCAAACTTCACACAACCAAAACCCGTACCAAATACAGCGACACAAACAACAGCAAATATGGCGACAGCATAAGCCAATTTCTTATGCTGACAGTCATTTAAACCTACCTTGGTGACATTATAACTCTTTTACAACAAAAAAGGACGAAATGTGACGATGTGTTAGAGAACGACTGACAACATGTGTCACCTCGCCGACAGTAAAAAAGCGACCTCCCGCTTCCATGTACTTTCACGAGTTGCCTCCCTTCGAAATAACAACATGTACCCTACTTACAAGTTAGTGAGTTGGATTTTACGCTGCTTGTGAGAGAAAGAGAGAGGGAGAGGTGGGGGAAGGTGTATATGAGGCACTGAAGCTCATATGGTTTTTTAACAAAATGTGTTGAGGTGCTGCGATGACACACGATCAACCAAGATACACACCAACACACTTCACACACTTTCTTTTTTTCTTTCTCTCTTTGCTGTTTAACGCCGCAATCAGCAATATTCCAGCTATATGATGGCGGTCCGTAAATAAATGGACCGAATGTGGACCAGACAATCCAGTGATCGACATCATGAGCATCGATCCACGCAATTGGTATACGATGACATGCATCAATCAAATCAGCGAGCCTGACCAATCGATCCTGTTGGTTGCGTCCTAAGACAAGCATAGTCGCGTTTTACAGCAAGCATGGGTTGCTGAAAACCTAGTCTAACCCGGGTCTTCACGGGCCGCTGTAATGATATCCCCTTATCAGTTGACCTGGAGTGACAAATAAGAAACAACCGACAACCAACCCAACCTGTATATACTACATATCGCATCACCACTTTTAAGCCGTATCAGTTACTCGCATGTTCACTGATGTGTGAGGGTGAGGACGACGCTGTCACTGCAGTGCGCCATATTGCCTCACACCTCGACCAAACGCCGTCTGGACGTGATGGCGGCCAGCCCTGTCAGGCATTGGAATCAACGACCACCATTTGTTTGGTTCTTACAAGAATCGGTCACTAGGTTACAGGAATCCCATGCTTCATCCCAGTATCTTCATATTTTAATGTTAAGTTACTGTGGCAGGTGTTCCCCACACGGCCCTGGGCCAATGTGTAGGTACTTATATGAACACTAGGCTGGACAGAGTGGCAGTTTTACAAAGTCTTTCAAACCCATGATGTATATCAATCTTTATTATGTATATCAATCTTTATTATGTATATCAATCTACATTATGTATATCAATCTTTATTATGCCTCAAAGTGAGATTGACCAATCAGAGAGCAGAACTACTGATCCCACATGAGCCCTAAAGCGTGAGTAAAAATCCAAGATGGCTGTTACTGACCTGATATGAGACTGTATACCGTCAGTAACAGCCATTTTGGATTTTCCAACACCCACCTCACATCTTTCACATGAAATTTCTGGTACGGAAATTCGTTATTCGACACTGTTTTGTGTTTTAATATCATTCATTTTGACGTGAAAGGGCATTAATATCGTTGAAGATCACGTTCGGCACTTTATTGATAAAGATTATAGTTTCACTTATCAACAAGGTGTGGCCATTACGATTTGAAGAGTAGTCTCCCTTTGACCCTCAGCTTCAACGGTTGTAAGTGTCAAGTTTTCATTTTGACATGACATGTGTGATATGGTTACCAGATAGTGTACACTTTTCGGCATAATAAATCCGTTATGGCGTCGCCTCGCCAATGTTTTGGTTTTTTTTACCTAATATGACAGCGTATACAGCAACTAAAGACACCATGACTATTAACATTATGTATATCAATCTATATTATGTATTATCAGTCTATTTGTTTTGTTTGATTGTTTTTTTCCGTCACACTTAGCAATATCCCAGCTTATGAAGACGGCTGTAAATAAGGAGTCTGGACCAGACGATCCAATGATTGATATTATGAGCAGTGATTCACGTTACGTTGGCACGCGATCAAACAAGTCACCGAGCTTGATCACCCGATCCACGAAGTCTCGTCTTATGGTCTGGAATTTCCACAGAGGTATTGCTTCACTTGGGTGGTCAAGGTTATCTCCCTTGTGATAAAATCTTATCGTTGATGAATAGTCTAATCACACACAAATTGTCTTGACACAAGTCAGATGCTGCAGCAGAGATCCCCTTTAAATATCGATGAAACTACACGAATCTAATAACGTGCGCAGACGACCTTTGTCACAGATAAACGGTGTCACCAGATAGTATCCCTTATCAGGGCTGGTTACAGAAATATACTTAACCGTCATCGTTGATTTTCAACACGTGCTTGTTTGTGATACTGCATACATCTCGAGTTTCACAATGTATTGTGTTTTGGGACGTTGGACCAGTGTACGTCGGTGTTGTCATGTGGTCTAGACTCCGTTGTAATCTCAATCGTGGATAACACCAGACGTTTCAACCAAATGAATCCACGGACAACCACTTCAGGCCGGAGAGTGGCAGTGGTATGTACAAACTCATCAACTCGTCGTGGGTCCACTCGCTTTATTCTGCCACACAATCATCATGCCTCGTGTAGTAATGACGTAGTCGTATTGGATGACATCCCTGAACACCGCATACCCCCGATCACCCCAGTACAACATGACGGTCGATTTTGAGAAAAGCGTTTGTGGTTTATGAACTTTCGGTGTATAATTAGATATCGAGATATAATCATGTGAGGATGGCAACGACTGCAAGATTGTTGAGTGATGTAATAGTCACGTTAAATAGTGAAACTAGTGATTCCTAACAATTCTGAACAAGATTACACTTCGTGTCAGTCTACAACACTCCGCATCCTTTGCCTCATCTCTTGGGGAGGAATCCCTCTTGGAAATACCAGTTTCACTTGTGGGACTAAATCAGTATACACGGGTATCAAGTTATACACCGTTTGCATCGAAGTTCCTGATTAACAAACGATCACATGACGAACTATTTTTCTTGTGAAATAACACATCGATAAAGCCAAACTTTCTTATTCCTTAGCTGACGTATGCGTGAAATAATCCGTGTGCTTAGATGGGAAAAATAAAGTGATGTGATAAAAAATGATATGCTATCATGGGTTCCCAGCCTTGTCAACCAAATACGCGTTGGAAACAATGCACACAAACACATCTCAACATTTGATCCTGACTTATGTTAAATTTGTATGCGCGCTCTTTCAAATGTACTGACGACAGTAAAGCTTATTCCCCTATATCTTTCATTGTCCCTTTATTCGTTTCCATCAGCATCTTAAATAGGCATTCTTGTTACTTCTTTGTTCTTGAAGAAGTTCTTTGATTATGTTGACATGTGTACGGTGTTTATGAAGCCGGTCTCGTTTCCCTTTCGGATTAAAATATTGTTTGAAACACAATTAGATGTCGACGATCTAAAAAATAGTGTTTTATTATTTTACAATTCTAAACTCTTTCTTTCGGAGTCGTGTTTTAAGGTATCGCTTTTTGGTAAAAGGTATTGTGATTATGAGGTGAAATACCTTGATACGGCCCCTGTATTCACTGCTTCAGATCACAGGAGCTAACAAGGGCGTCGGGTTCGGTATTGTCAGAGCATTGTGCAAGCAGTTTGATGGTGACGTCATTCTAACAGGTGGGTACACGGAGAAACTATTTTACTTTTTTATATATTTACTTCCTGCAACAATTGGAGCGTGCGTGGCGGACATTGGCGCTGCGGTTAATCTGTGTAAAGGTATAGTCGAGGCAGTGGGCGGAATGCTATTGTGATTTGCTTCTAAACCGTAGGGGCGTTGATCAATCTATATGAAAAAATATAATACAATGTTTACTTCGCTTCCTAACTTGACTTTCTTTTATGTTTTTTTCATTGCTGATACCAGTTACCAGATTCCGCAGTACCAAAACATTATTGTTCTCAAATTATTATTTATTCCCATGATATATAAGTTGCGTCGGTGGATTCGTATTCCAAGTTATAAAAACAACTTGAATGGTCTTTATAAAATAATATCAACACTCGGCCTGTCTGGAACTGGAGTAATTTACCATCTTCCCCGGCAGGAGAAAGTCCAGTCGTCTAAACCATTTCTCTGTTGCATCCCTTGCCAGAAACCTGTATGATCATGGGTTTGAAGCCAATAGGCACCCTGGTAATGTCTCCGGGTGTGTCAGCACCATACCCGTGATCGTGGGTTTAATCAAAGTGGTAAACGTCTAAGACATGTATCACTTTGGGATTTCCTTCCACAGAAAGCTGACAAAGTCATGTTGGGATATAAGTGAAATATATTTCAAAGCGCGTTAAACCAAACTAACTTACTGACTCACTCCCGTCATGCAGCAAGAAATGTTGACCGGGGTCAGCAGGCCGTCGCTGACCTCAATCAGGAGGGACTCCGGCCTCGCTTCCACCAACTGGACATCACTGACACCGACAGCGTGGACGCCCTTGCGACGTTCCTGAAGGACAACTACGACGGACTGGACGTTCTGGTCAATAACGCCGCCATAAAATTCAGGGTAAACCCATTAGACTTCTATAAAATATTATATTTATATACACCAAGACATTAATTAAATAGCCCCTGGTTTTGCGACCATATCTGTCAAACAACAAGGTCTCATTCGCGTCAAGCCTGAGCTATGGTAGAGAATGACATGTCTTGTGTACAAAGTGAGACTCTTAACACGGAGATAGATGCAAATGTTTAACATTTAACACAGTTGCGATAGTGCTAAAATTAAGCAAAAATAATAAGCACGGAAATTATAGGAATCTGGGAAGTTCCGTGATCAGGTATGGACGACCATTACTTTCCAAAAACAACGTTCATTGTTATCTTTCAAAAATAATCACAATCCCGAAAATCAGTAGCGAGTGTAACCGCCCTGTGCCTGGATGATTCTACCTACTCTTCATTCCTCCAGTGAGTCTTCTGGTACAACCAAGAGGTAACTGCTGTCACCCGCGATGCAATGCAGCCTCTTAAGCTGCCATATTTTGTACTGGTGGATCCATTGCCTCCAGCCGACCTTCAACAATGTCCCCAACATGTTCCAGTGGTTTCAAATCTGGACTCATAGCGGGTCCAGGCAAAGTGTCAGTAGCGTGTCCTTGTAGAAATGCCGTCACAGCACGTAAGCGATGGGTGGGTCCAGCATTGTCGTCAATAAACACAGGTCGAGTGGCAAGTGAGTTATTGCCAAAATGTGTCACAACAGGATTGAGGACGTCCTGGATATAACAATCGCCGTTGTCATTGTCTCGTACTGTTACCATGTCCAGTTTACAGTCATGACACATTGCTCCCCACACCATGACGGAGCCTCCACCATGCGGGTCTTTAGGAACAATGTTCCTAGAGGTGTACGCAGTGTTTCTGTGTCTCCAAACCCGCCTTCGCCCATCAGTGACGTGCAGCAAGAATCTGCCTTAATCAGACCAATGGATCTGTCGCCAAGTCCTCAGATGCTAATGACGTCGAGCCATACACCAAGCCATTTGAAGTCCCTCATGATGAGCAGTTAACAGCCGAAATTATTTTAGCCAGTTTCGGACAGTTCTGGTGGACAGATGCCTGTTGAGAAGCCATTGTTCTTTCAGAGCTTTACTCGAAGCAAAGGATTGTCGCTTCACAAGATGTGCTAGAGCCTTGTCTTCCCGCACAGTTGTCTTTCGGGGTGGTCAAGGACGGTCCTTTGCTTCACGTGTCTGGCGGTGTTTTCTTACGAGTCAGCTGATGACAGTATGGTCATAGCCAAGTTGACGTCCAATGGCTGTGTATGACATACCTGTTATGCATGCCAATACTTTGCCAACGGAGTTCCCCTAACCGCCTCCTGCGTGCCATGGTTACATGTTCAAAGATAAACTTTATATACCCTTACTTGCATCAAGTATTTTTTTCCTGAAACTCGAGGGTATTCATGCTTCACGGTCGTGTCTGTGTTTGGGGGCGACACAGTCAGTTTTTGCTATGACTGTACTCGAGATAGACAGCAATTCTATGAATGAGTATCATGAAACTTGATCTTGGTTGTTTTTTTAATAAACGGATATATGACTGTTCTTTGTTTTGTCAGAAGGTGTTTTATTAATTTCTAGGTGTATATGTGCACAGAACAATCATCCCAAATTTATGTGCAGGGAGCTGTTGCAGTTTAACAGATAGAGAACGTTTTCCCAATAACAGAAGCGAAATAATGTTATCAATATTTTACGACTCGTACCATACATGTATATGAATTTCAGTATTACTTCATATAGCACGGGTTATTAGCAATACAAAGCCAACCCAATACGTTTTTATGAGACACAACGCAGCGTAAAATAGAGCAGTAGGCGTTTTAAGAAGTACAACAACAACAACAACAACAACAACAAAAGTATTAGTTTTTTTGAAATCATGTATTTGATATATTTAAATCTTTATTGAAATACAACGACGTCGTTATGATATCCGAAAGTGTGATATCATATTATCACTACATTTTTGAATATTTTCTTTGGGAATATAATGGCTTTCTTATAGAGGGAGGCTGGTGTTCCCTTTCCCAGAAGGATCAAGGAAACGGTGGGATGTAACTTCTTCGGCACTTTGTCTGTGACGAGGCGGCTGTGGCCCTTGTTGAGACCTCATGCAAGGTACGTAATACACGAGATCTCACAGGAGGTACATAATACACGAGATCTCACACGAAGTACATAATACACGAGATCTCACACGAAGTACGTAACACGAGATCTCACGCAGGGTACATAATACACGAGATCTCACACACAGTACATAATACACGAGATCTCACACGAAGTACATAATACACGAGATCTCACACGACCTACATAATACACGAGATCTCACACGACCTACATAATACACGAGATCTCACGCAAGGTATATAATGCACGAGATATCACACTAGAAACATTGATTGTACAAGGGACCTCGCTACCTCAGGAAATGCTTGGGTTTTGACGTGATAGATAAACAGTTTCCCCAAGGAATACCACTATTCTTCAGGGAAACTAAATACACTGCTTTTCCATTAGGACCTCACTCAACGTTGAAGTTACATTATCCTCACGACGTTTCAGGGTGGTGAACGTGACCTGCTTCTGTATCAGTTCGATCATCACCGAGTTCTCCCAGGACCTCCTGTGTCAGCTGCTGAAGCCGGACCTGACCATGGCCCAGTTGGAGCTGCTCTTGCAGGACTACGTCAGGTATAGCCGGACTGGACTTATCGCGTTCGTCATAGAATGAATGACTTGGCTTAACGCTGTTTTGAAAATTGTAGTGCGGTGTGTGGTCATCACCTCGGGACAGGTGTCAGGTAATTTCTCCAGGGTTTCGACCATTTCATACATGAATGACAACACACGTAAGTTTATCATCATTTTACCTGTAAAAGTAGCTTTTTAGGAATATCACTATCAAGTTGGGATAGGCTAGATTAGGTAGATTTGCTTTAATTTTAAATATATAATTTGATTGCCTTATGATTCGCATTTAGTCCGTGAACCCAGAAAAATAACATTTTTCTAGCTTTTCCGACAATACATTTTTGTTTTCGCCTATCGTTGTTTTACTTTCGAGGTGGGTGGCTAACCTACACTATCACCGTGTTGCAGGAAGGGGGAGATGGGGGGCCACTTCAGGGTAGGATGGCCAACAGACGCCGAGTACGATGTATCTAAAGTCGGGGTTTGTTTGATGTCTGCCATTCTCAGCAGGGAAGCTGTTGACGACTCGAGAGGGGATATTGTCGTCAATGCGGTATGTCGTATTTGGAGTGGTTGTATAGTATTTTGTATCAGCAATCGTTATTGTTTTGTTTTTGGTTTGTTGTTTAACGCCGCACTCCAGCTATATGGCGGCGGTCTGAAAATAATCGAGTCTTGACCAGACAATCCAGTGATTGACATCATCAGCATCAATCCACGCAATTGGGATCGATGACATGCATCAACCAAGTCAGCGAGCCTGAGCACCCAGTCCCGTTAGTCGCCTCTTACGACAAGCATAGGCGCATTTTACGGCAAGCATGGGTTGCTGAAGACCTATTCTAACCCGGATTTTCGCGGGTCATCAGTCGTCATTGTATAGTTCTGGTATTTTAAGTTAATGTAGATGTAACTGGTATTAGATTAATAATATTTGAATAACCTGGCTTCATTCAGTGTTTAACCGATGCATTTAACTGGGGTAGACATTGAGTTCGTTGTTAAAGGTCTATTGTGTTATTAAAGGGGAGGTTTGAGAGTCGTGTGGTTAAACGTTTGCTCGTTAACGACGTTGACATGGGTTCGATTCCAAAATGGTTGAGATGTACACATGTATCTGGGATGAAGCCAATTATTGGTGCATCCTTGATAATGCAGGAATGCAGTAGTAAAGGTCACCCACTCGCTGTCATTTCAGTGTTGCCCGGGTCACGTGAGAACGGACATGTCTCGCTATGAAGGTAGCCTCACAGTAGATCAAGGTTTGTTTGTTTGTTTGTGTGTTTGTTTGTTTGTTTAACGCCACACTCGACAATATTCCAGCTATATGACGGCGGTCTGTTAATAATTGAGTCCGTACCCATCTTCCCGAGACAAGAGAGTTAACTCACAATAAAAGTCCAGACAGTCCAGTGATTGACATCATGAGCATCGATCTACGGAATTGGGATACGATGCCATGCATCAACCAAGAGAGCGAGCCTGACCGCCGATCCTGTTAGTCGCCTCTTACGACAAGCATAGTCGCTTTTTTACGACAAGCATAGTCACCTTTTACGGCAAGCATGGCGTTCTGAAGACCTATTCTCTACCCGGATCTTCACGGGTTTGGATCAAGGTCAGTTAGCAGTTTGTGCGGGCGAGCGTTTGTACGAACGCGTGTGCATGCCTGCGTCCGTTTGTGCATGTTTGCTTTTGTGTTTCGTGATAAAACAAATGCCTTAAAATTATTGAATTGATTCCTTCCTGATAAAAACTCAGATTCGATGAAAACAATAAAGGGTAACAGACCTTTTGTCACATGTAATACATTTTAATATATTTACAGATATAAACTAAGTATATCCCTTTGTTACATGTGTTTCAGGGGCGGACACCCCCATGTACTTGTCGCTCCTACCCCGCAACGCTGCCCGCCCCAGGGGTCAGTTCCTGGCAGAGCGGACAGTGGTCAAGTGGTGGTGACCGCTGGACGCGAGAGTCAGCAATGTATATAAACAGTTCACTCAGGTGCCAGATGGGCGTGGCTGGGCTCGTGGGGATACCAATTAATCTGCCCAAGCCACACCCACACTCACTATGTATACAGTGAATAACTCGAAGATAATCGAGATGTCCGTAGTTCGAGACACGCGGAGTACCTACTTATCTACGTTGGCGTTTAGATTTCTTTTTGTCGTTTTACTCAGCACACAAGAATATTCCAGTGTTATGACGGCGGTCAGGAATTAATGGGTGACCAGATAAAACATTGATTAGAATTATAAACAACGTCCCACGTCGTCGTGGTACGAGGACCCGCAATCAACGAAGTCACCGAACCTGACAACCCGATCCGATCGGTAATAAAATGCGTTGATTGGAAAGTGATGAGTCGTGTTATATATTGCCTGGCTATCGGCACTAGAGGCAGTGGAGCTTGAGTGCATATAACTGTCTTTATTGATCGTTATGTGGCATGCTGGTGTGTTTACAAAGCCCCCGTTACACTATCAAAAACTTTGATAAAAAACTTGGTCAAAGTCCATTTTGACAAAGTTTTTGATTGTGTAACATGCCGTAAAAAAGTTTTTAAGGGAGTTTAATTAAATAAGAAACCGATCCTATTTCTCGTCAAACTTTGAACAAATTTTTATGACGCTGATTTAATTTAGCCAATCAGAATGCAAGGGACATTTACCCCTTATAAGGCAGAAGTGAATAGACTCAAGTAAAAATGAGTTCACTAATTTGGACTGACGAGAATGTCACGAGATGTTGGAAGAATTAATCGATTCTCTGATTCTCGAGCAGCCATTCTCGGGACCAAATATGCCTTTGCCTACCCCGACGCCGCCTTCTCAATGTAGCAATACACAAAATACATATGACAGCGAAACAATTTTCGTCAGTTTAGCATCCATCTTTGGAAGAAAATTCCCGCCAAAACTTTGACGGCCGGTCAAAAACTTTGCTGAGTGTAAACAGATCAATACATTTTGGTCAAAGTTTTCTGATATCATAGTGCAACGGGGGCTTAAGACATTAACTGTGTACATTATCATCCACACTATATTGTCTCGGTTATTAATGGGTTCTTATCCAGAGACCATAAAATAATTCGGTCTCTGTTTTATCTTTAAAAACGACCATAGCTGGCTATGGGTGATGTAAAACAAAAAGGCGAAATGTGATGATAAAAACCAACTCGAACGCAGGTTCTTTATCGTGATTTTAATCACTAAACACCACTTTTAGATTAAATATGTATATCGTATTTGAGATATTTGATAGATGCAACTTCGTCTAAGCGCCCTTTTTCAAGTCTAGATGCGTTACATAAACCCGGATCCCACAATCCCACTTTTCAATCATTCATTCTCAGAAACAGGCGTGGACAGCGACAGTGCATATCCGTGTCTGTATATTTGCGTAAGTGGCAGGTATCCACAACTCAACTCCGACTATGGCAAGTAGCAGAAAGGTTGCAGTAGTAAGTACAGATCACTTTCATAACAGCAATCAATTCGAAACGTAGCATTTAACTTCCTGATTTAAACTCCACCTCATCACGCCCGGGTACATTGAATGGAGCTAGGTTTGCTACGAACTGGGCAGCTGTATATATATGATAAAGCCCATTGTAAGAGCGGATTTTGTTTAGCGTAACAGATATGGACGAACAGTTTAAGCTCATGGTGGGGTGAAGTTAAAAGTCGAACGGTAGCTGAAACGAATTCTCAAGAAAATTGTCACTAAATTATACGAATGCGAAAAACACTTGGTTTATTATTCTGTCATGACTTTGGAAGATACTTGATTGTATTATTGATAGTTTCAACCAGTGGTTTCAGAAGTACCTGTGCTACATACACACTTTCCATTCCTCTCATGTTGAGATACATTGCTGTAAAACAATGTTTGGTTATCGTTTGGGAAGTATTACAGCCAACTGTAAACATTGTATTTTGTATTACCCTAACACAAAGATGGCAGGTAAATTTTGTGTTTGTAGATTGATCTTTTGTTTCAAATTTTAATGAAGTGCCATCAAATTAGCATAGCTCTACATAGAAAATGTGCTATGTTCGTGTCTCTCCAAAAATATAACTGTTTAAAGAAAATAGCATGATTTGTAAAAGCAATCGATGACCATGATTATATGATGAGACATCAGCCAACGCTTGTTTTGTCCATCAGTAGATGATATATATATTTGATACAGGGACTGAATGATAAACTATTATATAAAATACAGTTTCATTTAAATTGGATCTTTTACTCCAAGACTACCTGTTTGCATGACGATGTGAGGACACCTCCGTATGATGTGTCATGCAGAGCTAGAGATAAGCTATTGGTTATTTGGGTAGTTTACCCAGGGGGTTGATTTTGATTGGGTATCTTCACGTTTTAGAGGGTATAAAAACAAAAATTACCCAGCTGTTTCTTGACATTTGGGTATTTAATTTAAAACATTTTTCACAACAATTCCTGTAAATAATTTAAAGCTATGTCATAGCTACTGATTTACGACACCCAATGTCTGAAGAACATTTAATTGCAAAGGCTCATTACCCTGGAGCCATGACCTCTATATGCCTTGAAACACTTAATTGCTGTTATTTATAAGATGCTGATCCTAATTGTTAATCCCCATTTTTGTGTACATCGACCGTCTGCCATCCTGAACGAGATGTGCAAGTATGTCACTGATGAATTACTGTTTACATTTATATTTATTACTTACTAAATGTCAGGTGACCTTGGCTATATAAGCCTTGGTCCAGAGAGATTGAGAAAAGAGGAGAAAAGAAAGGGTACCCTTAGCCTAGCTAGGGTTAGGCTGGGTGCTCAGGGGCACCTAGACAACAACCACTACCACTATGTGCTGACCTGGCACATAGTGTCTTTTTTATGTATATATCTACATGTAAAAAGTAAAACTGTATATACCGCAATTAAGCCATCATCTCCATGTTGTCACTTCCTACTGAGACCCACACGTCGGCCTCTTGCATATACGAGTATGCAAATTATTCATTAATCAACGTCAGACCGCCACGCGTTGTTAACTATGTGAATAGTAGTATACCCGTCTACGTCTGCTTGCGGCTCCTTCTCAGGGAAGCCATGTTTTGTTAATTTGTTTATTTCTTTAATCACCAATCAGCAACTATTTAAGATACAACATGTACATTGACTAGGCACGATGCAATCGGCTGATAAACAATCATTTTATCTAACAGTTGTAATATACACAATTGTTTTTTCTCTTAGTTATGATATCCACATTAATTTATTTCCATAGCATATTTAAAGTTTTTGTTGCATATTTGATACTCTAGGATTTAATTTGTCTACGTATTTCTGTTTATGCATATTTTACGCAAATACACATCTTATCTCCAGCTCTGGTCAGGTAATCCCTGAGCGAACTTTGATCAGCCAATCAAAATGAAGGCAGTGTGGGTTCCTGAGCCAATCTTTTGTTAGCTTTCTAAAACAATTCGACTAAAACAAATTAACCATCTTGATTTGAAAATTTAGACTTGGACAAATGAAATCCCACACAGGACAGTCATTCCGTTATTGGTACTCTGATTTGGGTGTTGATGCCAGGGCAAACAAAACCAACAGAATGTATGAAATATCAACTTTCTAACTTTCTTAGTTTGATTTTGAGATAAAAAATCAGATAGGCTGGTTTGAATGCTTGGATCACTTGTGTGCTCAGATTCTCTCTCAGCGAGGTCGTGCATCAGAGTAAAAGATCTGAGGTGAATGTGATTGATATCATATCATACCGGTACATTATAGTTTGCAATAGAATTCTGTATGAAGTAAGTTGGATTTATAATGACCTTATTTCTGACAGACCATTCTTCTGTATCATTACCAGCTTTAAGAAGAATCTTCAGGCCAGCTTGGATAACAATGGTTCAGTGTCATAGAATGTGAAACCAAGGTGTGAACTTCTCTTCCAGGTGACGGGGTCCAACAAGGGCATTGGCTTTGCTGTCGTCAGAGCGTTGTGTAAGAGCTACGAGGGCGATGTTTTCCTCACATGTGAGTAGTTAACATGTTATCTGCTAGTGTTATTCCCCGTCTTATCATCTTGTGTTATTCCTCGTCTTATCTGCTAGTGTCATTCCTCATCTTATCTGATAGTGTCATTTCCCGTCTTATCATGCTTATCTGCTAGTATTATCCCTCGTGTTATCTGCTGGTGTTATTCCTCGTGTTATCTGCTAGTGTTATTCCTAGTGTTATCTGCTAGTGTTATTCCTCGTCTTATCTGCTAGTGTTATTCCTCATGTTATCTGCTAGTGTTTTTCCACATCTTATCTGCTAGTGTTATTCAACATCTTATCTGCTAGTGTTGTTCCTCATGTTATCTGCTCCTGTTATTCCTCGGCTTATCTGCTAGTGTTATTCCTCGGCTTATCTACTAGTGTTATTCCTCATGATATCTGCTTGTGTCAGAGCTCCAGATAACTTTTTGAGCAATTGAGTTTTTACTCTTGGGTTTCTATTTTCATTGCTTATTACATTTTTCATTGGGTAACCAATATTTGTTCACTCATCTATTCATCACTCTATCATGTGTCTATTGGGTTTTCCCCAAAATTAATGAACATTTTAAGAATCTAAAAAATGAAATAATGTTTTAGATGTACATAACTGTTGTAAATATATAGGCTTGACTCGGAAAGTAAATTAGCTTTTAATAGTGTTTCGAAAAAATAAGCTCCTTTGTACGCATGCTGAAAAAGCTTCATTGGGAATTTACGAGTGCTCTTTTAATGCATTTGAGTTTTTCATTTATGCATGCGTTTCTGTACGCAAGTTGATTGAAAGTAATTGGGTTTTGAATATATTTGGGGGGTATTTTATGCTTATCTGTAGCTCTGTAGTTTTATTCCTCGTCTTATCTGCTAGTGTCATTCCTCTTTTATCTGCATGTGTCATTCCACTGCTAGTGTCATTCCTCGTCTCATCTGCTAGTGTCATTCCTCATCTTATCTGCTAGTGTCATTTCTCGTCTGTCATGGTCATACATCAACAACTCGAGAGCCACAAGACAGACGTAACTGAGACTTTGCATATATGTTGATACCAGTAAGCTCCAAGATTTAAGTCTTGTTGAGACCAGTTGTCCGAGGTGCTGTAAATAACAATGGAGAGTTGGGCTATGCCATGCCAGGATCTGGTTTGAATCCCTGATTATGATCCTTGGTTTGTCTGCACCATACCAATTTCATGTGTTTTACCAAAGTTATAAATCTGCTTTTAGCCTTCCTCACAGATCAAGCTGCACTACTGTTCAAAGTGGTGTATCGTCCCCAGCCTGTTCACGCCTGTGTAAGCCAGTTACTCACGTTTCATTTGACCATATGTTAATTAATTTTTCTAACACTACACACAGCTCGGGACGAAAGTCGTGGCCAAGCAGCCATCGCTGACCTAAACAAGGAAGGCCTACAGCCCAAGTTCCATCAGCTAGACATCAACGACCGGTCAAGTGTAGATCAGTTGAAGTCCTTCCTACAGGCCACCTACGGGGGATTGGATGTCCTAGTCAACAATGCCGGAATAGCATACAAGGTATAACATCTGGTTACTGCGATGCCGGAAAAGCATACAAGGTATTACATCTTGTAATTGTGATGCTGAAATTGCATACAAGGTATAACATACGTTATTGTGATGCTGGAATAGCGTACAAGGTATAACATCTGGTTATTGTGATGCTGGAATAACGTACAAGTTGGAAACATCTTGTAATTATGATGCAGAATACAGAAGGGTACAGGATATTGAAAGGAATTCTTGAATATGTAAATAGGAAATATTTACGTAGATATCAAGTCATACAATAAGATGTATGTGTATTATTTCTTTTATTTGAGCTATGATCTTAAATGATTGATGAGTCATTAATGATTTTCACTTCAGACTTTACTTCTTTGATTTTCACATTGTTCAGCGCAAATTTAGGTGACTAAATAATTCAATAAATTAACTTAAATAAACCAGGATACTAATATGCTTTTCAAAAGATACATATTGCAATATTTTTTCAGTGTTCTACTATTTATTGGGTAAAAAAAATAACAAGTTTCATTATTATTAGTATCGTTTAACCTAAAGTTTACACAGAATTTCATTAACAAATGATGTTTCCTCTTGAAATTGATTGACAAATGGGCGAAAATGGGGAAGTGATTTTTCTATTAGATTCAGACTGAGGGTTGATAGAGGGCAGCACTAAGTGGCGAACTCGAGTTAGCACCACCACCCAGTTGCATTTGGCAATGGATATATTGAGCATTTATGATTGAAATTAAAGAAACCTTAATCTTCATGTAGTTTGGAGTCTTGATGAAACAAATTTGTTCAGGGTCAAGGTCACAATATGGGCATATGCCAGTTCACGAAAAATCAAAGCATTTTCCAATAATTGAGTGTAAACTATAAAAAATAAAATCAATGCCTGCCTGCCTGTCATGTCATGGTTGGGGGTGGGGGTGGGGGGGGGTGTTAAAGATGATGAGTTTCCCCCAATCTATTTTTTCTCACATCTGTTTGGCTAACAGTCTATGATATTTCAGAATGCCGATCCAGCACCTTTCGCGGAGCAAGGTGAAGTTTCGTGTAAAACCAACTTCTGGGCCACCCTGGATGTTTGCCGTGTGCTGTTCCCCCTGCTCCGACCTCACGCCAGGTATGACACAACAAACCAGCTCACACGCCAGGTATGACACAGCAAACCAGCTCACGCCAGGTATGACACAGCAAACCAGCTCACACGCCAGGTATGACACAACAAACCAGCTCACACGCCAGGTATGACAACAAACCAGCTCACACGCCAGGTACGACAACAAACCAGCTCACACGCCAGGTATGACAACAAACTAGCTCACACGCCAGGTATGACAAAACAAACCAGCTCACATGACAGGTATGACACAACAAACCAGCTCACACGCCAGGTACGACACAACAAACCAGCTCACATGCCAGGTATGACACAGCAAACCAGCTCACATGACAGGTACGACACAACAAACCAGCTCACACGCCAGGTATGACACAACAAACCAGCTCACACGCCAGGTATGACACAGCAAACCAGCTCACACGCCAGGTATGGCACAACAAACCAGCTCACACGCCAGGTATGACAACAAACCAGCTCACACGCCAGGTACGACAACAAACCAGCTCACACGCCAGGTATGACAACAAACTAGCTCACACGCCAGGTATGACAAAACAAACCAGCTCACACGCCACGTACAACAACAAACCAGCTCACATGCCAGGTATGACACAACAAACCAGCTCACACGCCAGGTATGACACAACAAACCGGCTCACATGACAGGTACAACACAACAAACCAGCTCACATGCCAGGTACGACACAACAAACCAGTTCACACGCCAGGTACGGCACAACAAACCAGCTCACACACCAGGTACGACACAACAAACCAGCTCACATGCCAGGTACGACACAACAAACCACTCATGCCAGGTATGACACAACAAACTGGCTCACTTGACAGGTAAGACACAACAAACCAGCTCACACACCAGGTACGACACAACAAACCAGCTCACATGACAGGTACGACACAACAAACCAGCTCACACGCCAGGTATGACACAACAAACCGGCTCACAGCCAGGTATGACAACAAACCAGCTCACACGCCAGGTACGACAACAAACCAGCTCACACGCCAGGTATGACAACAAACTAGCTCACACGCCAGTTATGACAAAACAAACCAGCTCACACGCCACGTACAACAACAAACCAGCTCACATGCCAGGTATGACACAACAAACCAGCTCACACGCCAGGTATGACACAACAAACCGGCTCACATGACAGGTACAACACAACAAACCAGCTCACATGCCAGGTACGACACAACAAACCAGTTCACACGCCAGGTACGGCACAACAAACCAGCTCACACACCAGGTACGACACAACAAACCAGCTCACATGACAGGTACGACACAACAAACCAGCTCACACGCCAGGTATGACACAACAAACCGGCTCACATGACAGGTACAACACAACAAACCAGCTCACATGACAGGTACGACACAACAAACCAGTTCACATGCAGGTACGGCACAACAAACCAGCTCACACGCCAGGTACGACACAACAAACCAGCTCACATGCCAGGTACATCACAACAAACCACTCATGCCAGGTATGACACAACAAACCAGCTCACACGCCAGGTATGACACGACAAACCGGCTCACATGACAGGTACGACACAACAAACCAGCTCACATGACAGGTACGACACAACAAACCAGCTCACATGACAGGTATGACACAACAAACCAGCTCACATGACAGGTATGACACAACAAACCAGCTCACATGCCAGGTACGACAACAAACCAGCTCACATGACAGGTATGACACAACAAACCAGTTCACACGCTAGGTACGACACATCAAACCAGTTCACATTCAGGATTTATGGTTGCCATGGTTACAACAAAATGATAGGTTCCTCTGTGAAGTTTGTTCATGTGGTTGGGTGTCATGAGATGATACAGCATAGATGTAACTGTGTGCCTCATTACACACCTGTGCATAATAAAATACATCACTGACTCACAGAAACATCGCAATTCCGTGTGAGAAAGGGATCCTTGTCGTAACCCCAATGCTATGTGGGGGGTCCCTAGATTATGGATAACAAAAGAATAAACACTGCCATTAGCCATGGGGCAATTTCCCCAGAAAGAAAATGAAACAATTCTGGTCATTCATGAGAAATAAAATATGAATGAAAGTCAATATGAAATTACTAAATGCTTTTTATTTGTTAGATAACATTTGGCTAGAATACTAAATACTGGATACCTTGCTCCATATTGCTAAGGAATGTGCACAATCTCCTTCATTAGGATAGTTTTTTACTTGCCTCACTGAAATATCAGGTGATTTGGGGAGCTTGCTCCCTCACAATCCTTGACAGATATGCTATTTTAAGTATATGTCAATTTTTATCCTACCTCACACTATGCATTTCTCTTTTTATTTTCAATCCTAACTGCAAACATGTCTGAAATAAAGGTTCTCCAGCTCTTAAAGTTAATTCACTCATACGTACCTCTCATCGCCATGGTCACCTCCTTGATCTGGGTCATGCATACTTTGCATGCTGGTTGACCTACATATTGGAATATAGCTAACTGAGGCGTTAAACAACAAACAAACAAAGAATTTAAGCATGTTTACCAGATTTTAATCAGAGTTGTCTCCCTTAGCTCCATTACGAACTAATGTTCTGAATCTAGGATATGATGGTCATGTTAAGCAGGACATTTTCATTGTGGGAAAGTTAAGGTACTTGGTGTACTATTGGAATACTGATGCTCACCCAACCTCATCCTCACGTATCCAGAGTATTATATCTCCATTCTAATTTAAGTGAATTGAGAAATTGTGTGCTTGGTTATTGACGTCACTTCTGAGACAAGCAATGGTGGCCAGTGGATTGTAACAGCAGATGTGATACACTGAATAATCAAGGATGCCCTGACCATTATCGTTTCTCGTTGAGTATTGGTACATGTAGAGATCCTAATATATGGCCATTGTAAAGTGAATGTTGTCCATTGTATTGCTTTGGCAGGGTCGTGAACGTCTCAAGCTTGGTATCTCAATTTTCCATCACGAAATGTTCTCCAGCTGTTCAAGGTCGCTTCAAGGACCCCAGTCTGACAATGGATGGTTTGGAGAAGATCATGCAGGAGTTTGTTGAGTAAGTCAGAGAATAATATTCATACATTCATCTGATATATAAAAAGGAGGCACGGTTGGCCCAGTCGTCTTAGAGTTGTGTCCCTTGGGCGCGCCAGAAACCTATGATTGTGGGTTCGAATCCAGGTTCGCCCCGATTATGTCTCTAGGTTTGTCAGCACCATGCCCATGCTCGTGGGTTTCACCGAAGTGGTAAACGTCTGAGACCTGCATCACTTCGGGCTTTCCTCCCACATTAAGCTGACAGGCCGCAATATAACTGGAATAATGTTAAAAGTGGCGTTAAACCCAACTCACTCACTCACTCACTCATAGTCAGGTTCAGGACTTTCCAGGCACCCATCTTCTCAGCCGTACATCTTTAGTACTATTCTCTATGATGATATCAGGGGAAGTTCATTCACAACTCTAACAACAACATTGTTTTTTTGGTGACTATGTTTTGTATTTCCAGTGCTGCCAAGGCAGGTACTCACCAGGACCAGGGCTTCCCCAACACAGCGTATGGGACGTCCAAGATCGGGGTCACTGTCATGTCCTTCATCCAAGATAGAGAAATCAGGAAGGACTCAAGAGAGGACATTGTCATCAATGCGGTGAGGGCACAGATTTTTCATAAGTGACTCTCTTGCGACCAAGTTGTTTATCCTCTGGATCATGGACATATGCTGAGAAAATACCCTGCAGTTGGAAAACAACCAATTAGCGAAGAAAAAAGCAATCTTAGCAACACAGTTAGTTCATGTACTTCTGAGGTGTAAGATTGGATTTCCAAGGCTGAAGTGTTGTCAGAAAAAAGTGTCTTTTGATATTTACTAACTTTTGCAACTACTGTAAAATAATAACAAGCTATCTGTCAGTGATTCCCAATTGTTTGATTTCTATATTGTTTCCTGATGATGATGATGATGATGATGATAATATGTTCCTTCAGTGCTGCCCGGGCTATGTGGCAACAGACATGTCAAGTCACAAAGGCACAAAGACCATCGATGAAGGTGAGCAGTTTTGCAAGACATGTTCAGAAACACCAACTAATATTTGTTTGTTGTTTAATGCCGCACTCAGCAATATTCCAGCTATAAGACAGCGGTCTGTAAATAATCGAGTGTGGACCAGACAATCCTGTTATTGACATGAGCATTTATCTATGCAATTGGGATACGATGACATGCATCAACCAAGTCAGCGAGCCTGACCACCTGATCCTGTTAGTTGCCTCCTACGACAAGCATAGTCAAATTTTACGGCAAGCTTGGGTTGCTGAAGACCTATTCTACCCCGTAATATCACAGGTAACCAAGTAATAAGACAAACAGAGACAGGCTGTGATGTAGTTTGTGTTCCTATCCAAGTGTGACTGCCTGTTTCTATGCCATGTCTTTGGCTTCCTCGTTGTCATCTCTTATGGTGTCAGAGCAGCTAAGGTCCCGTGTGATCCTTACTTATCACCCTTAGGCATCATAGAGTCCACGTGGTGTGGAGCTGGGGCAGAATAGGTCCCACAAACCTAATACTTGGCTGCCTGCCTGTGTGGAGTTTGGGCACTGTAGGTTCCCAGGGCAGAAAGGTTTCAATGCTTGATATCAAGTCAGAGGCAACTGGATTGGGAATTGCAGATTTTGTCGACCACTGCTAATAACACACTCCCTCGTGACTCCATGCTCATCTCAGTGAAGCCAGATCTGTTCCTCCTGTATCATACCTCTCTGCATGAAGATCTGTGGATGCCTCCATGGGTCACATCAGGTGAGTCAGCCAATCAGTGTTGACGCTGCTCAATTCTCGGTACGAGTGAACGAGGCATTTAGACCATATCTGATGTTTGTATCTCGAAACAAGCTGAAGCAACTATTTCCACATGTAGATGATTAAGGCAGCACCATTATATTGGTCTGAGTATTTTAAACACCGTTGCTTCTGAACACCTGGGCATCTACACAGAAAAGAAGAACCATCGAAGGAATATTTGTGATCTCTGAGGACTTTCGTTTGTCAAGGTGGTAAAACATCAAGCAGAATAATTTTAGAAAGCTGAAGTCTGTTTGCTGCAAAACCCCACGCATCCTTCATCTATACAGGTCGGTCAATGATTGCTCCGAGTTCACCTGACATGACCTTCTATAGATCATCTGATCGTATCAGCGTAAAAGATGTGATTGCAGTGAGAGTATAAGGATTTGAACTGTCAGTGTCAGTGATAAACAGAACTTAAAACTGATAAAATACTCAATCATTTGATATTTGTTGCAGGTGCAGACACCCTGGTATATCTGGCTCTCCTTCCCCCCAACACAGCATCGCCAAAAGGCAACTTCGTATCTGACAGAACCATCCAGAACTGGGGATAATCTGTGATTATACCTTACTCAACATGCGCACAGATCCAGTATATGCAGTATATGCAGGTCTCACAGAGGCAGGGTGAAAACTTTGCAGATAGTCACCCTCTCAGAGAATGTAGTCATGTTACGTTAACAAATAACTTAGCAAAGCATACACTTGAAAATTAGATTTGAGCAAGCAATTACAAGCGTCAAGTAAAACAGTCTTCGAAACACATCCAAAACACAAACTGTGATACCCATGTCAGATAATCACCACCAAATTACCATTTCTTGTTTGTTTTTCGGTTTTAGCCACCATCAAACATGGATGTACACTTTCTTTTGCCTGGCATTTTATTTTGGTGTTTTTGCCTTGAAACATTTTACTGTTTTACATAAAGTTAAAATGGCATGACCTGGTGTATACTTTCTTTTGTCCGGCAGTGTAGTCTAAAGTTGTCCCGTGCCACGGCGTTGAGGTCAGTGACAACCTGATGCTGGAGGCAGATTGTGGACCGGCCTCTTACCCTTCAGTACATGTCCAGGCCAGAGTAATGCTCATAAGGATTCCAACAATGTGCATTTCAAAAGTCTTAATACTATACTTGCAATACTGTGGTGAAAAGATGACCTTCAGTATTGTAATAACTAAGTCTCTTGTGATTTCAAATCTTTATTCTTGTTTCTTTCATTCTTTCTTATCTATTTTCCTTTTGATCGTTCACACAACGCATATTTGCAGAATTTGAAACAGATGAGAAGCTGTCTCAGTGTTTAGCAAAACAAACAATTAAAAGTCTATTCGTTTTAGATAATGATTACCTTAAACATGTAGTGATAACTTCAACACTCAGGCTGACATTTGAACTTGATGGGTAAGTACGTACGGTAAGGTGAGCTAAGGTTGTGCAAGGAGGTGGTTGTGATTTTTTCATCAATCATTGGTCATTGACAGTTTGTTCCAACCTATTACATCATCAACAACACTAGGTTCTGCTTATGGTACAATACATTTGAATCAATTTTTTTAGAATCTTGTTGCTTAAGGTACGGTTGATGTTAATGATGGTTGTATTTTTAAACATTTATCAAGGAGTGCTGAAAGCTTTCTTTATAAATGTCCGTATCCATAGCATCTATAATGAATTTCCATCACTGATGGACATTCAGCGATTATATCTCAGGTAATCAATTCAATCATAAACTATTATCAATGACTGGACCATCACTTGTGGGGATGTTTATTGGGTAGAATATCGCTAATGGTTGATAAACACCTTCTTGACAGTGTAGTATTATGCCAGACACTTGCCACAGATGGATACAGACTGAATGAAATTGTACTCACTTTATTAAGTTGGCTCATATACTTTATTGTAGAAGTCCATGACATAAGGGCCCAACCTTAAATATTCTGGGTCGGGGGAGTTGGGCAAGGATTTTATCGAAATATATAATTGTCCCAGAAAATGTTTTAAAACATTATGCTTCAGATTGTTGCCAAACAAAGAAGTCTGCAGAATATTATGTTGCAAGGTGTTCTTAAACAAAACACATTTTGGCTCATATTTTTCATTATACCGTATTCGACGTAATAAGCGCCCCGCTCTAATAAGCGCCCAGGGCGATATTTATAAATTGGCTAGTGAACAATCTCATTTAGCACCCCTTCCAATTGATCAATGTACATAAGACTTATTTATTCGCGTATGATACGCACTTGTGTGCTACATGCACCCTTAAGTATGGGCAATTACACTCTGGAAAAATACATCTGTCGTACATAAACATTTCAGGCTGTCAGCATAAACCACGAAATTTTTACCAAAGAAATATTCTAGTAAGAGCCCCTTATTACTAATTTTGAGTGCGCCCTGGCCGCTTATTACATCAAATACTGTATCTGGTTTTGCAGCTTGAGCGGAGAAAATTTCCAGTCTCCATACAAAATCCACCCCTGCCCCCAGGATAGCAAATGGGTGGTCTCTTAGTGTGAGATCTATTATGGACATGATGCTCTAGTTTTCATCATTTTTACAAGTATGTTTATTAAGTTGATTGCTGTAATTGTTATGTACAATGTTTTTGCATGTTTTTACAACCTGGTTCAATGTTAACAAAATATATTCATCAAAGGTTCTTGGGTTGATCAGTTGTGAAGATTGTTTTTGATTGGTGTATTTGTTCTATACAATAATTTTGTACATTTTGCTGTTGCTGCCAGTTTTTACATTAAAAGAACTAATAAAATTGTATCCTTTTTGGTTTCTTAGCTATTGCTAATAAAGTCTTTAATGTAAACCAGTGCATGAGCACATGGCCAGCAATATTGCAGCTGTATCCTGATGCCAAAGATGGCACACAATCAGGTTGGAGGCGGTGAGGAAGCCTTGTGGTTCAAGTGTTTCCTTGTCAAGTCAAAGACTACATGGGTACAATGTGTGAAGCCAATTTATGGTGTTCCCTGCCCTGATATTGCTGGAATATTGCTACAAGCGGCGTAAAAGCATACTCACTCACTTTAACGTTGCAGGTGGTATGGTTGGTGTAGATGAAGAGTGACTTGGTCCAGAAAGAAGGTCTATTTGCACCAACACATCAAATCATATTTAACCATCATAAATAGAAGTAAATATCCTGATTTTGACCAACCAGATTCAAGCTTTCTTGTCCCCATGTGATATGACTTAAAAAGTGTTGACTTTGATGTGAATGCTCATTAAGAATCATTTACTCTTACTGCCTTTCATAAGGGGCAACTTACCAGATCGGATGGTCAGGCTCGCTAACATGTTTGATGATGCTAATGATGCCATTCACTGGATTGTCTGGTCTAGACTCGATTTTTTACAGACCACAGTCATACAGCTGGAATATTGTTGAGTATGGCGTTAAACAACAACTACAGTTTGGAGGATGAGGTCAGTTGTTCAGTAATCGATCAGCTATAGGTGATGAAAACATCACTTGAAGCTCCCTTTAATCCGTCAATATCGGGTCATCGATGCACGCCCCACCTCGACGACGGCCAGAAGATGTAGACGTCAGATCACAAGAAATAAAATTAGACACTATTCTTGTCGGAGGGCCTGTGCTAACTGATCCTTGTAACAATGGGGACATGGTCGTGCACAAATTTGGTGGTCAAGGTGACCCATCAAGTGTTCTATAGGTGATAAGTCTGTTGATTGTGCTGGCCATGGTAAGACGTGTGGAGCCTTTTGTTTTCTTGCTGAAACAGGGTTGTGGAAGCTGTTGCTAGAACGGTAGCAGAACAGGGTGAGAGATTGGTCAGTGTAACGCTGTCCAGTGGCGTTGCCATGCAAAATCACCAGGTCTGTGTTTTCATGGATACAGATGCCGCCGGGGCGGTCGGGTAGCCTAGTGGTTAAAGCGTTCGCTCGTCACGCCGAAGACCCTGGTTCGATTCCCTACAAAGGTACAATGTGTGAAGCCCATTTGTGGTGTCCCCCGCCGTGATATTGCTGGAATATTGCTAAAAGCGGCGTAAAACTTCACTCACTCACTCACTCACTCACTCACTCACGACAGATGCCGCCACTTCCAAACGTTTCGACAGCTTAAAAGCAACAACATGAAGTTCCTTCTCCTCGTCGGCGGTAAACACAAATTCTTCCATCTGCTAAGAAAAGCTGGAATCTCCGTAGATTTGACTCTTTGCCAGTTTCGAGCCCATCGATGTCGGTGTTCCGGTGTCAGCGTTACACAACGTGGTGGTCAGCCCTGATATTATACCGACGCGGTCTCCTGGACACTGTCCAGCTACTGACATGGATGACTCTCGCAGCTGATGATTCCTCAGAAGGAGGATATCGTTTTCATGGGTGGTGGTGACACGTCTGCCACTCCTGGGCCTTCTACTAGTACTCTTCCGCCCACAGTCCGTTTGGCTCCAAATGAGAACGATAAATTGAAAAAAATTCAAAATCGGGAATAGTCTATGCCATGTTAATACGGTACTAACTAATGAATACCCTGTACCCAACAATATTCCTATCACTGGGGAAAAAGTTGTTTTAGAACCTATCATGTTATGTGTACAAGTTGACATCTTGCACGGAGGGGGGCACAACGGTAGGAGGAAGCGTTATGTGTCACTCTCTAACCGTCTGAAAAGTTCGTTGCTCCAGCAGTTGTGAGTACAAACAAGTATAGTTGACCATTTTGCTGTCAATTTAAAGAATTTAACGCCGCACTCAGCAATATTCCAGCTGTATGACGGCGGTCTGTAAATAATCGAGTCTGGACCAGACAACCCAGTGATTAATATCATGAGCTTCGATCCACGCAATTGGGATCGATGACATGCATCAACCAAGTCAGCGAGCCTGACAAACTTATCCCGTTAGTCGCCTCTTACGACAAGCATAGTCGCCTTTTACAGCAAGCATGGGTTGCTAAAGACCTATTCTACCCCGGATCTTCGGAGGGGTATATGGTGTTATGTACCCTGTGTGTGAACCAAAGTACCCCGAACCGTTGCCCGCTCCTTAACCAATCAGAAGCTAGTATTTTAATGTAAGGTGAAATAAATAGTTTTGAAAAAAATGGTCTTTTATTATACAAAAATGCTTTATTATTCTGTTCTGTTTTTAATTCACCTACATCTGTATAGTTACTATGTTTTAGTGAAGAGTGAGAAATTCTTAACATTCTTTCCATAGGTTGAATCATCTTTGCCAAGCATATCCCATGTGGAAGCCAGTTTTGGATGTTAAATGTATGTAGTTATTGGGAGGCATACTACACTGGATGATTGGGGATGGGTAACAGCTGTAGTAGATAGGAAATATCTGTATAATACGGTATAATTATTCAAATATATGTTAAACAATATGCGTTTGAGAAAAACTTTGTCACATATCATATTTGTAGAACTCCAAAAAACACCTACATGATAGGGTTTGGAGGTTTTAATCAGAAGATTATTAATGTATGGTTTCCAATAATTATGTTAACAGAACTGACGAGTTTTCTATAGACGTTCTTCTTAGAGAGCATAGGCGTGAAGTTCAATATTGTAATTAATGTGCAAGCAACTCTAAATTCCTGGTGCGGAAAATATTCTTCATCACAATCCCACTTTTCAATCACACTGAGCATATCACATGACGCAGGTGGAAGTGTCAACTTGTGTTTCTAATAGTTGCTGAATACGGTTCATGTCAGCAGTGGATCGATTATGGCATTAACAGAAAGGTTGTTGGTTTGTTGCTTAACGCCACACCCAGCAATATTCCAGCTGTATGACGGCGGTCTGTAAATAATCGAGTCTGGAACGGACAATCCAGTGATTAATATCATGAGCATTGATCCACGCTATTGGGATCGATGACATGCATCAACCAAGTCAGCGAGCCTGACCACCCGATCCCGTTAGTCGCCTCTTACGACAAGCATAGTCGCCCTGGTAAGTACAGATCAAGTTGACACCAGCAAACATGGTAATAAATTTAGTATTTCACAGTAACCTCTACTTATGCGCCTCTGATCTACTTTTAGATAACATGATTCTTGGAGCTTTGTGTTTACAACTAATTGGCATATAAGTCCATATGTTATAATAAGTAACGCAATGGCATATTACGTTTGCGTTTCCATGAGGTATTGTAAAAGTGAAAATATGTTAAAACGACGTTTGTACATTTGAGAAATAACGTTATTTTAAACGACAACAAATATTCCCTTTAATTGTGAAAAATCACTCCAATTCTTTTCCTACTAGTATCATTTCTATTCTCACAGATTTATCTGTAGGATTCCAGACTTAGTGCCCCTGGAAAGCAAATTGGGAATAAATTATTAATATGATATCTTTTTAATAGTTTCTTCATTTTCTTAATTTCAGAGATATGTTAACATTGCAGTAATGTACATGTAAGACGAAGTTCTTTATTGGTCACGTTATTTCTACAAAGCCATAACAATATTTATAATAATAATGGTATGAAATTCTAAATGCTTATGTTTGAATTTGTACATACAAACCGTGAATGTGCATCAGTGTCTGAATAGAGCATTGTTGTATTTGGACAATGTGTTTTGCATTGATTTTGTTTGAACATGTGTTTTGACATTTTCGTAATTTCATTTTATAAGTGGTAAAATTTCTATTGGCTGTCAGTTTAGTGATCTTTGGGTATTCAATATGACTTATACTCCCTGGGGTCCAGTCGTTTAGGTATATTTATATCAATGCAGTAAACATTTTTTTAAATAATTCTACTTAAATACTGTTTCTTATTTGCACCTGTTAGTGTGCTACCTCAAGTGTATAAGGGGCGCATAAACTAACAACGTTCCATGTGCCTTATTAACAATCCGCAAGACATGGCGCCCTTTTTATGCATTATTCACTGCAGTAGAAATCATGTATGTATAATATTGATCTGGAAAGAAGTACAGGAACGCATGCTGATGAGGATGCACTAGGTAATTAGGTAAACTAGGTGTTGTTATACCATTGGGGTTTTGACATTTTTCTTGCGTATTTGTACGCAAACAACTCAAAATGAAAAAATATTTTGCGTATGTTTTACGCAAATGCATTATAAACATCCTGCATTTTGAACAGAAATAAGATTTTCTATTACCGGCTGACCTAACCAACTATGCCAAATATGTCTTCTTAGAAACATTGCAAAAGATAGAAAGTCAGTTGAGCTTACGTTATGCCGTCTTGTCTGCCTGTATGTCCATCCGTCTGCCATTACATTTTCCAAATCCCTTTTCATACAACAAGATCTATTTAGCGGAAACATTACATGAATTACCCCAGCTATGTCACGAAAAAGTGCTTTATAAGTTTCAATCTAATTTTATACATGGCCGTCTGGCAGCCATATTGGAAAGTTTAACCAATAACTCAGCTATTTCACCATGTGTCTTTGTGAAATTTGATGTGCAGTAATAAGTTTGATTTTATTTGTTAGTTGTTTTACACCACACTCAGCAATATTCAAGCTACACCACAGCAGACTCTAAGAAATTAGTCTGGTCCAACACAAACCAGTTGTGAATATTAAAAGCAAATCCAACGCCCTTCTCGGTAAACCATAACACGAAAACACAGTATTAAGGGTATTCTCTCAGGCTTCTGACCAACCTCAAACATCGCTGTCATATTGATGTCTATTTGACATTGCTCAGTCTTTTCTACATCCATCATCATGAAAACTGATACTGAGTAATTACACGTGGTGTGACCAACAATAACAACTGTATGAGATCTGTATTGTAATAGTTATCACAGCGTGATCTGGCTATCAATCAGTGTCATTATAGTCATGATGAAGTGTAGCTGTGCCCTATGCATGTATCATGTTTTATTTAATGAACATGCTGTGAGCAAGTGTTAAGGAGAGACGTATGGTATAAACAAAGCGGCAAAAGAAAGAATAGATTCGCAATTTGTAATTTTCCTAAAAACAGCTATCACTAGTGGAAAGTGGGTGTTGGGAATATGACTGCCCAGGAACAGGTACCCCACAACACCTCACCCGAACGCGCCACCTTTGACGGCGCTCGTGCGGTGACAAATAAATGGTGAAACAGGTTTCCCGCCTATGGCATAAACTGCACGTGCATGTTAGCTGTATAAATACGTTCGTCTGCAGAATATAGCCACACGTGATGAAAGCACACAAAAGAAATGCCACGACTGTCACAGGAGCAGAGAGAGAGAGCCATCGGTAAGGCCGAAATGGGGGCAACACAGGTCCAAATTGCCAGAAGGTTTGGTTGTACACCATTGACAGTAGCCAGGCTGGATTCAACGGTACAGGCAGACAGGGAGGACACAGGACAGGCCTAGAAACGGACGACCCCAAGTGACAACACCACTGAAAGTTGTCAACCCTGCCCTTTATGAATCCGACCCGTGAAGATCCGGGGTAGAATAGGTCTTCAACAACCCATGCTTGCCGTAAAAGGCGACTATGCTTGTAAAAAGGCGACTAACAGGATCTGGTGGTCAGGCTCGCTGACTTGGCAGAAGCATGTCATCGATCCCAATTGCGTGGAACGATGCTCATGATATCAATCACTGGATTGTCTGGTTCAGACTCGATTATTTACAGACCGCCGTCATATAGCTGGAATATTGCTGAGTGCGGCGTAAAACAACAAACCAAACAAACCAAACCAAAACTTTATGAATCCTAGGTGAAACACCACATGCGAAAAATAACTTGGTTTCACTTCTGCCAGTTACATTAAAATATCACAGAGTATTATTAAAGTTATCACAATATGTTCAGAGCTCTTTAAAATATCAACTAAAAGTACTGGTATCATATTCAAGGATATGGTAGCATGGTTTTGAGACAAATAGGCTTGTCCAGCCATCCTCATGACTTCCCCATGTCCATGAATAAAGGTTAGCTTCTGTACCTTTGGTACTCGGCTTTTGGTTTGGAATAAAACTTGGCAGGATGTGATACAGTGTGGTTGAAATTTAACGGAACATCGATCAGGTTGTTTACCTAAAGGATTGTAACTTGTTCTACCAGGTGCAGGGACACTGGTATATCTGACTCTCCTTCCCCCCAACACCACATCCCCTAGAGGCATCTTAGCCGCGGACAGGACCATCCAGAACGGGGGATAACATGTCAATATCAGAAACTGATGGTGCACCTGGGGACAACATGCCTTTGGGCCCGAATACATTAAGGCGAAAGGCATATTGCATGCAGGGCTGTAAGCAGTCGCGACATGTATACATGCTTTGGTCAAACCAACAGCTTTAGGAATTATCCTGCAATTGACTTTCTTGAGTTTTAATGTTCATGTTGTTTTGAAAATAAGCTCACCATGACATCAACATTGTAACAGTAAAGAGGTATTTATTGTGTGCAGATTTTAAAACAGTAATTAAATAGGTTTGATGGTGTGAGTGAGCATGGTTTTACGCCGCTTTTAGCAATAATCCAGCAATATCACGGCGAGGCACACCAAAAATCGGCTTCAAACATTGTACACATATCGGGAATCGAACCCGGATCTTCGGCTTGAAGAGTGAACGCTTTAACCACTAGGCTACCCGACCGCCCCTTTGATGGTAGGAAAGAGGAAGTTTACGGACTTGTGTTTCGTTTAAACTTTTACACACATATGTAGAATCTAGCATTAGAGGATTGTTGAAACACGAGATACTGACGACATTATCTCAACAATCCTGTAATGCTGGAGATATAATACACATGTACATGGTACAATTAAACACAAAAGCCAACCCTACATAAAACTGGTACATGGTGTTCGACTCTGATGGTGGTGAACTTGTCTTCATGTGCTTGCTGTGTATAAATTGGCCTGTGGGTTCTCTGTCATAATTTGCAAATATAATGAGTATTCGTTGAAACCCCCGGACTTGTAGATCGCACTTAGGCGGTTACTGCTGGCAACGTCATTGCTCAAATCCATTTTCGTGAGTTCGGACATTTGTCGACTCTGGAGTCCTCACTCGGTGTGTATCGTCCGAATTAACGGGGTTCACTGTATAATGTATACGCCGTCTATCATATACTGAGTGCGGTATTATTCTAGGATGATACTGATACCGGTGTGTGTCATTTAACTGGATATCTGAGGCTGACATATTAAACCATAAAATACATGAACGTTATTATGTTTTGACGTTGCAAAGTAACAGATGTGCAGGTTAACAGATGAACCACCACCTGTTACACATAATTGAAACCAACCTGAGTGAGCAAATGATCGATTATGTCACAGCTTGTGATGTATAAGGCCAAAACAAAACCGAAAATCTGATTTCAAATGATAAAATGTTATGGTTTATTTTACCATCAAACACCTCTATAACCTCTATATGGAAAACACATGGTTAGTCTGTGGAGAAGGGTGCTTCCTAGCAAACATAAATTTTATCTGTAAGGGTGTGAGTCCACAAGCCCCTAAATCCAGACTTCGAATTCTGTCACCACACAGACCTGTTGATATTATCAGCAGCGATCCACTACGATGGGGTACGGTGATACGCCAACAACCATATTAAAGAAGCCACATATTGTAACCACACGGCACTGACTTCAGTTGGCTGACCACAGCATGGCATGCACTATAAGGATATATTCTGAATTATTACACTTGACAAATTAATTAGCATTAAAACCTTTAAAAAATACGTCGGTATATAAGCCTACAGAAATAAGTATAATTCTGATAGAACTTATCCGATGAATAATAATTCATTTCAAGTTGGGACATAAGCAAAGTTGGCCTATTTTTTTTAAAGAACGTCATGTCAAATCGTTTATGGCGTCATGAACAATGGGTGACGTCATCTTCAATAATGTGCGACAATGCGGACATGCAAAGGGTCAGTGCCACCAGCAAACAAGAAGGAAAGTGCCGACACAACTGTCCCTGGTTGAAATATTCAGAACAGACAATTGACTGGCTTTTGCATGTGTTTGTGACGGGTGCCATCGGTGGGGCAGAATACGCACACCTTTTCGCGAACACCTGGTGTCATTACTTTTTTATAGTGATTCATAAACACAGGCTTATGATATAGTCGGGATTGTACAATCGACTCTTCTTTATGTAGAGCTTTCCATTGGATATGGAAAGGGTTTTGTCGCTTTAATATAATAATAACAATGGCATGTCTTTCTCAATTCCAATGGGGCTGTATCTCTCCTTAACAGACCGAGATAAATGTCTGATTCTTGTAAGAAATACACTAAGTTCAGAGTTGATGGTTGATTTACTGTGATCTAACATTCAAATCTAAACAGGTTTAAGACTTCTGAGCATGCGTAATGACATCAGTAAGATTCTTGGAGATCAAATGAAGCATGCCACTTGTCACCAGCTTAGGACTGCATGTTCATGACTTCATTATCTGTCCTTGGACACAGACACACACACACACACACACACGAAACACACACGACACACACACATACACACACACATGACACACACATACATGACACACATATACACACACAAACGACACACACACACATATATTGTACATGACACACACACATGACACATACACATACACATACATACACACACACATACATACACACATCACAGCACACACACACACACACACGACACACACATACACACACACATGACACACACATACATGACACACACATATACACACACAAACGACACACACACATACATTGTACATGACACACACACATACATGACACATATACACACACATACATACACACACACATACACACATCACACACACATACATACACACATCACAGCACAACACACACACATACATACACACACACACATACAAACACACATCACAACACACACATACACACACATACATACACACACACACACACACACACACATACATACACACATCACACACACACATACATACACACATCACACACACACATACATACATACACACATCACACACACACACACATACACACACATACACACACACATACACACACACACACACACACACACACACACACACACACACACACACACACACACACACACCACTCCGGTTGCTGAGAGTCTCTTGGACTACACATACATAAACCCAGATAATACTCTGACATATGTATGTGGACATATTTTGCAGCAGTTTTCCAGATGTTCTTGAATCTCTTCCAGGTGACTGGGTCCAACAAGGGCGTGGGGTTTGCCGTCGTCAGAGCGTTGTGTAAAAGCTACCATGGGGACGTCTTTCTCACATGTAACTAATTACCCTTATTTCTAGTGGATCAAATAGCCTGTTCTGAATTGTGAATGGTAAAACTTAATTATTATTCCTTTTCAGAAATATTGCAAACGGCAAATCTGAGAAATCTGAAATTTATTTACGCTTATGCTTTACGCTTTTGGAATCTTTATGGCATTCCAGGAAAGTTCAGGTGGGTCCAGTTTTCTTCAAATTTCGACCTCCCGAGTAAACTGGTTAGCAAGGGCACATGTGATATAGTATGTGAGACCTAGCTGGTACTTTTACTAATTTAGCTCACACAGGCTAAAGAAGGTTCTACTCTGATGTGTTCCCAGATTTCTCCTCTGCATTTTTGCAGAGTTACCTCCCTTAGGTATCCCATGTGTCAACGTTTATGGGGTTTGAGACATCAATTTGAGCTAATACTAGGCTTTTGCCAATATTTGAATTCAATTGTCTACCTCCACCACACAGCTCGAGGGGTAGGTCGTGGCCAAGCAGCCATCGCTGACCTAAACAAGGAAGGCTTGCAGCCCAAGTTCCATCAGCTAGACATCAACGACCGGTCAAGTGTAGATCAGTTGAAGTCCTTCCTACAGACCACCTACGGGGGATTGGATGTCCTGGTCAACAATGCCGGAATAGCATACAAGGTATAACATCTGGTTACTGCGATGCTGGAATAGCATACAAGACGTAATTTCTTGTTATTATGACGATGGAAGAGCGTACAAGGTATAACATCTTGTTATTGTGACAATGGAAGAGCGTACAAGGTATAATATCTTGTTATTGTGACAATGGAAGAGCGTACAAGGTATAACATCTTGTTATTGTGACAATGAAAGAGCGTACAAGGTATAACATCTTGTTATTGTGACAATGAAAGAGCGTACAAGGTATAACATCTTGTTATTTTGACAATGAAAGAGCGTACAAGGTATAACATCTTGTTATTGTGACAATGGAAGAGCGTACAAGGTATAATATCTTGTTATTGTGACAATGGAAGAGCGTACAAGGTATAATATCTTGTTATTGTGACAATGGAAGAGCGTACAAGGTATAATATCTTGTTATTGTGATTATATCTCTGATGCGGGAGGATACAGGAGAAAATGTTAAATATGTAAAAATCAAATATTTACATAGGTATAAAGTCATACAGTAAGATGTATCTGTGGTATGTCTTTGATTTGAGTCATGTAACTTAAATAATTGTCTTGCAATGAATGATTATCAGTTCAAACAAATGGAATTGACCTAATGATTATTCAATAAGTATTTTCTCATGAGAACTTAAATATTAAAAGTGGTAATCCCCCTGTAATATTACCTCCACTGTGTACTTACTGCAAACGTTAGACATTTTATACATGATGTATCGCCTGTATAACGTGGGCAATTTGTCTTGCTTATGTTTTGGGGGCGGTCGGGTAGCCTAGTGGTTAAAGCGTTCGCTCGTCACGCCGAAGACCCGGGTTCGATTCCCGACATGGGTACAATGTGTGAAGCCAATTTCTGGTGTCCCCCGCCGTGATATTGCTGGAATATTGCTAAAAGCGGCGTAAAACCATACTCACTCACTTGCTTATGCTTGGATCAGGGATTTACCTGTTGATAAATCCTGTATCCGATACGCATAAAACTTAAATCGGAAACAAAACATATACAGACTGCATCCACTTGGATGCAGTCAAATTGTATTTATGTTTCGGAATGAGTAATGCTATTTCATGGCGGATAACTAATTTCTGTACGTTATCATTTGTAAAATACAATACATAGATTTGTTACAATTGGCCAAAGCCACATCTATCTTTTTTTCATTGACGACCTCTCAGCATAGACAGTCTTACTAGAGTGGTAGAGTACTGCACACAATTTGTGACATTATCTGACTCCCATTTTATAGGTTTGCACCCTACAATTGAAGGTTTTGAGTTTCCTGGACCTCCCAAATATGTCATTGTGTTAGGAGTAGCTGGACACCCAGTGGTATGATGTAGACATCTCAAATATGTTTTGTTTTTTTGTTACACTTATAGTCAGCATGAACCAGTATTCTACCACCCTTAGTGTGAAAAATAAACTGGACTTGAACTCGTGCGTTTGCCGTAATGGTTATGACCTACACTTCGAATTCGTAACTTGATCTTAATATACCTAGCCATGATTTTGGCTCACTTTAAGTAACAACAACAGATACAGTTGATTATCAACATATGAAACATGCACTAACTTGACTGGTAATAAAAACTTTTCTAGGGGAAAGGTGTTCACGAAGAATTCAACTGTCAAATGCTAACTTCAGCTTCTGAGCTGTTGAGCAAACTGGTGTTCACCTGTCAGGAACAGAGTATAATCCCCTAGACATAATCCCCTTAATCTTCCTGAATTTCAGTTTTGAGCTAACTGGGAAGACCCCAAAATATAACCCAGGTATTCACTGTAAGATTACATAGATGGTCCAGATCACTCGCCGTCAACGACTAGACATACAAAGCCTGACCAAATTGAGAAAATGTATTTATGACTGAAATTTGACAAAACTTAATATTCATATTCTCGTGAGAGGAATCTCCATCACTTTTCGGCTCACCGTTAAATAGGGTTACTAGAGTTCTCATTATGAAATATGTCTTGGAAAATGGTGAAATGTCAGTTTCACTTAATATTGGTATGTTCTGGTATGTGATTGGTAAAGATCGAAGGTAACGTCAACCATTGTGAATAAGGCAGCAATGATTGTGTACATACTGTCTTGGGTATTTACTCTTGAAATTAACGAAATTCAAATGAGTCATCAACCACAGCCTGGGATGAAGGTCATGGAGGCAGCAGTTGTCTAAAGGATGACGGGTTGCCTAATCTCATACCAGTCTGGCTGACAGTCTTTGATATTCCAGAAAGCTCACCCAGCCCCTTTCTCGGAGCGTGCTGAAGTTACGTGTAAGACGAACTTCTGGGCCACCCTGGATGTTTGCCGTGTTCTGTTCCCCCTGCTCCGACCTCACGCCAGGTACGACACAACAACATCTCAGCGTTCATCATGTGTATCACATCCTGTGTATCATGGACTATATTATATTTTGTACCCCATGATCGAACTTATTGTGTTCTAAAGGGGTCCTTGTGCTAACCTTAATTTTATTGTGAAGATTTAGGGGGTCACTAGATGGAATAACTTCAGGTGCTACCCTCAAGGACAGCTGGATACCTCTTTAGAATAAAAACTGCCGTTGACCACATAGTACTTAAAGGAAAATGAAAGAGCAGAAAAATATTTGGAAGCTATGCATATTTAACAAAAGAAATGAATACAAGCTTATGTTCATGATAGAGAGAGGGAGGGAGAGATGGTTGATAAGGAATGTTCACGGGCTCCTTCCTTTGGAATGGTTCTAAGGTTTTTAGTTGTCTCACTTAAATACCAGGAGCTTCTGGGAGCATGTCCCCCACCAACGAATTTTCTTTTTTAAACAATAGCTATCCTAACTACATGTTAAAGACCGCTTCATATAGCGGGAATATTGCTGAGTGCGGCGTTAAACAACAAACAACACAAACAAGGGTCAGCTGGATGATCTTGTGTTGAAGCAGTAACGTGAAACTGGATTTTATTGTCATTTTTATCCTAAGTACATCAAGATGCCCCAAAGTCCCAAAGTCAGTTTTTGTTCGAGCATTCCACCATGTCACTCAACCATCACAGAATGTTCTACCGCTGTTCAAGGTCGCTTCAAGGACCCTAGCCTGACAATGAACGGTCTGGAGAAGATCATGCAGAAGTTTGTTGAGTAAGTCAGAGAAAAATATGAGGCGATGTGACAAGGGGTTTTACATCGATTATTTCACTTCTATAGAATCTTAGCACATAAATGACACATCTATTTATGCAAACAAGTAATCACCGATAACTCCAATAGACTGCTTTAGGACCAAGGAGACATTTACGCCGTGCCATTTTTATGACATGGAAACACAATCTTTTAAGAATGGATATGATTTTACAACTCCCACAATTGTATTGTTGTGGCTGTACTGTCAGTTGTGCTCTTCTATGTGCAGTATTGTCAAGGCAGGTAAACACCAGAACCATGGATTCCCAAACACGTAGGGCGTCATGTCCAAGATCGGGGTCCTTCATCCAAGACAGAGAAATCAGGAAGGACTCAAGAGAGGACATCGTCATCAATACGGTGAGATCATAGCTTGATGGTTTTGATAACTGATTCCCTTACGATGATGATGATGATGATGATGATGATGTGTTTCCTTCAGTGCTGTTCGGGCAGCGTGACAACAGACATGTCAAGTCACCAAGGCACAAAGACTATCGATGAAGGTGAGCAGTTTTGCAGGACATATTCAGAAACACCAGGCTGTGATGTAGTTTGTGTTCCTGTCCAAGTATGACTCCCAGCTTCTATTCAAATGTCTTTGGCTTCCTCGTTGTCATCGACTCCTAGAGCAGATTAGGTCCATAATAACCCATACTTATGTTACCTGGGGCTACATGGGGCCCAAGTATCCCTTACGTATCTCCTTGAATGGAGTTGGGGCAGAATAGGCCCCCGGAACCTCGTACTTGGCTGTCTGCCTAGAGCTTCCCAGAGAAAAAAATAATTAGTCGTAATTCATATTACTTCATCAAATATATAGAAAAACAAGCTGGGACATTTCAAACAGAATATAACTAACTTATTAGTTTGTTTTTATAATTATGTAGAATTTTCCAAAGAGGTTCTTTGTATGAAGCATACACGCGGAGCACAGCGTACAGAGTGTAATTGTTGTGCGAGCAACTCTTAATTATTGGGGCTGTAATAATTAGTCCTCACAACACGCAGTCGCATTTAACAATCCCACTTTTCAATCACGCTGAGCATATGTCATGACGCAGGTGGGAGTGTCTGCTCGTTTATTTCATATTTGCTAAAGGACAGCTCATTTCAACAGAGGATCGGCCATGGCAAGTAACAGAAAGGTAGCACTGGTAAGAACAGATAGTTGGTTCCAGCAAACATGGTGAACATGCCAATTTAGTATTTTACAACTAACTCCACTATTCCGACCTATTCTTAGAGCTTTGTTTTCACAACTAACTGATATCCTGTCTATAACTAATGACCGGTGACGCAATGGTGTGTTGTTTTTAGCGCAGCAGATACCGACTTACATTACTGCAACCATTATGTATACATCATATATACATACATGATATATATACATAGACACAATATTGCGTCCTATATGCGTACAAAATGGAAATAGACGCAAATATCTTACTTTACAAGTCCTGGCGGAAGCAAAAACATATTGCTGTATGAAGGATAAAAACTATTGCATGTTACATATAATTGACATTCCTGTTCTCTGGAATTTATCTGTAGGGTTAAAAGAAGTTTTTTTATTTTTCTGAAATTTAGAGGTACTACATTCATAACATTACATTCAAGGCATTAATGTAAAACTATGCATTGATACCACTTCCTCCTTATTTTTCCTGTTGCAGGAAGACCCGTGAAAATCCGGGCAAGAATAGATCTTCAGCAACCCATGCTTGGCGTAAAAGGCGACTATGCTTATCGAAAGAGGCAACTAACGGGATCGGGTGGTCATGCTCGCTGACTTAGTTGATGCAGGTCATCGTATCCCTATTGCGTAGGGGTAGAATAGGTCTTCAGCAACCCATGCTTGCCGTAAAAGGCGACTATGCTTGTCGTAAGAGGCGACTAACGGGATCGGATGGTCAGACTCGCTGACTTGGCAAAATGCATGTAATCGGTCCCAATTGCGTGGATCGATGCTCATGATGTCAATCACTGGATTGTCTGTTCCAGGCTCGATTATTTACAGACCGCCGTCATATAGCTGGAATATTGCTGAGTGCGGCGTTAAATAACAAACAAAAAACACAAACCTACTATGTGTATCGATGCTCATGATGTCAGCCACTGGATTGTCTGGTCCAGACTCGATTATGTACAGAGTGTCGCGTTAAACAACAACAACAAAAAACCAAACCTGTTGAAGCAGTTTTCCAAATGTTCATGAATATCTTCCAGGTGACGGGGTCCAACAAGGGCGTGGGGTTTGCCGTCGTCAGGGCGTTGTGTAAGAGCTACGATGGGGACGTCTTCCTTACATGTAACTTATTAATCTTATTTCTGTAGACTTTTGCAAAATGGCAAACTAAAGACCAGGAATCCCTTCGGCCACAGTACTTAATGGTATGCTTTCCAGCTTCTGACAAACTTAGTTGTCATGATGAAAAAGTCATGTTTGTCAGTCATTTCTAAATGCATCATCATGAAATTCGGTATCGGGTCACAACTTTGACCTTTATGTCATGTCGTGGCTACCGTTAGTGTTGCTTTTGTCATAATGAACATGTAGTTTTGCTCCACATATATCTGTAACCTTTGTATTTTGTACATGGCGTGAGGATGTGTACAGTAGAGACATCTGTTGTTTATTTACTCTTACCCTTTACACGTGTATGATCGTATATGATATACCAGGAAAATTTTGGTAAGCCTCTATGGTTCTTCTTATTTCGAGCAATTCGTTGATTATGAAAAACACACATAATATGGTAAGCGTGGCCTGGTTGGTACGTCTAGCTCTCCTATGCTAAAGAAGGTTCTACTAAGATATGTTCCTGATTTTTCCTTTACAGTTTTAGATCTTGACCTCAAATCACGCATTTCCTCAATTATAAGTTTTGAGCCACACTTTTAAGCCAATGCGAGGCTCTCGCCAATACATGTATTTGAATTAATTGGTGTTCCTCTACCCACACAGCTCGGGATGTAGGTCGTGGGCAGGCGGCCATCGCTGACCTAAACAAGGAAGGATTGCAGCCCAAGTTCCATCAGCTGGACATCAGCGACCGGTCAAGCATTGAGCGACTTAAGTCCTTTCTACAGTTCACCTATGGGGGGTTGGATGTTCTGGTCAACAATGCCGGAATAGCGTACCAGGTATATCTTGTTATTGTGGTGCTGGAATAATATACAAGGCATAACATCTTGTTAATTTGATCCTGTAACAGCGTACAAGCGATAAGATAGTGGTGTTATGATATTGGAATATATATCATACAGTATAACGTCTTGTTAATGTGATCCTGTAACAGCGTAAAAGCCATAAGACAGTGGTGTTATGATATTGGAATATATATCATACAGTATAGCGTCTTGTTAATGTGATGCGTGAACAGAGAACAAGCCATAAGACAGTGGTATTATGATATTGGAATATATATCATACAGTATAGCGTCTTGTTAATGTGATGCGTGAACAGAGAACAAGCCATAAGGTATTTTGATACTGGAATACCATACAGTAGAACGTCATGTTATTAAAACTGTATAAGGCAGCTTGGGTCGTTGCTCATTCTGTCTTCTACTGGTTTGGGAGGTCCGGACTTGCGAGTCCACTGTAATCTTGCTGGTTGATTTCTGTAACAGCCTTCACTCGCTGTGATTGTGATTAAACTTGTGATTAAATTAATCCAGTTGGCTCTGAGTTATTGATGGTGATATAGTGAAGAGACTATGTATCTTGAGTTGAAACATGCCCGGTTAGATATTGATGACACATTAAAACTAAAAAGAGCTTTAGTGGTGCACGTCTTGGTGTTTGTGCTGTAAAAGTTTGTACTTGAAATATAAATATCACGTAAGTATCCATGACAGCTTGTCTCTAACACCAGGTGATATCTCGTCAATTCTATATTAGAACAGATTCATAGTATCAAATGTGGTTGATGTTGTCATAACATACTGATTTTATTGCCATTTTCACATGACAATATGGATCATAGAAGTTGGTGAACTAGTGTTGTGACCAACCACCTGGACAAACCCCCAAAACACAACAATTTCACCTTATTACTAGAGACAAACACATCGCGGCATCCCCCACCCCCAGAAAACATATAAAACAAAACAAATAGTTATGTAACTGAGGGTACCTATGATGTGGTGTATGAAACCTAACACATTGTCATGGTTGTCTGGAGGTCAATTATGAATAAAAATATATAGGATATATTTCATAACAATTCCAGTTACTAATTTGAAAAGGAATGTAAGACAAGATTACTTGATATACTTCCCCTCAAAAGCTGAATTTGATTGATTCAAATCTACCAACTAGAAACATGTCTGTGAGAACGTGCGAAAAAGCAACGGTCACTTTATGAGTGAGTGAGTGAGGTTTTACGCCGCTTTTAGCAATATTCCAGCAATATCACGGCGGGGGACACCAGAAATGGGCTTCACACATTGTACCCATGTCGGGAATCGAACCCGGGTCTTCGGCGTGACGAGCTAACGCTGTCACTTTATGAAGGCCATCACATATATCCAGCGTTATACAATCACCTTCAGTAAAATACATACAAAGAACAAGCTCACACCCGTTTAAAGTACTTTGCCTCTAGCTAGCAAAATGAAGACGCTCTGGGTATTTCCACTGTAATTTCATCTTTTACCTCACTAGTGATATCTTTTACCCAAAAAAGAAAGTTAAACACACTTCTGGTTGAGGAATACACATGTCATCTTTGTATGGTGCTGTTTATTTCTACGTTTAAGGACATATTTTGTATTTTCGAATGTTTCAGTGTTCCAAAATTCAGGGATGAAAATCCAAAACATTAAATCATTTTGTGTGGACAAAATATTTCTGTTATAACATCCAAATATTAATTTTAATGAACAAAATACACGAGACTTATATCCCAGGATATTCCAGGAAGATGACCCAGCCTCTTTCTCGGAACGTGCTGAAGTTACGTGTAAAACGAACTTCTCGGCCACCCTGGATGTTTGCCGTGTTCTGTTCCCCCTGCTCCGACCTCACGCCAGGTACGACACAACAAACCAGCTCACACGCCAGGTACGACAACAAACCAGCTCACACGCCAGGTACGACACAACAAACCAGCTCACACGCCAGGTACGACACAGCAAACCAGCTCACATGACAGGTATGACACAACAAACCAGCTCACATAACAGGTACGACAACAAACCAGCTCACACGCCAGGTACGACACAACAAACCAGCTCACACGCCAGGTACGACAACAAACCAGCTCACACACCAGGTACGACAACAAACCAGCTCACACGCCAGGTACGACAACAAACCAGCTCACACACCAGGTACGACACAACAAACCAGCTCACACGTCAGGTACGACACAACAAACCAGCTCACATGACAGGTAAGACACAACAAACCAGCTCACACGCCAGGTAAGACACAACAAACCAGCTCACACGCCAGGTACGACACAACAAACCAGCTCACATGACAGGCATGACACAGAAAATAAGCTCACATGACAGGTACGACACAACAAACCAGCTCACATGACAGGTACGACACAACAAATCAGCTCACATGACAGGTACGACACAACAAACCAGCTCACATGACCGGTACAACACAACAAACCAGCTCACATGACCGGTACAACACAACAAACAAGCTCACATGACAGGTACTCCACAACAAACCAGCTCACATGACAGGTGTGTCAACACAAACCTGCTCACATGACAGGTACGACACAACAAACCAGCTCACACGCCAGGTACGACACAGCAAACCAGCTCACATGACAGGCATGACACAACAAACCAGCTCACATGACAGGTACGACACAACAAACCAGCTCACATGAGCGGTACAACACAACAAACCAGCTCACATGACAGGCATGACACAACAAACCAGCTCACATGACAGGTACGACACAACAAAGCAGCTCACATGACCGGTACAACACAACAAACTAGCTCACATGACAGGTACGTCACAACAAACCAGCTCACATGACAGGTATGACACAACAACCAGCTCACATGACAGGTACGACAAAACAACCAGCTCACATGACAGGTACGTCACAACAAACCAGCTCACATGACCGGTACAACACAACAAACTAGCTCACATGACAGGTACGTCACAACAAACCAGCTCACTTCACAGGTATGACACAACAAACTAGCTCACATGACAGGTACGACACAACAACCAGCTCACATGACAGGTACGACAAAACTAACCAGCTCACATGACAGGTACGTCACAACAAACCAGCTCACATGACAGGTATGACACAACAAACAAGCTCACATGACCGGTACAACACAACAAACCAGCTCACATGACAAGCATGACACATCAAACCAGCTCACATGACAGGTACGACACAACAAACAAGCTCACATGACAGGTACCGCACAACAAACCAGCTCACATGACACGTACGTCACAACAAACCAGCTCATATGACAGCTACGACACAACAAACCAGCTCACATGACAGGTACGACACAGCACATCAGCTCACATGACAGGTACGATACAACAAACCAGCTCACATGACCGGTACAACACAACAAACTAGCTCACATGACTGGCACGTCACAACAAACTAGCTCACATGACAGGTGTGTCAACCCAAACCAGCTCACATGACAGGTACGACACAACAAACCAGCTCACACGCCAGGTACGACACAGCAAACCAGCTCACATGACAGGTACGACACAACAAACCAGCTCACATGACCGGTACAACACAACAAACCAGCTCACATGACACGTACGTCACAACAAACCAGCTCACACGCCAGGTACGACACAGCAAACCAGCTCACACGCCAGGTACGACACAACAAACCAGCTCACATGACAGGTACGACACAACAAACTAGCTCACATGACCGGTACAACACAACAAACTAGCTCACATGACAGGTAAGACACAACAAACCAGCTCACGTGACATTAATGACACAACAAACCAGCTCACATGACAGGTACGACAAAACTAACCAGCTCACATGACTGGTACGACACAACAAACCAGGTCACATGACACGTACGTCACAACAAACCAGCTCACATGACAGGAACGACACAACAAACCAGCTCACATGACAGCTACGACACAACAAAACAGCTCACATGACAGGTACGACAAAACTAACCAGCTCACATGACAGGTACGACACAACAAACTAGCTCACATGACAGGTACGTCACAACAAACCAGCTCACGTGACAGTAATGACACAACAAACCAGCTCACATGACAGGTACGACAAAACTAACCAGCTCACATGACTGGTACGACACAACAAACCAGGTCACATGACACGTACGTCACAACAAACCAGCTCACATGACAGGTACGACACAACAAACCAGCTCACATGACAGGTGGGTCACAACAAACCAGCTCACATGACAGGTTCGACACAACAAACCAGCTCACTTGACAGGTACGACACAACAAACGAGCTCACATGACAGGCATGACACAACAAACCAGCTCACATGACAGGTACGACAAAACTAACCAGCTCACATGACAGGTACGACACAACAAACTAGCTCACATGACAGGTACGTCACAACAAACCAGCTCACGTGACAGTAATGACACAACAAACCAGCTCACATGACACGTACGTCACAACAAACCAGCTCACATGACAGCTACGACACAACAAACCAGCTCACATGACAGGTACGACACAGCACATCAGCTCACATGACAGGTACGATACAACAAACCAGCTCACATGACCGGTACAACACAACAAACCAGCTCACATGACAGGTACGTCACAACAAACCAGCTCACATGACAGGTGTGTCAACACAAACCAGCTCACATGACAGGTACGACACAACAAACCAGCTCACACGCCAGGTACGACACAACAAACCAGCTCACATGACAGGTACGACACAACAAACCAGCTCACATGACCGGTACAACACAACAAACCAGCTCACATGACACGTACGTCACAACAAACCAGCTCACACGCCAGGTACGACACAGCAAACCAGCTCACACGCCAGGTACGACACAGCAAACCAGCTCACATGACAGGTATGACACAACAAACTAGCTCACATGACCGGTACAACACAACAAACTAGCTCACATGACAGGTACGTCACAACAAACCAGCTCACATGACAGGTATGACACAACAAACCAGCTCACATGACAGCTACGACACAACAACCAGCTCACATGACAGGTACGACAAAACTAACCAGCTCACATGACAGGTACGTCACAACAAACCAGCTCACATGACAGGCATGACAAAACAAACCAGCTCACATGACAGGTACGACAAAACTAACAAGCTCACATGACAGGTACGACACAACAAACCAGCTCACATGACAGGTACGACACAACAAACCAGCTCACATGACAGGCATGACACAGCAAACCGGCTCACATGACAGGTACGACACAACAAACCAGATGATATGACAGGTACGACACAAAAAAACAGCTCACATGACAGCTACGACACAATAAACCAGCTCATACGAGAGGTACGACACAACAAACCATCTCACATGACAGGTTCGACACAACAAACCAGCTCACATGACAGGTACGACACAACAACCAGCTCACATGACTGGTACGACACAACAAACTAGTTCACATGATAGGTACGTCACAACAAACCAGCTCACGTGACAGGTATGACACAACAAACCAGCTCACATGACAGGTACGACAAAACTAACCAGCTCACATGACAGGTACGTCACAACAAACCAGCTCACATGACAGCTACGACACAATAAACCAGCTCATACGAGAGGTACGACACAACAAACCAGCTCACATGATAGGTATTACACAACAAACCAGCTCACATGACAGGTACAACAAAACTAACCAGCTCACATGACAGGTACGACACAACAAACCAACTCACATGACAGGTACGTCAAAACTAACCAGCTCACATGACAGGTACGACACAACAAACTAGCTCACATGACAGGTACGTCACAACAAACCAGCTCACGTGACATTAATGACACAACAAACCAGCTCACATGACAGGTACGACAAAACTAACCAGCTCACATGACTGGTACGACACAACAAACCAGGTCACATGACACGTACGTCACAACAAACCAGCTCACATGACAGGAACGACACAACAAACCAGCTCATATGACAGGTACGACACAACAAACCAGCTCACATGACAGGTGGGTCACAACAAACCAGCTCACATGACAGGTTCGACACAACAAACCAGCTCACTTGACAGGCACGTCACAACAAACCAGCTCACATGACAGGCACGACACAACAAACCAGCTCACATGACAGGTACGACAAAACTAACCAGCTCACATGACAGGTACGACACAACAAACTAGCTCACATGACAGGTACGTCACAACAAACCAGCTCACGTGACAGTAATGACACAACAAACCAGCTCACATGACAGGTACGACAAAACTAACCAGCCCACATGACTGGTACGACACAACAAACCAGGTCACATGACACGTACGTCACAACAAACCAGCTCACATGACACGTACGACACAACAAACCAGCTCATATGACAGGTACGACACAACAAACCAGCTCACATGACAGGTACGACACAACAAACCAGCTCACATGACAGGTGGGTCACAACAAACCAGCTCACATGACAGGTTCGACACAACAAACCAGCTCACTTGACAGGTACGACACAACAAACGAGCTCACATGACAGGCATGACACAACAAACCAGCTCACATGACAGGTACGACAAAACTAACCAGCTCACATGACAGGTACGACACAACAAACCAGCTCACATGACAGGTACGTCACAACAAACCAGCTCACGTGACATTAATGACACAACAAACCAGCTCACATGACAGGTACGACAAAACTAACCAGCTCACATGACTGGTACGACACAACAAACCAGGTCACATGACACGCACGTCACAACAAACCAGCTCACATGACAGGAACGACACAACAAACCAGCTCATATGACAGGTACGACACAACAAACCAGCTCACATGACAGGTTCGACACAACAAACCAGCTCACATGACAGGTTCGACACAACAAACAAGCTCACTTGACAGGCACGTCACAACAAACCAGCTCACATGACAGGCATTACACAACAAACCAGCTCACATGACAGGTACAACAAAACTAACCAGCTCACATGACAGGTACGACACAACAAACCAACTCACATGACAGGTACGACAAAACTAACCAGCTCACATGACAGGTACGACACAACAAACTAGCTCACATGACAGGTACGACACAACAAACTAGCTCACATGACAGGTACGTCACAACAAACCAGCTCACGTGACAGTAATGACACAACAAACCAGCTCACATGACAGGTACGACAAAACTAACCAGCTCACATGACTGGTACGACACAACAAACCAGGTCACATGACACGCACGTCACAACAAACCAGCTCACATGACAGGAACGACACAACAAACCAGCTCATATGACAGGTACGACACAACAAACCAGCTCACATGACAGGTTCGACACAACTAACCAGCTCACATGACAGGTACGACACAACAAACTAGCTCACATGACAGGTACGTCACAACAAACCAGCTCACGTGACATTAATGACTAAACAAACCAGCTCACATGACAGGTACGACACAACAAACCAGGTCACATGACACGTACGTCACAACAAACCAGCTCACATGACAGGAACGACACAACAAACCAGCTCATATGACAGGTACGACACAACAAACCAGCTCACATGACAGGTGGGTCACAACAAACCAGCTCACATGACAGGTTCGACACAACAAACCAGCTCACTTGACAGGCACGGCACATCAAACCAGCTCACACCCCGTGTACGACAGAGCAAACCAGCTCACATGACAGGTACGACAAAACAAACCAGCTCACATGACAGGTACGTCACAACAAACATGCTCACACCCCGTGTACGACACAGCAAACCAGCTCACATGACAGGTACAACACAACAAACTAGCTCACACCAGAAACGACACAACAAACCAGCTCATATGCAAGGTACGACACAACAAACCAGCTCACATGCCAGGTACGACACAACAAACCAGCTCACATGACAGGTACAACACAATAAACCACCTCACACCAGGTACGACACAACAAACCAGCTCACATGACAGGTACGACACAACAAACCAGTTCACGCCAGGTACGACACAGCAAACCAGCTCACATGACAGGCATGACACAACAAACCAGCTCACACGCCAGGTACGACACAATAAACCAGCTCACATAACAGGGACATCAACAAACCAGCTCACATGACAGGTACGACACAACAAACCAGCTCACACCAGGTATGACACAGCAAACCAGCTCACATGACAAGTATGACACGACAAACCAGCTGACATGACAGGCATGACACAACAAACCAGCTCACATGACAGGCATGACACAGCAAACCAGCTGGAATGTGGTGGCATAAAACAAAATGTACTCACTCATTTGATATTTAACAATAACTGATTTGATATGGCTGTCAGAATAAAAGAAGTCAAGACAGAGTACTTGGCACATGTTTAGAAAAAAACTAAACAAATGGCCATTGTAAAAAGAACGATGTCCCCTATATTGCTTTGGCAGAGTTGTGAACGTCTCAAGCTTGGTATCTCAGTCTGCCATCACAAGATGTTCTCCAGCTGTTCAAGGTCGCTTGAAGGACCCCGGCCTGACAATGGGTAGTCTCGAGAAGATCATGCAGGAGTTTGTGTAGTAAGTCAGAGAATAAATGGGTTTAAAAGAGAAGTGAAATGGGTTCTTTTGAACTAATATGTTATGTGAATATGAACAAAGCAATGCTGTCATGCAAATCTGCTCTAGATTTGTCTGTGCTGAACTCTAAAACCGAACACTGAGGTCCGAGCAGAACACACAAACGCCATGGTCCTTTCAGAAAACACACACAACATGGCCCATTAGGGACACACAAACTGCATGGTCTCTTCAGAACACACAAACGCCCTGGTCCATTCAGAATACACAAACGCCTTGGGCCAATCTCATTAAAATCAGATCTAAGTTCTCGCTGCCGCTTAACAAAGATCTGAGGACATCCTATTACGGGTCACGTCAGACCGACCTTGCGCGAACTTTGACCGACCAATGGAATGACTAACCTGAAACCTGAACAAACGAACATTCTGGAATCGCTAATAGATGGTCCAGATTGTATGGATTCAGTCGTTAAACCCGTAACTATCGTTCGGAATACATCGTGTTAAAGTTTTCGAGGATGCATGACTAGAAATCAGATTCCGACTGTCACTTTCATCATCTGGTAAGCGACGCTCTGATTGGTCGGATGAAAGGTCGTTCTAACGTGACCCCTACTGGGATGTCCTCAGATCTTTGTTTAGCGATAGCGAGAACTAAGATTTGATTTTAATGAGATTGGCCTTGGTCCATTCAGAACACACAAACGCGATTGTTCATTCAGGACGAACAAACACCATGGTCAATTCAGAACACATATACACTAGGGTCCATTCAGAAAACAACTTAAAGTATGTGTTGATTCTAATGCCAGTTGTGGTCTATATTTCCAGTGCTGCCAAGGCAGGTACTCACCGGGACCAGGGTTTCGCCAACATACCTTACGGAATGTCCAAGATCGGGGTCACTGCCATGTCCTTCATCCAAGACAGAGATATCAGGAAGGACTCAAGAGAGGACATCGTCATCAACGCGGTGAGGGCATAGGTCTGTGGTTTTGATAAGCGACTCCATTACAGACAAATATTTAGCATTTATATCACGGATATATATTGAGATGATATCCTGCAGGTGATTCCTGATTGACTGATAATAGAGTGGGTGGTGGTTTTGTTGCAATATTACACTGAACAATATCACTGATTTCAAATTGACGTGTTAGGTTATTTGTGTTAATAATTTCAAAAAACACTCCTTGAAATTATTTTGTAGGTATTTATTTATAACTTCAATATGTTTTTGTATTTATGGAGTTTTCGGATTTACAGTGTGCACTCCTGTATTTACATTTATACCTTGAAGTTAGTTCTTAATTAGACAACTACATGATGTAACTGTAAGTAACAAGCATGTACTTTTTTCTTTTCTTTCTTTTTTTTTTCTTTTTTTTGGAGGGGGGGGTGGGGGGTGGGGGGGGGGGGGGGGGGGGCGTCCTGGGGCAGAACAGATCCACAGAACAAGGTTTACATAGATCAGGCCTGTCTGTTGTATTCAGCATGACATTTATAATTTATAGACAAAACAGATCAACAGTACAAGGTGGTAGCGATGAGGGATTTAACGTGATAATGATTGTGATGATGAATTTCAGTGCTCTCCTGGGCGTGTGGCAACAGACATGACCAGCAATAAAGGAACGAAGACCATCGATGAAGGTGACCTTTGAAAAAATCCATTACAAGATAGCAGCATTAAATATGAACACACGTGCCAAAAACCTCATCAGCCACATGGGCCAGTGACTAGAACCATTTACTAACCCGGATGTAGGGGAACGAAATCTGATTAAGCAGCCCCATGTAAAGTTTGTTTGTTTGTTTGTTGTTTAACGCCGCACTCAGCAATATTCCAGCTATATGACGGCGGTCTGTAAAATAATCGAGTCTGGACCAGACAATCCAGTGATTGACATCATGAGCATCGATCCAAGCAATTGGGATCGATGACATGTATCATCCAAGTCAGTGAGCCTGACCACCCGATCCCGTTAGTCACCTTTTACGACAAGCATAGTCGCCTTTTACGGCAGGTATGGGTTGCTGAAGACCTATTCTACACCCGGAATCTTCACGGGTCCCCCATGTAAAGAGTTTATTCAAATTTGCGTTCCTCCGATGTGTTTGCGTTCCTCCGATGTGTATGACATTTGTTTGATACCTCTTTTATATCCCTTGGGACATGTTAAGACATATGTTTGGATGGTATTATAGGTCAAGGTCACACGTCATAAACTAGGTGTAAAATAAAGTTTGAATACACAAACAATTGTTCATTAACGATTGGAATTTATGATGTATGATATATAAAGCAGCTTATCGATTGCATCAATGTTGGGGTGCCCTCCATATTAAGTTAAGGTCACGAGAGATCAAATTATGAAATATGGCTTAAACTTTATGAAAGAAATAATTTGAACATGGAATACATATTTCAATTCAAGAACATTCACAACATTAGTATGGTAGAAACCTAAGAAAAAAGAAGTTCAGACAGTTACATTACACAAGAAACAGTATTTAAAACGCTAAAAAGAGAATCTAAAAATATCAATGAATATTCATTGCATCACATCCGAGGGTAAGTTAGCATGGTTTTGAGACCAATAAGCTGCTTAAGTGATCCTCATGACCACCGCATAAGAATTATATCACTGAATATACCTTCTGTACCTGTAGTACGCCGACTTGTGGTTACGAAAACCTCTTGACAGGATGTCATACAATGTGGCTGAAATTCAGTGGAACAAAGAGTCAGTCATCCCGTGCTTTAACTTAAGGATTGTGACTTGTTCTTTAGGTGCAGACACCCTGGTCTATTTGGCCCTCCTTCCCCCCAACACCACATCCCCCAGAGGCAACTTAGTCGCGGACAGAAGAATCCAAAACTGGGGATAGCATGTCACTACCAGAAAGTGTTGGAGAACCTGTACGTTATGAAACAGGGTAAACATTTTGCTCAAAGGGTGAGCAGGCTGGTTTTCTTTGACCTCTGAAGTATGGCGTTCCACTTTCTGATTAGGCCAGTCGGTGATTGACAGTTAGTGAATAATTGTCAGCAGATGGCTCTAGCTGGGCTGCACACAATTCCAAAATACATTGAATAAAAATTAAAAGCTTGCTTATAAGCATGGGGACTAAAGTATTGATGAAGTGCTGGTTAACACAACTTGAGATGTATTCGAAGGGGCAGGTGGTGACTTCGGAACCCATTTCTATTAAAAGAGGAATATTTCAGGGCGATTCTTTTAGTCCTTTGCTTTTCTGTCCCTGTATCAATTTCAAAATAATAGAGATTAAGTAATAGTTAGTAAATTTAATTTGTACATTTTCGAATATCCTAACGAATTACGAATTGTATTAAAATGCCAATGTCAGACAAAATCTCCATGCCTACATGTATATGTTTAAAATGAAAAATAAATCAAACATGTAATTGTTATAATCTGAAGATATAATAATGACAGTGATATCATAATTAAAATGATATTACTAATCCTTAACTGAAGCATGCCTCTACACTAAACATTGAATTAAGAAGCCGAAGAACATATCAACTTTTTAACATACTAACATATCAGTATCAATATTGTGCAACCAATTCAGGAACAAGTAAAGTACACCAAGTACATCACACTAATATCGTTATGGGACACTATACACAACTTGGCACTACTTCCAGTAGAGTGAAGATTCGCCTAAATGACAAGTAAAATTGTTACATGGGATAGATGACATAAAACTAAATTATATTTGCTGTTTACATATCAAAGTTTGCTATACTGTTAAAACATGTTTAAAGTCACACGAAGGCTACTCATTTTTAACGTGCTAGGCACAATACTCCTGTACAGAGTAGATCCTCCCCTTCGCTCACCAGTTAACAGCAACCATATCGCTCATCGTGGGGACATTCGTGGCACGGAAGACTGGTGAACAGTAGGGGGCTTGGGGCTGTTAATTTGATGGAACAGACAGATAAGAAAAAACAATTTACAACTGCAAACCCTTATTCCACAATGTAATTATCACTGCAATGTGTGGCATATAGCTTGTAGGGATGTACACAGTGGCATCGTGTTGCATAGTTTTCTGTTACAATCATTGGGTCAAACGAATTGTTTTCATGTTTTAGGGATCATCCTACCTTTGGCTTTCTTGTGTTTAAATTAAAGAGAACAAAATGATTTGCTGAATTAAAACATAAGCTCACCTGGATATCATCAACAGTAACGGTTGTGTAATATTCGGTTGTGCAGATTTTCGAACATGTGGGACATATATGTATATGTAGAACACATGATACATATATGTATAACATATATAACTTTGTTACTTTCATATGGCATACGATATCAGGAGTGAGGACAGTGGAAATTGCCTTAACAACCAAAGTTTTAAGTTGTCAATATTTAACTTTAACTTTACACTGTATCAGCTTTAAAGGGGTGACTACGTGAGATCGTAGAAGCCTCTCTGGCCAACACAAGCGAGGGAAACCCAAAGTGATGGATGGCCTACATTTTAACCACTTTAGTAAAAGCCACGAGCACAAGAGGCATGGTGATGACAACACGGGCAGCGACTTCAGGACACAGAAGGACATCACGAATCTCCTTTGATTTGTTTATCCGGACAATTTCATTCGGAACAGTACACTACAGATTAACAGAATCCAATGTATATGAATCTCTCAGCCTTACTTCTCATTGTTATGCCTTGTCTGTGGTTGCCCAGATATTTCAAAGTTTCTGACTGCTATATATAGAGAGAGATGTGTATATATTTGCTGTTAATACAGGTTTCTGTATGTAATAAAGAATATATGTACTGATGATTACCGTTCATTGTCCAGTAACATTCTGATTACAAAGGCTTTGGCTCACCTGGATATACACAATGAGAGCTGCGGTTTATCCCTCCGTCAATAGCAACATAAATTATATATCTGTTTATCTCCGAAACTGCAGAACCTTTCAATATCATTTCAACGTAACATATTCTAAATGCCCGAGGTGACAACAATGTAAACTATTTAATTTGCTTCCTGTGTTTGTGTTCTGTTTGTACATATTGTTTGTGGGTCGGACAACCAATGCTGGCGTGGTAAGGCTCCTTATGCGTCGGGTGCAGGGTGCCCCATCTATTCGCATCCAAGGTGTGTTTGTTTAAATCGAATCTTGCTCAGAAGGACTTGGTCCATCCATGAGTATTTGCAAGTGAGATGAATTTAAGTAAAAAAAATTACTTTCAAGTGATGTTTGTTTCTTGAAAGGTGAGGTCAAGTGGGTTTAACGTCGCGTCCAAGATTATTGCACTTATGTAGCGACGTACATGCACGTGTGTGTGTGTGGCTGCTTGTACTAGTCAGGATATAATGCCGATGTGTACTGCTAGCCCACTGAGATACCATGCCGCAGTTTAACATACCCAACTCGGACATAGTATACTGACTCTGATCCGACCAGTCCTTGTTTTAGCCCTTTAATGCCGAGTGCCAGACATGGTCACAAGTTTTCTTTTGGTATGACTTGACAGGGGATCGAACCCCGGACCTTCCGCACTCCGGGCGAACGCTCTACCACTAGAGTGTATTGAAAGAATTATGCCACTAAGTAGGTAAGCAAAATAAGAATACTTGGTTATTGTTTCATAAATGTATCGATATCCTGATCAAAACAAGGATTTCAAAATAAAAAAATTATCTGAATGTATGATCGCTGTTCCCTGCAACTCCATGAAACGAGAGTAAGAGTAACGCTGCATACAGAATTGTCGTGGTTCAGCTGCTTCCTGAAAATCAAAATTACAAACTTTCATCCGATATGCTATGATATTTCCAAAAGTCCAGTAAATATTGCTTCTACATAAACATTTTCGACATGTGGTGGGTCCCTGGATATGCAGGGTCCCAGTATAAACTGGGTTCTACACAGGCAATGACAATCCGATACTGCAGGCAGTTTACCCATGTATCATATACCATTACCCTTTAGTAGATTACAAGGCCAAAGTTATGCGTCTAACTTGGTCTAAGGGTACCAACAATGTGCATTGGAGAAGTCTTTATTCTGCTTTTACAATGATCTGTTTAAAAGATGTTCAGCAGTATATATATTCTCAGAATCTTGTACATTGCCTTGGGTATTTGTGTAAGCGTTGGTCTGACTCTAAAACCTGAAGACATGTCCATTCCTTTTTTGTACTGTAATCTAAAGCTCAATACCAATCCGTACAAAGAGAGATATCTTTCTGTGTCCAGCACATGTACCATCAAATCCCTGTCTCAAAGATTATCCATGACCCGTAATATTTACAGCAAGTATTTGAGACAAGTGGAATTAATACCATTTGGATTCTCAAACAATCTCAGAAAAGTACCAGGTTCAATTCTGTCAAAGAAAACCATTTGATTTTCACCTTTGTACACCACTATCCTATATCACAAACTCAATGGAAAACTTCATTTCTTGATCCATGCTACAAAACGTGGGGACCATAAATATAGTTACACATTTATCTTCAGAGGTTCAGGTCAACTTGTTAAAAAAAGCAAATGCCATCTGAAGTTTACTGAGAAAACATTAGGTTAAATGCTGGACTTTCCCATTGATAACATCTTTGTAAAATTTGGGGGTAAAATATTAAGGAAGGCGGTAAGCATCCCCACTGGCACTAATTGTTCTCCCCTTCTGGCGGATCTGTTTCTTCATGCACATGAATCAGAATTTCTGCTCGGATTGGCAATAAACTTCAGTATAGAGATGATCTTATATCATTCAGTAACCATCAAATTGTCAATTCCATTCCTCAGAACTAGAAATAAAGGTTGCTTGGTTGGTTTGTTGTTTAACGCCGCAATATTCCAGCTATATGACGGCGGTCTGTAAATAATCGAGTCTGGACCGACCATGGATTAATATCATGAGCATCCATCCAAGCAATTGGAATCGATGACATGCATCAACCAAGTCAGCGAGCCTGACCACCCGATCCCGTTAGTCGCCTTTTACGACAAGCATAGTCACCTTTTACGGCAAGCATGGGTTGCTGAAGACCTATTCTACCCCGTAATCTTCAAGGGTAGAAATAAAGGGAGGGGGGACCAGTGAGACCGCTTCATCTGTTTCATATTTAGATCTGGGCATAAAGATTCAGAGTGACAAAACACTCTCCACAAGACTGTATGACAAGAGGGATGACCTCAAATTGACTGTATGACAAAAGGATGACCTCAAATTGACTATGACAATAGGGATGACCTCAAATTGACTGTGTGACAAGAGGGATGGCCTCAAATTGACTGTATGACAAGAGGGATGACCTCAAATTGACTGTATGACAAGAGGGATCGATGATTTCAAATTGACTTTGTGACAAGAGGGATGACTAGAGTGCGTAGTAAATTACTTAGTGAATCCGATATGTCCAGAAAAAAATAGTTGTTTTGAAACTTTCGCATCTAGGTCAGGAGTATCTACATTTCATTTTTGTCTGTTTGTTTCTACTAGAAATGCATATACATTTAAATTGTCAAATTGTCATGACATGATGAGTATATTACTGATAGATTCTTTTGTATTGAACGTCGTGCTATGCTATTCCATTCCTTTTGTATTTTATACTACTACTGCCACTGTGGTTATTACCACTGTTATTACAATACCTCTATTACATGTCAAGCATCATATTAGTTATCCAATAATTATATAATGCGCTGTACAGCTGTAAATGATATTGTTTATCTGTATGTGTATATGGGCCAATGGCCTTTCATACAATAAAGATTGATTGATTGATTGACTACAAATTTCCAAGAGTCAACTTCACCTTAATATCAAGCAATATTACATCAGCTGCCGCTTTTAGTTTTACCTTTCACAAGTTTTGAGGTATCATCAAGCATGCTCTTCCTACCAGGATTCCAAGGGGTGTCATACGACTCTTGCTCAGAAGTTGTTTGATCAAGGGACCCGTGAAGATTCCGGGGTAGAATAGGTCTTCAGCAACCCATGCTTGCTGTAAAAGGTGACCCGTGAAAATTCAGGGGTAGAATAGGTCTTCAGCAACCCATGCTTGCCGTAAAAGGTGACTAACGGGATCGGGTGGTCAGGCTCGCTGACTTGGTTGATTGGTTGATGCATGTCATCGATCCCAATTGCGTGGATCGATGCTCATGATATTAATCACTGCATTGTCTTGTCCAGACTCGATTATTTACAGACTGCCTTCATATAGCTGGAATATTGATGAGTGCGGCGTTAAACAACAAACCAACCAACCAACAATGTTGGATCAAGGTTACAACATCCATGGCGCAAGGCTTTGAAAAGGTTGTATGGCAGACATGTGGAATCCATTCCCAAATTTGATGTCCGATGCAATCCCCTATTTTCACTTGTGCCATATGTTCCCGTATGAACAATTGACTTGCCCCGTTGGGACAGGATACGCTCAGCATTTCGCGAGCACCTGGTATCATCACTATTTGATAGTAATTCATAAGGACATGTTCATGATAGTTGGAATCTGTTTTTGGCAGAGATTTCTTCTGAAAATGGAAAGGGTATTGTCCATTTTATTATTATGTTGCAAGTATTTTTGGAAGGAAGTTTCCATTGGGTGCATAAACCGACTGCATATATTTTCACAAGTATATTCTGCAAAAACAGGGGTGTTTTGCCTTGGAATGGGGGGAGGCGGGGTGTCAAATGTTACTGCGTTTGTGACGTGGTGCTGGCAAGTGTTTGGGATGGTATCATCAATGAGTTGCATGTTTAACTATAAGTATATATGGGTGCTGAAAGAATTTTGTTGCAGAAGTCTCTAGCGTTACAGTTTTTCAATGCATTTCCGTCACTGAACATTGAGACAGTGTATCTTTATAGTAACCAGTCAATCATGAAGGTGAATGTGGTATAACTATTGGATACAGACTTCCTTCCAGGTGGCCCTGTCAGTGTTTCAGCTGATCTGAGGCAATGTGTATCTGTCTGATGAGGTTTGACCGATAGATTCCGTAACTCACAGAGAAAGAATTGCGTTATAGCGAAATATTTTGTTGTGGACACAACATGATGTCATAGTGCTATATCCAGACAATCCAGTTATTGTTATCATGAGCATCGATCCACGCAATTGGGATCGATAACATGCTTCAACAAAGTCAACGAGCCTGACCACCCGATCCCGTTAGTCGCCTCCTACGACAAGCCTAGTCGCCTTTTACGGCAAGTATCGGTTGGTGAAGACCTATTCTCCCCCGGATCGTCATGAGTTTGGGGATGTTAAGGGTGTCATCATTACCTCCAAAAGGCCAAACGGAGCAAACAACACTGTACTTTTGAGGCAGTTACAAGATGACTTTAAGACTAAGAGACATTGGATGCTGCGAAAAGGAGGTGTGCTCTCCCATCAGCACAAATCGATTACCGTTGCTACAATCTATGGGTGTGAACTCCTACAGCACCCACCTCCTTGTCCTCATCTGGCTTCGTCAGACTTCCATCAATTTTCAAACATGAAGAACGCTCTTGGCGGAACCCGCCTCGAACTTCACCTCGAACGATGAGGCCATGGCAGCTGCGAGTAACTTTGTGGACAGCCAAGAGAAAGTGAACTTAGAAGTTTGGATTAAAATTCCTACAACATCGTTGGTAAAAGTGCGTTAATGTGGAAGGAACTAATTATTTCATTTAGTCAAGTCTTTTAGTGTGAGACTATCAGTCAACCCTCGTATCACGATCCCGGAAGTGGGCTAAAAAATGCAATCGTTTCCTCGTCCTAAGCAACCCTAGACACTACCCGTGTATGGGTATGTTCGAAAAATATGAAGGTTTGAAATACAAAAATTGTTGCACGATGCTTTTGAAGATTTAGGTTTATGGTTTAATTTGAAGAAAATCTGGTTTTCAAGCTGAAGCTGAAAAGATTTCCAGTCTCCATGCAAACCACCACCACCAACAACAACAATAAGAACAACCATACACAATCCAAGCCCATCCCCGTTGGTTGTCCGCAAAGTAACTATGAGTTTACCCTAATTTGTCTCCTGAAGGCAGATTAGATATCGAAGCGGTCGTAAAATACAACGTTATTATTTTGACCATGCCATCAAACCGCTGTTATTTCATGAAAATGTGTTCGTGTTTATTACCTTTGACAGCACAATGTCAATGTCGGTGACCACGTGGTTGTTCTTTTGTTTCTGTGTTTGTTGTTTAACGCCGCAGTCCACAACATTGCAGCTATCTGACGACAACCTGCAGTCATCGGACCAGACAATCCAGTGATTGACCTCTTGACCATCGATCAAACCAATGAGGTAGGATGACATGCAATCAACAAAGCCACCCAACCTGACCACCCGATCCATTTAGTCGCCTTTTACAAACATAGGTTACTGGGGACCCCTATTGTATCACGGAATCAATGTCTTAATATAAAAATTTAAACGAATCTCAGACTCTTTCTGTATTTCCTGTGCCAGAGTCATTGCTCATTTATTCTAGGACGCTGTAACTGAAATACGTACATTTCAGTACTTTAATTTTCTATACTTTTTCTGCTCACACTGACGGCCAAGGTTCGGATCCGCACATGGACACAATGTGTGATGCCAATATGGTACCCCCGCCGCAATACTGCTGCAATATAGCTTTAAGCGGCGTAAAACCGTAGCCGATCACTCTCCCCAAATAACACACATATTAAACATTATTACATACAGATTACTACACGGGTGGCTGTCAGACACCATTTATCTTACAACGAGTGGTTTCAAAACGTATCTAACGAGCGAACGCCGTACCTGTGGAATATCTCGATGATGATAAAGCAAACTGCATAATATCAAAGATTTATCTAAAACACATTTACACCTGAAAACCATAACGTTTCTACACAGACGAGTGTCTTTTGGTGTATGCGACACTCTCGGTTTATTCCCCCTGCAGTGTGTCTTTGTACGATAAAGTCGTCGTTAAATTCGAAAAGAACAACGAAAAACAAGGGGTTGTTTATTTCACGATAAAACGTCTTCATCATGGCGTCGTTTATGAAGATTCGACAGTGTCTTGAGTAACCAGCTTCAGTGGCAGAGGGATTGATGATGTCATTTGATTGTGACGTCAGTCATGGTACCCCCGAGAATTACAATTACATTCTAACTTTGATCGACGTTATTTACGGAACGGTAATTTATAAAGGAGATGGGGGAGGGCGGGTTATCTTTGAAGTTTCCATCTTTCAAAACCGATTTCGGAAGTGATAAGGAAGTAGTGAGCTTTCAAGCTTTCTGGACATCTTTCAAAACTAAAGTTTGAAATATAAATTGTCAAGTGTTACCCGGACGATCTCCGGACAATTGATTTCAATTACTTGATAGCAAGGCACAGTCTGTTGCACGAAAAATAGCTAGATATATTGATTCAAGTTTTGAGTTCAGCTTTGTCTTAAATTTAATAATAGTAAATCAGAAGCATGAGGTTCAGATGAATAAACACATTGTATTGTATTGTATTAATATGTCAGCAACACTGAAGTCTGGGTGCTGAAAGTATCGATCATCACAACACACGGTCGTATTTCACAATCCCACTTTTCATTCTCACTGAGCATAGAGCTTATCGCATGACGCCGGTGGGAGTGTCTGCTCGTGTATTTCATATCTGAGGATTGACAGTTCATTTCAGCAGAGGATCAACCATGGCAAGTAACAGAAAGGTATCACTGGTAAGTACAGGTAAAGTTGGTTCTAGCAAACATGGTGAACATAGCAATTTAATATTTCGAAGTAAACTCCACATCAGTGATCTGATCTATTTTAGGGAGCATGCTGCACGGAGCTTTGTTTTAGGACTAACTGGCATCCTGTCTTAAGTTACAATCAGAAATTCAATGGCGCATTGGTTTTAGCGCAACAGACACCGACTAACAGTTTACGTTTCGATCAGGTTTTGTAAAAATTAAAACCAATATGATTTTTTTTTTTTTTTAATATTATATAATGGTAAAATAATATTATTCTAAAAGGCAACAAATCGTCGTTTTTAATTCAAATTATCACCAAAATATTTGTAAGTTTCTGCTTATTTATGCAACCACGATTTGATGTGATTATGTGCATACGTGCGTATATTATATACATACGCACGCACGCACGCACGCACGCACGCACGCACGCACACCTAACATATTATATCTGTATCATGACAATAAATATTCGGTGTTATTGAACGGGTGCTAAAATTGGTCTTCAGCAGCCCATGCTTGTCTTGTCGTGGGGCGGTCGGGTAGCCTAGTGGTTAAAGCGTTAGCTCGTCACGCCGAAGACCCGGGTTCGAGTCCCGACATGAGTACAATGTGTGAAGCCCATTTCTGGTGTCCCCCGCCGTGATATTGCTGGAATATTGCTAAAAGCGGCGTAAAACCATACTCACTCACTCACTCACCATGCTTGTCGTGAGAGGTGTCTAACAGATCTTGCTGCGGCGTTAAACAACAATCAGTACGTCTTTGAAAAAACAAAACGTAACATGTCGTTTGCGTTACCACACGTCAGCAAGTATTAACTTTGAAAGAATAAAGGATAAAGCATGTCTGTTTACAACTCTACACTGGTGTAATCACTTAACGTTATTGAAACCAACTTAGAAGTATTAAATTCCAAGTAAATGTTTGCGCAAAAAACACATATGCCATTGTTACGGAAACCTTTAGGGCCACTTGTTTTATTTGTTATTTGGGTTTGTTTTTGTTTTGTTTTTTGTTTTGTTTTTTGTTTTGTTTTTTGTTGTTGTTTTGGGTTGTTTTGGGGGGGGTTGTTGTTGTTGTTGTGTTTTTTGTGGGTTTTTTGTTGTTGGTTTCTGTTGTGTGTTTTTGTTGTTGGTTGTTGTTGTTGTTGTTTGTTTTTGTTTTTTTTGGGGGGGTGTTCAAGAAAGTAAGCTAAATGTATATTGAAATTTCAACTTGGAAATTTTTAGAAAAAAACAAAGCTTCTGTACTGATTGTCCTTGGTGTAACTCTGTGTCCTTGGTGTAACCACAGTGTCTTGGTGTAACTCTTGGTCCTTGGTGTAACCACTTTGTCTTTGGTGTAACTAATTGTCCTTGATAAAACCATTTCGTCTTGGTGTAACTAATTGTCCCTGGTGTAACTGTTTGTCCTTGGTGTAACCACTTTGTCTTTGGTGTAACTAATTGTCCTTGATGAAACCATTTCATCTTGGTGTAACTGTTTGTCCTAGGTGTAACTGTTTGTCCTTGGTGAAACTACTTTGTCTTTGGTGTAACCACTTTGTCTTTGGTGTAACCACTTTGACTTTTTTGTAACTGGTTGTCCTTGGTGTAACCACTTTGTCTTTGGTGTAACTGTTTGTCCTTGGTGTAACCACTTTGTCTTTGTGTAACTAATTGTCCTTGATGAAACCATTTCGTCTTGGTGTAACTGTTTGTCCTTGGTGTAACTACTTGGTCTTTTGTGTAACCACTTTGTCTTTGGTGTAACCTCTTTGTCTTGGTGTAACTGTTTGTCCTTGATGTAACCACTCTGTCTTTGGTGTAACCTCTTTGTCTTGGTGTAACTGTTTGTCCTTGATGTAACCACTTTGTCTTGGTGTGACTGTTTGTCCTTGATGTAACCACTTTTTGTTTGGTGTAACTGTTTGTCCTTGATGTAACCACTTTGTCTTGGTGTGACTGTTTGTCCTTGATGTAACCACTTTTTGTTTGGTGTAACTTGTTGTCCTTGATGGAACCACTTTGTGTTTGGTGTAACTGGATGTCCCTGGTGTAACCACTGTCTTGGTGTAACTGTTTGTCCTTGGTGTAACCACTTTGTGTTGGTGTAACTGTTTGTCCTTGATGGAAGCTGGGTAAATTTTGAAAATAATTCAGGTAAACATACATTTCATAGCATGACTATCATTAAAGACAAAGACCATGTTCAAAAAATAAAGAATATTGAAATTATATCAACATTTTGGTTGTGTGTGGGAGCCAAGAGTGATAAATCAAGCTTTAAAAAGTTGTGTTATTAAAAGTGTGATTTTTTTTCAGGTAAAATATTAGTATTACAAAATTACACTGACAGAAAAATTGCATGTATTTTTTTCTCTGCAAAATACTGGTAACAACAATGGTTACACCAAAGACAATGTTTTTTTACTGCTGTTCATGTGTAATTAGAATATCTTTGTGTTTGCATTATTTACCTAACAACTTGTCAATTTTAGATGTTTTTTTGTGTTTAATCAAAAATGATGGAATTTTCAAGTTTTGATTTTGTTTATTGCACTTCAACAAAATTGGTCAAATATTTTAATTACCAAAAAATAACAGGGCTCTACCTACGCGAAATACTGAATCCTATATGCATACAAATTGAGAATGAACATGATTGACATTTCAATTCTTAGGTTTTTTCCAAACTGAGTGCCCGTTAGAAGTAAATTGGGTGAAAAATATTATTGTGATGCTTTTTAAACCTTCTATTTTCTTAAATTCACAGGTATTTTAACATTGCCTTCAATAATGTAGATTAAGAATTCATGCCACTTCCTCTTCATTGGTCCTGTTATCATTGATATACAAATCATTTCTACAAAGCCATAACATTATTTATTATAATAATGACATGAAAACACATTGTAATAATGTCATGAAAAAATGGAAATATTAATTAAAAGTATGCTGCAGACTTGGGGCTGAATACCAGCCTCTGAAAGGGTGTAGATAAATCATGGATTCTGAAAGGAGTGAGTGAGTTGGGTTTAACGCCGCTTTTAACAGTATTCCAGTTATATCGCGGCGTGTCAGCTTAATGTGGGAGGAAAGCCCGAACTGACACAGGTCTCTGACGTTTACAACTTCCGTGAAACCCACGAGCACGGGTATGGTGCTGACAAACCTAGAAACATAATCGGGGCGAACCAGGATTCGAACCCACAATCATAGGTTTCTAGCGTGCCCAAGGGACGCAACTCTGCACAGCGAATCGTGGCGCCTTAGACGACTGGGCCACCTGTGCTCCCGATTCTGAAAGGAAATTCACACAGTTTAGCATCTTGATGGTTGATTCACAATGACCTCACATTGAAATCTAAACAGACGTAATGCTTCTGAGCATATGGATTGACTTGGAGTAAAACTCTTGGAGATCAAGCTACTTATCTCTAGCCTCAGGTGCCTGCAATACAAAGTTGAAATTTCAAGATGCTTTGTAAGAATTTTAAGGTATATACAAAGCTGAAATTTCAAGGTTATGATCATGAAATATCAAGATAATAGGTTGATTTTTAACTTCAATTTCAACGTATATATCATTAAATTTCAACTTAGTATCTTGAAATTTCAACATAGCATCTTGAAATTTCAAGAAAAAAACAAGTGGCCCTAAAAGGATTCCGTACTTGAGAATGTATGTGGACAATATTTGCAGCATAGTTTCAGATGTTCATGAATATCTTCCAGGTGACGGGGTCCAACAAGGGTGTGGGGTTTGCCGTCGTCAGAGCATTGTGTAAAAGCTACGAAGGGGACGTCTTCCTTACATGTAACTGATTATGCTTATTTTTACATATTTCTAAGCTTGTTCTGAATTGTAAATAGTAAAACATGTCACAATGTAGTTTTTGTTCAGTTTGCTCTCAGGTCTGGTGTCAGGATTCGGACCAACTTCAAACCTAGCTGTCATGTTGGGAATGGCATCATATTTGCCCATGGCACAGTCATTACCGCATGTATCATCATGCAGTTTGATATGGAGCCATGACATGCTGTGTGACTAACAATAACACACTAGCATGCTGTGTACTGTAATAGTCATCACATCTTCCACCTGTGTGTACTGCTGTGGTTACAAATAGTGTCATTATAGTCATACTGAACCTGCATGTATCATAATAATGAACATGCTATGTGTTTTATAAGGAGAGACACCTGTTATTTATTTTCACATATTCCTTACCCATGTTTGACCTCTCTGATCTATTACAATTTTTCAGGTAAATCCTTTGCCTGTATTTTTAATAATATTCCACCTAACCGAAGTTATTTGATAAACAAGTAAAATGTAATATAGTAAGTGTGGCTTAATGGCTGATACTCTCAGCTCACCAAGGCTAAAGGACTGGTGCTACTCATAATGACATGTTCCCAGATTTTTCCTCTGCAATTTTACTGACTTGCCTCCCTTAGGTACGCCAGGATATTGGTCTCCATTCCCATAATCCTAGATTATGAGTTTTGAGCCACTCACTTTAGCCTACTCATTTATCTACCTCCACCACACAGCTCGGGATGTAGGTCGTGGGCAGGCGGCCATCGCTGACCTAAACAAGGAAGGCTTGCAGCCCAAGTTCCATCAGCTGGACATCAACGACCGGTCAAGCCTAGAGCGACTGAAGTCCTTCCTACAGACAACCTATGGGGGATTGGATGTTCTGGTCAACAATGCCGGAATAGCATACAAGGTATAACATCTTGTTATTTGTAAAACCGTGTCCCCTGTATGTGACACAGACAACTAATGTTGCTGCTCACTCTGTCTTCTACTGGTTTGTGAGGCCCCAACTTGCCAGTCCACTGTCATCTTGCTGGTTGATTTCTGACTAGAAAGTCACTTCGAATATAAAGTGTGCACTATAGTCAAGAAAATATGGTATATGTTATGAAGGTGACCCTTGATTTATTCTATATTACTTTATTCATACATGAAAGTCCAACAGTAAATGTAAAAAAAAAGGTGGGCGTGACCAAAATACAACTGTCCGATTGACAAAAAATACATGCCAGAACCTTGTTAGAAACCTTCACTCGCTGTATGATTTACTGAATACACAACAGGCAGAATACATAATTAATCCAGTTAGTTCTGAGTCAACGTCACATTACAAAATGGTAGAGACTGAAAAAAGCTTTGGTGATGTTCTTCTTGATGTTTGTACTGGAAACATTTGTGCTTGAAATATAAATCATGTAATCATGTAAATATCCGTGACAGCTTGTCTCAAACACCTGGTGATACCTTGTCGGCTCTGTATAAGAACAAGTGCATAGTATCAAATATGGTTGACGTTGTCACAGCAAAGCACTGGTTTTATTTCCATTTTCACATAACATGGTTTCATGCAGGCTGGTGAACCACATCTGCACATACACCCATACGATACAATTTCTTCATACAAACATCGTAAATTGTAATATTGCTAAACATAACTTTCCCACAGTGTATATATGAGGCAAAACATCAGCAGGGTTGACTCAAGGTCAGTTATAAAAGGATATATTAAAGATTTAATTCATAAGAATTGAAGTTACTAATTTGAAAAAGGATGTTTGACATGAATACTTCCTTTATTTCCCCAAAAAGTTTGAATGTAATTTTCACAAATCTACCAAAAAAGTAGATGTGTGTCTGCGAGTATTTCAAAAACAGCAGCAGGACCCAGAAATCATTTCCATGGGCTGATTAATGACGAATGAGTTGAAGGGAACATATTGTAGGTATTCCTGTCAAACAAGAAACCATTTTGTCTGTGAAAATCATTCATATATATAACATCAAAATCAATTTGTTTCTAATTTATTTGAACAAAATACTGGTGACATCATTTACCCAAATAAAAAAGTTATACACGCTTCTGGTTGAGGAATATATACATGTCATCTATATAGGGCTGTTCATTATTATAAGTTGAAGGGAACATGATATTTTCGATTGTTTCACTGTTCCAAAGTTCAGGGATGAATATGTAACAAACCCTTTTGTAAGGATCATCATTTTTCCATTATAACACCAACATATATATTTCTAATTTTAATTAACCAAACCCACAGACTAATATCTCAGGATATTCCAGGATGATGACCCTGCCCCTTTCTCGGAACGTGCTGAAGTTACGTGTAAGACTAACTTCTGGGCCACCCTGGATGTATGCCGTGTGCTGTTCCCCCTGCTCCGACCTCACGCCAGGTACGACAACAAACTAGCTCACTTGCCAGGTACGACACAACAAGCCAGCTCACACGCCAGGTATGACACAACAAACCAGCTCAAATGACAGGTACGACACAACAAACCACCTCACATGACAGGTACGACACAACAAACCAGCTCACATGACAGCTCTGACACAACAAACCCACTCACATGACAGCTACGACACAACAAACCAGCTCACCCACCAGGTACGACACAGCAAACCAGCTTACCTGACAGGCATGACACAAACCAGTTCACATGACAGGTACGACACAACAAACCAGCTCACACGCCAGGTATGACACAACAAACCAGCTCACACACCAGGTACGACACAGCAAACCAGCTCACATGACAGGTACGACACAACAAACCAGCTCACATGCCAGGTACGACACAACAAACCAGCTCACATGCCAGGTACGACACAGCAAACCAGCTCACACGCCAGGTACGACACAACAAACCAGCTCACGCCAGGTACGACACAACAAACCAGCTCACGCCAGGTACGACACAACAAACCAGCTCACGCCAGGTACGACACAACAAACCAGCTCACGCCAGGTACGACACAACAAACCAGCTCACACGCCAGGTACGTCACAACAAACCAGCTCACATGCCAGGTACGAAACAACAAACCAGCTCATACGCCAGGTACGTCACAACAAACCAGCTCACATGCCAGGTACAACACAACAAACCAGCTCACACGCCAGGTACGACACAACAAACCAGCTCACGCCAGGTACGACACAACAAACCAGCTCACGCCAGGTACGACACAACAAACCAGCTCACACGCCAGGTACGTCACAACAAACCAGCTCACATGCCAGGTACGACACAACAAACCAGCTCACACGCCAGGTACGACACAACAAACCAGCTCACCCAAGGTACGACACAACAAACCAGCTCACACGCCAGGTACGACACAACAAACCAGCTCACATGACAGGTACGACACAACAAACCAGCTCACATGCCAGGTACGACACAGCAAACCAGCTCACATGCCTAAGGTACGACACAACAAACCAGCTCACAAGCCAGGTACGACACAACAAACCAGCTCACATGCCAGGTACGACACAACAAACCAGCTCACACGCCAGGTACGACACAGCAAACCAGCTCACACGCCAGGTACGACACAACAAACCAGCTCACCCCAGGTACGACACAACAAACCAGCTCACACTCCAGGTACGACACAACAAACCAGCTCACATGACAGGTACGACCCAACAAACCAGCTCACACGCCAGGTACGACACAACAAACCAGCTCACACGCCAGGTACGACACAACAAACCAGCTCACCCAAGGTACGACATAACAAACCAGCTCACACGCCAGGTACGACACAACAAACCAGCTCACATGACAGGTACGACACAACAAACCAGCTCACATGCCAGGTACGACACAGCAAACCAGCTCACATGCCTAAGGTACGACACAACAAACCAGCTCACATGCCAGGTACGACACAACAAACCAGCTCACACCCCAGGTACGACACAACAAACCAGCTCACATGACAGGTACCACACAACAAACCAGCTCACATGACAGCTACGACACAACAAACCCGCTCACATGACAGCTACGACACAACAAACCAGCTCACCCACCAGGTACGACACAACAAACCAGCTTACCTGACAGGCATGACACAAACCAGTTCACATGACAGGTACGACACAACAAACCAGCTCACACGCCAGGTACGACACAACAAACCAGCTCACACGCCAGGTACGACACAGCAAACCAGCTCACATGCCAGGTACGACACAACAAACCAGCTCACATGCCAGGTACGACACAACAAACCAGCTCACACGCCAGGTACGACACAGCAAACCAGCTCACACGCCAGGTACGACACAACAAACCAGCTCACGCCAGGTCGACACAACAAACCAGCTCACACGCCAGGTACGACACAACAAACCAGCTCACAAGCCAGGTACGACACAGCAAACCAGCTCACATGCCAGGTACGACACAACAAACCAGCTCACACGCCAGGTACGACACAACAAACCAGCTCACACGCCAGGTACGACACAACAAACCAGCTCACGCCAGGTACGACACAACAAACCAGCTCACACGCCAGGTACGACACAACAAACTAGCTCACACGCCAGGTACGACACAGCAAACCAGCTCACATGCCAGGAACGACACAACAAACCAGCTCACATGACAGGTACGACACAACAAACCAGCTCACATGACAGGTACGACACAACAAACCAGCTCACATGCCAGGTACGACACAACAAACCAGCTCACACGCCAGGTACGACACAGCAAACCAGCTCACACACCAGGTACGACACAACAAACCAGCTCACGCCAGGTCGACACAACAAACCAGCTCACACGCCAGGTACGACACAACAAACCAGCTCACGCCAGGTACGACACAACAAACCAGCTCACACGCCAGGTACGACACAACAAACTAGCTCACACGCCAGGTACGACACAGCAAACCAGCTCACATGCCAGGAACGACACAACAAACCAGCTCACATGACAGGTACGACACAACAAACCAGCTCACATGACAGGTACGACACAACAAACCAGCTCACATGCCAGGTACGACACAGCAAACCAGCTCACACGCCAGGTACGACACAACAAACCAGCTCACACGCCAGGTACGACACAACAAACCAGCTCACATGCCAGGTACGACACAACAAACCAGCTCACACGCCAGGTACGACACAGCAAACCAGCTCACACACCAGGTACGACACAACAAACCAGCTCACGCCAGGTACAACACAACAAACCAGCTCACACGCCAGGTACGACACAGCAAACCAGCTCACATGACAGGTACGACACAACAAACCAGCTCACACGCCAGGTACGACACAACAAACCAGCTCACATGCCAGGTACGAAACAACAAACCAGCTCACATGACAGCTACGACACAACAAACCCGCTCACATGACAGCTACGACACAACAAACCAGCTCACCCACCAGATACGACACAGCAAACCAGCTTACCTGACAGGCATGACACAAACCAGTTCACATGACAGGTACGACACAACAAACCAGCTCACACACCAGGTACGACACAACAAACCAGCTCACATGCCAGGAACGACACAACAAACCAGCTCACATGCCAGGTACGACACAGCAAACCAGCTCACATGCCAGGTACGACACAACAAACCAGCTCACACGCCAGGTACAACACAACAAACCAGCTCACATGCCAGGTACAACACAACAAACCAGCTCACACGCCAGGTACGACACAGCAAACCAGCTCACACACCAGGTACGACACAACAAACCAGCTCACACACCAGGTACGACACAACAAACCAGCTCACGCCAGGTACGACACAACAAACCAGCTCACATGACAGGTACCACACAACAAACCAGCTCACATGACAGGTACCACACAACAAACCAGCTCACATGCCAGGTACGACACAACAAACCAGCTCACATGCCAGGTACGACAACAAACCAGCTCACATGCCAGGTACGACACAGCAAACCAGCTCACGCCAGGTACGACACAACAAACCAGCTCATGCCAGGTACGACACAAGAAACCAGCTCACACGCCAGGTACGACACAGCAAACCAGCTCAAATGACAGGTACGACACAACAAACCAGCTCACACACCAGGTACGACACAACAAACCAGCTCACATGACAGGTACGACACAACAAACCAGCTCACACGCCAGGTACCACATAAGAAACCAGCTCACATGACAGGTACCACACAACAAACCAGCTCACATGACAGGTACCACACAACAAACCAGCTCACATGCCAGGTACGACACAACAAACCAGCTCACATGCCAGGTACGACACAACAAACCAGCTCACGCGCCAGGTACAACAACAAACCAGCTCACATGCCAGGTACGACAACAAACCAGCTCACATGCCAGGTACGACACAGCAAACCAGCTCACGCCAGGTACGACACAACAAACCAGCTCATGCCAGGTACGACACAAGAAACCAGCTCACACGCCAGGTACGACACAGCAAACCAGCTCAAATGACAGGTACGACACAACAAACCAGCTCACACACCAGGTACGACACAACAAACCAGCTCACATGACAGGTACGACACAACAAACCAGCTCACACGCCAGGTACCACACAAGAAACCAGCTCACATGACAGGTACCACACAACAAACCAGCTCACATGACAGGTACCACACAACAAACCAGCTCACATGCCAGGTACGACACAACAAACCAGCTCACATGCCAGGTACGACACAACAAACCAGCTCACGCGCCAGGTACAACAACAAACCAGCTCACATGACAGGTACGACAACAACCAGCTCACATGACAGGTACGACACAACAAACCAGCTCACACACCAGGTACGACACAACAAACCAGCTCACATGACAGGTACCACACAACAAACCAGCTCACATGCCAGGTACGACACAACAAACCAGCTCACATGCCAGGTACGACACAACAAACCAGCTCACGCGCCAGGTACAACAACAAACCAGCTCACATGACACATACGACACAACAAAACCAGCTTACAGGTAAATCCCCTTATGGGAATTTTGTGGCAGAATATGTCCCAAGTATCAAGAACAATGAGTCACACTGACCTGGCCAATATTGTCGATGATCACAGCTCCCAAACATTCGTTTTCTATTACCCATGTGTGGATTCCAGTGCAAAATACTTCCCTGGCCCATGCTTGTCATAAGAATTTACCCAATATAAAGTATGAATTGTTTGATAGTCATTTGTTACAAGTTGACGGAGAACAAAGTAGACAATTTAAGTATACCTTCTTTATTTTACTGTAATGGCCATGTTTCGGTATAGATCCTAACATTGTCAAGCAAGGACCTGGTCTCACCCAGATCTTCACGGCTCCAGGGTCTTGTGATAGGACCTGGCTACATGTGTTGATAATTGATCATGCTGTCAACCACCAGTTTGCCTGGCTGAGACTCAACTATTTATATTTAAGCTGCCACGGTAAAGCTGGAAAAGGGTGATATAACAACATTCACTCAGTCACTTCCTCGCTTGACATGATTGTCAGAACAAAATGGAAAACAGAATATTGGTACATGTGCAGATCCTCTACATACCGCCGTTGTAAAGTGTCAAGTTGTGCCTTGTATTGTGTTGGCAGGGTTGTGAACGTCTCCAGCATGTCATGTCAGTCTGCCATCACAAAATGTTCTCCCGCTGTTCAAGGTCGCTTCAAGGACCCCTGCCTGATGATGGACGGTCTGGAGAAGATCATGCAGGAGTTTGTTGAGTAAGTCAGAGAATAATATGAGGTGAGGTGACATGGGGTTTAACATGAGGTGCATTCTAGATTATTTCAGTTATACAGAAATGTGCATGCAAGTGTGACTGGCTGCTTGTACTAGTCTGGACCTGTTTTATGGTGCTTGCCCCCATTACGTCCACTCTGAGTTGGTCAGTCCTTGTTTTATCCCCTGAATATCGAGTTACAGGCATGGCAACAAGGGTGTCAAACAGTTCCATACTGAATAAGATCTTTTGGTATGACTTGACCAAGGAAACGAACATATCCATTACACCACAAGTGAGTGAGTGAGTGAGTGAGTGAGTGAGTGAGTGAGTGAGTGAGTGAGTGAGTGAGTGAGTGAGTGAGTGAGTGAGTGAGTGAGTGAGTGAGTGAGTGAGTGAGTGTGGTTTGATGCTGCTTGTATCAATATTCCAGCAACATCATGGCAGGGGACACCAGAAACGGGCTTCACATATTCACATGTGGGGAATCGAACCCGGGTCCTCGGCGTGACAAGCGAACGCTTTAACCACAAGGCTACCCCCACTTCACCACAAAGGTGGTCGGTCCAGAGAACAGATGACTGGCAGAGAGAAAACAGGGTGTAGAGTTCTTTGAAGTACTGGAGCAATGTTTGTTAATTCCAAGAGGTTACAGGTCCCTAACCCAGTCTGATTATATCTGGCTTGTGGCTAGTGTGCATTTAGTTATGTTTTGTTTTTAAGCAGATTGTATTCCTCTTCCTCGGTTTGTTGGATTCAGTAAAAACCAGGTGAGCTACAAAAACCATGTGGGTTTTTAAGCTAAAATGTGTTTAAATGGTCACAGTAATAATGTCATACAAAACTACTTAGTTCAATCAAGTCTGATGTTTGCAAGCACAGTCATGTGATATATACCTGTCTGGACATTGTTATATTGACTGTGGACCATTAAGAACACACAAACACTATGGTCCATTCTTAGAATACACAAACAATGTGGTCCATCCACATGATCCAAACACATAAACACAAGAGCCCACAAGCACTATTATCCATTCAGAACACACAAGCACTACGATCCATTCAGAACACACAAGCACTACGATCCATTCAGAACATACAAGCACTACGATCCATTCAGAACACACAAGCACTACGATCCATTCAGAACATACAAGCACTACGATCCATTCAGAACACATAAGCACTAAGATCCATTCAGAACACACAAGCACTATGATCCATTCAGAATACACAAGCACTACGATCTATTCAGAGCACACAAGCACTACGATCCATTCAGAACATACAACCACTACGATCCATTCAGAACACACAAGCACTATGATCCATTCAGAATACACAAGCACTACGATCCATTCAGAACACACAAACACCAGGGTCCATTCAGAGCACACAAGCACTACGATTCATTCAAAACACACAAGCACTACGATCCATTCAGAACACACAAGCACTACCATCCATTCAGAACACACTAGCACTACGATCCATTCAGAGCACACAAGCACTACGATTCATTCAGAGCACACAAGCACTACGATCCATTCAGAACACACAAGCACTATGATCCATTCAGAATACACAAGCACTACGATCCATTCAGAACACACAAACACCAGGGTCCATTCAGAGCACACAAGCACTACGATTCATTCAAAACACACAAGCACTACGATTCATTCAAAACACACAAGCACTACGATCCATTCAGAACACACAAGCACTACAATTCATTCAGAGCACACAAGCACTACGATCCATTCAGAGCACACAAGCACTACGATTCATTCAGAGCACACAAGCACTACGATCCATTCAGAACACACAAGCACTACGATTCATTCAAAACACACAAGCACTACAATCCATTCAGAACACACAAGCACTATGATCCATTCAGAATACACAAGCACTACGATCCATTCAGAACACACAAACACCAGGGTCCATTCAGAGCACACAAGCACTACGATTCATTCAAAACACACAAGCACTACGATCCATTCAGAACACACAAGCACTACCATCCATTCAGAGCACACTAGCACTACGATCCATTCAGAGCACACAAGCACTACGATTCATTCAGAGCACACAAGCACTACGATCCATTCAGAACACACAAGCACTATGATCCATTCAGAATACACAAGCACTACGATCCATTCAGAACACACAAACACCAGGGTCCATTCAGAGCACACAAGCACTACGATTCATTCAAAACACACAAGCACTACGATTCATTCAAAACACACAAGCACTACGATCCATTCAGAACACACAAGCACTACAATTCATTCAGAGCACACAAGCACTACGATCCATTCAGAGCACACAAGCACTACGATTCATTCAGAGCACACAAGCACTACGATCCATTCAGAACACACAAGCACTACGATTCATTCAAAACACACAAGCACTACGATCCATTCAGAACACACAAGCACTACGATTCATTCAGAGCACACAAGCACTACAATCCATTCAGAACACACAAGCACTACCATTCATTCAGAGCACACAAGCACTACAATCCATTCAGAGCACACAAGCACTACGATCCATTCAGAGCACACAAGCACTACGATTCATTAAAAACACACAAGCACTACGATCCATTCAGAACACACAAGCACTACGATTCATTCAAAACACACAAGCACTACGATTCATTCAAAACACACAAGCACTACGATCCATTCAGAACACACAAACACTGTGATTCATTCAGAGCACACAAGCACTACCATCAATTCAGAACACACAAGCACTACCATCCATTCAAAGCACACAAGCACTACGATCCATTCAGAACACACAAGCACTACGATTCATTCAGAACACACAAGCACTAAGATTCATTCAAAAGACACAAGCACTACGATTCATTCAAACACCAGGGTCCATTCAGAACACACAAGCACTACAATTCATTCAAAACACACAAGCACTACGATCCATTCAGAACACACAAGCACTACGATCCATTTAGAACACGAGCACTAAGATTCATTCAGAACACACAAGCACTATGATCCATTCAGAGCACACAAGCACTACAATCCATTCAGAACACACAAGCACTACGATTCATTCAGAACACACAAGCACTAAGATTCATTCAAAACACACTAGCACTACGATCCATTCAGAACACACAAGCACTACGATCCATTGAGAGCAAACAAGCACTACGATCCATTCAAAACACACACACACTACAATTCATTCAGAACACACAAGCACTACGATTCATTCAGCACCAGGGTCCATTCAGAGTACACAAGCACTACGATCCATTCAGAGCACACAAGCACTACGATCCATTCAGAGCAAACAAGCACTACGATTCATTCAAAACACACAAGCACTATGATTCATTCAGAGCACACAAGCACTAGGATCCATTCAGAGCACACAAGCACTACGATCCATTCAGAACACACACGCACTACAATTCATTCAGAGCACACAAGCACTACGATCCATTCAGAGCACACAAGCACTACGATTCATTCAGAGCACACAAGCACTACGATCCATTCAGAACACACAAGCACTACGATTCATTCAAAACACACAAGCACTACGATCCATTCAGAACACACAAGCACTACGATCCATTCAGAACACACAAGCACTATGATTCATTCAGAGCACACAAGCACTACGATCCATTCAGAACACACAAGCACTACGATTCATTCAGAGCACACAAGCACTACGATCCATTCAGAACACACAAGCACTGCCATTCATTCAGAGCACACAAGCACTACAATCCATTCAGAGCACACAAGCACTACGATCCATTCAGAACACACAAACACTGTGATTCATTCAGAGCACACAAGCACTACCATCAATTCAGAACACACAAGCACTACCATCCATTCAAAGCACACAAGCACTACGATCCATTCAGAACACACAAGCACTACGATCCATTCAGAACACACAAGCACTAAGATTCATTCAAAAGACACAAGCACTACGATTCATTCAAACACCAGGGTCCATTCAGAACACACAAGCACTACAATTCATTCAAAACACACAAGCACTACGATCCATTCAGAACACACAAGCACTACGATCCATTTAGAACACACGAGCACTAAGATTCATTCAGAACACACAAGCACTATGATCCATTCAGAGCACACAAGCACTACAATCCATTCAGAACACACAAGCACTACGATTCATTCAGAACACACAAGCGCTAAGATTCATTCAAAACACACTAGCACTACGATCCATTCAGAACACACAAGCACTACGATCCATTCAGAGCAAACAAGCACTACGATCCATTCAGAACACACACACTACAATTCATTCAGAACACACAAGCACTACGATTCATTCAGCACCAGGGTCCATTCAGAGTACACAAGCACTACGATTCATTCAAAACACACATGCACTACGATTCATTCAAAACACACAAGCACTGTGATTCATTCAGAGCACACAAGCACTACCATCAATTCAGAACACACAAGCACTACCATCCATTCAAAGCACACAAGCACTACGATCCATTCAGAACACACAAGCACTACGATTCATTCAGAACACACAGGCACTAAGATTCATTCAAAAGACACAAGCACTACGATTCATTCAAACACCAGGGTCCATTCAGAACACACAAGCACTACAATTCATTCAAAACACACAAGCACTACGATCCATTCAGAACACACAAGCACTACGATCCATTTAGAACACACGAGCACTAAGATTCATTCAGAACACACAAGCACTATGATCCATTCAGAGCACACAAGCACTACAATCCATTCAGAACACACAAGCACTACGATTCATTCAGAACACACAAGCGCTAAGATTCATTCAAAACACACTAGCACTACGATCCATTCAGAACACACAAGCACTACGATCCATTCAGAGCAAACAAGCACTACGATCCATTCAGAACACACACACTACAATTCATTCAGAACACACAAGCACTACGATTCATTCAGCACCAGGGTCCATTCAGAGTACACAAGCACTACGATCCATTCAGAGCACACAAGCACTACGATCCATTCAGAGCAAACAAGCACTACGATTCATTCAAAACACACAAGCACTATGATTCATCCAGAGCACACAAGCACTAGGATCCATTCAGAGCACACAAGCACTACGATCCATTCAGAACACACACGCACTACAATTCATTCAGAACACACAAGCACTAAGATTCATTCAAAACACACAAGCACTAAGATTCATTCAAACACCAGGGTCCATTCAGAGTACACAAGCACTACGATCCATTCAGAGCACACTAGCACTAAGATCCATTCAGAGCACACAAGCACTACGATCCATTCAGAGCACACAAGCACTACGATTCATTCAGAACACACAAGCACTAAGATTCATTCAAAACACACTAGCACTACGATCCATTCAGAACACACTAGCACTACGATTCATTTAAACACCAGGGTCCATTCAGAGCACACAAGCACTACGATCCATTCAGAACACACAAGTACTACGATCCATTTAGAACACACGAGCACTAAGATTCATTCAGAACACACAAGCACTATGATCCATTCAGAGCACACAAGCACTACAATCCATTCAGAACACACAAGCACTACGATTCATTCAGAACACACAAGCGCTAAGATTCATTCAAAACACACTAGCACTACGATCCATTCAGAACACACAAGCACTACGATCCATTCAGAGCAAACAAGCACTACGATCCATTCAGAACACACACACTACAATTCATTCAGAACACACAAGCACTACGATTCATTCAGCACCAGGGTCCATTCAGAGTACACAAGCACTACGATCCATTCAGAGCACACAAGCACTACGATCCATTCAGAGCAAACAAGCACTACGATTCATTCAAAACACACAAGCACTATGATTCATCCAGAGCACACAAGCACTAGGATCCATTCAGAGCACACAAGCACTACGATCCATTCAGAACACACACGCACTACAATTCATTCAGAACACACAAGCACTAAGATTCATTCAAAACACACAAGCACTAAGATTCATTCAAACACCAGGGTCCATTCAGAGTACACAAGCACTACAATCCATTCAGAGCACACTAGCACTAAGATCCATTCAGAGCACACAAGCACTACGATCCATTCAGAGCACACAAGCACTACGATTCATTCAGAACACACAAGCACTAAGATTCATTCAAAACACACTAGCACTACGATCCATTCAGAACACACTAGCACTACGATTCATTTAAACACCAGGGTCCATTCAGAGCACACAAGCACTACGATCCATTCAGAGCAAACAAGCACTACGATTCATTCAAAACACACAAGCACTTTGATTCATTCAGAGCACACAAGCACTACGATCCATTCAGAGCACACAAGCACTACGATCCATTCAGAACATACACGCACTACAATTCATTCAGAACACACAAGCACTAAGATTCATTCAAAACACACAAGCACTACGATTCATTCAAAACACACAAGCACTACTATTCATTCAAACACCAGGGTCCATTCAGAGCACACAAGCACTACGATCCATTCAGAGCACACAAGCACTACGATCCATTCAGAGCACACAAGCACTACGATCCATTCAGAACACACACGCACTACAATTCATTCAGAACACACAAGCACTGAGATTCATTCAAAACACACAAGCACTACGATTCATTCAAACACCAGGGTCCATTCAGAGTACACAAGCACTACGATTCATTCAGAACACACAAACACAAGGGTCCATTCAGACGTGTTTTATATTTCCAGTGCTGCCAAGGAAAGTACTCACCAGGACCAGGGCTTCCCCAACATGCCGTACGGAATGTCCAAGATAGGGGTCACTGTCATGTCCTTCATCCAAGACAGAGAAATCAGGAAGGACTCAAGAGAGGACATCGTCATCAATGCGGTGAGGTCATGGCTTGATGGTTTTGATAACTGATTCCCTTACGACCAAATTGTTTATCATTTTTATCACGGACATATGTTGAGATGATACCCTGCAGTTGGAAAAGACAATAAGCGACTTCAGCACAAGGAACAAACCATTTTGTTTTGTCAACAGAACAAGAAATAAATTGAATTCTTTCAGACAAGTATCCCTAATTAAGTCGACCTTTACACAGTTTACATTTCATTATCTCATGCTCACTTAAATTACTCTTCATGAAGTGAACAAAAAAGTTTTTGTTTATATTTCAATAAATATATTTGAGTTGCTTCTGATACATTTGTCTGGATTACCAAGCAATTATGTCTGTGTTTGTTTCCATAAACTGTAAAGTAATTAGGCCGCGTCCACTAACATTTTTTTATGTTTCCTGATTAGCTGATAAAAGAATGGGCATAATTAATATTTTGTTTAATTATATAGCTAAATGTTATCACTGATTTCATATTGATGACTTCAGTTTGTTTGTGCTATTGATTAAAAAAGCATTTTGTGAAGTTATTATTTTTTACGTATTTATTAATAAGATTTATTTGTTATTTTGTTTGTTGCCCAACACTCAGCAATATTCCAGCTATATCATGGCGGTCTGTATAAAATTAAGTCTCAAACAGACAATCCAGTGATGGACATCATGAGCATCGATCTACGCATTTGGGATATGATGACATGACCAAGTCAGTGAGCCTGACCACCCGGTCCCGTTAGTCGCTTCCTACAACAAGCTGTTGCCTTTTACGGCAAGATATGACTTCAGTATGTCTTTGCATTCATGGAGTTTGTGGAATCACACAGCATGTACTCTGGTTTTTATGTCTGTATCTCCAAAACATCAAAAGATATTAAAGTCTACTGTGATAAAGTAATGATTGAATGCTGTTCATTAATAGTAAGAATAGTTAGGCTGTTTGCCTATTGCCAATGCTGTGTACATGCCGTTGGGTGTAATTTCATTTCTCTGCCATTTCGTTGCCGATTCAACAATTATATGCACCCGATTCATACTTTTTTATGTAACCACATGCTGTCAATGTGCTCGTGTTGACAAACTGCCATGCCTTGCCTATGACATTAAATGGTCTTGAATGACCACAGAGACTTCTTTGTCTTCTTTTGACCTATATAAAACTAGATGGTCTAAGAACTTGATTGACCATGTGAACAGTGATTATGCATATTTTATGGGGATATTTTGTTCAGTGTATATTTTGGGGGGATTCCTGTGGCAGAACAGATCCACAGAACAAGGGTTAACGTGGTGCAGACCTGTCTGTTATACTTCACCTGTTATTTACGGAGCTATGATAGTTAGAAAGAATGAATGTGATTATGGTAATTATCATGGTGATGATTGTGATGATGATTTTCAGTGCTCTCCAGGGCGTGTGGCAACTGACATGACCAGCCATAAAGGAACGAAGACCATCGATGAAGGTGACCTTTGTTCAAACATAACAAAATAGCTGAATTGGATTCTTGATTACCTCCAATGAAGGTCAAGGTCATCAGAAACCTTAATGTCAAAATCATGGAAGACATTTAAATTCAAGATAATACGAAACAATTTTCAATGATAAATTGTTCAATAGCAGTTTCTTCTTTACTTAACCTTTCAAGTTATGTCTTGGAATTATTGAAGGCTGCAATTAATCAAACCTCTGCCATTGATAATGATGAAATCCCTTATGCCTCTCCCTAATATATATCTTTTAAGTGCACAGTTTATAGATTTATACAACATTTATTTATTATTAAAGTATTAAATATAAAAGTATTTAATAAGTTAACAAGAGAACCAGAAAATATTTAAACAAACTCACTGTATCACATCCAAGGATAGGGCAGCACGGTTTTGAGACCATTAAGCTGCTTTAGTGATGCTCATGACCACCACATAAGAATTATCACTAAATAAAGGTGAGCTTCTGAACCTCTGGTATTTCGGTTTCAGATACCTCTCGACAGGATGTGATACAGTGTGGCTGTTAAATTCAGTGGAACATCTAGTCAATCATCTTGTTCTTTACCTTTAGGATTGTGGCTTGTTCTTCCAGGTGCAGACACCCTGGTGTATCTGGCTCTCCTTCCCCTCAACACCACATCCCCGAGAGGCAGCTTAGTCGCAGACAGGACAATCCAGAACTCGGGATGACCTCTTTCAATACCAGAAAGTGATGAGCACCTGTACATTAACACGACTACAGAGCTCCAGATAACCTTTTGAGCAATTGCGTGTTTACTCGAAGGTTTCTATTTTAATTGGGTTATTACATTTTTCATTGGGTAACCAATATTTTTTCACTCATCTATTCATCACTATTGTGGTTTTCCCAAAATGAATAAGCATTTTGAGATTTTTAAAAAATGAAATAATGTTTTAGATGTATATAACGGTTCTAACTATAGGCTTGACTCGGAAAGTAAATTAGCTTGTAATTGTGTTTCTGAAATTAGCTCCGTTGTACGCATGCTGAAAAAGCTTCATCGGGCATTTATGTGTGCTGTTTTCAAACAATTGAGTTTTCCATTTAATGCATGCGTTTCTGTACGCAAGTTAATTGAAAGTATTTGGGCTTTGAATAGTTTTTGGGGGTATTTTACGTAAATACAACTTTTCTATAGCTCTGTACTATAATGTGTGTCATGACTTGAAGGCTTCTACACAGTGGCAACACGTGGGATATGTTATAAGTTCTTATGTCATTAGATATTAGGGGGTAGAGTAATTTTGCATTAGCAGCCAAAGTTTACCTCAAGATACATTGCTGAGAGAGTGGGGAGGTTGGGTTTGAGTGGGATGTTTAACCTGCACTCAGCAATAAGTATTTTAGTGATGCCACTCTGTGGTAGCTTAACAGGGAAGTCTATGTAAGATCATGGAAGTCTCTCGAGTTGGGAAACACAACCCAGGAAAATCCAAGTGATGCATATGATAGATGTCAACCACATTGGTGAAAGCCCATCTTCCCCGAGGCAAGAAAGTCCAGTTTCCACCCTTGTCGAACTAGGCTGGAATTCCTGGTCTCGATCGTAGCTCCACCAGTGGCTATTACGAGTTGTGTCCCTTCTATGCCTCTCCTATGGACCAATCAGATTTCACCTCTCGTATCACTTCGTATTTGCTTCAAACAAAATGGCGGCGCACAGTCAAGACGATCTAATCAATAATCAAGATCTATAATGTAATAAAACGAGTCTTACATCGCTGGATTAAAAACATGAAAAGATTTAGAAAATATCTGTTGACACATGCTTTGCAAATCTTGCAATCGACCGGAATCTGCATAACAGTTAAGGAACCAGATTTCGATTTCGTTAGTCCAGCCAAAATGTAACTCCGTAATACCAGCCTTGTTCGGCAAGGGTGGAAACTGGACTTTTATAGTCAGTTAACTCTCTTGCCAGGAGTACATCAGTATGGTGATGACAAAGGGGCAGAGACTTCTAATTGTAATGTCTGTGGTAAGGTCATAGAGATATTGCTCAACGCACGATATTTTAAAGTTATTATTGACTGTGGTTTATATGGATAAGATGCGTGTATATGTTTGCTGTGAATGCAGATGTTTATATGGAATAAAGAATACATGTACTGTTATGTCCGGTTCCTTGTCCAGCAACTGTTCACACAACATTCTGTACGATATTTTGGTAGGTTGGTTGGTTGTGTAACGCCGCACTCAGCAATATTCCATGATCCAGCTATATGACAGCGGTCTGTAAGTAACGGAGTCTCGACCAGACATTCCAGTGATTGATATCATGAGCATCGATCCACGCAATTGGGATACGATGACATGTAAGCCTGACCACCCCGTTAGTCGCCTCTTACGACAAGCATAGTCACCTTTTACAGCAAGCATGGGTTGCTGAAGACCTATTCTACCCCGGATCTTCACGGGTCGTATGACGTTTTCAGTTCAACTTGCCATGATCAGTGAGACCATGTGTTGTTGGTCTTGGTCTGTGATCTGTCAATCCATCCGTCCCTTTGCAACTGACAATATGTATTTCTTCATCTCCAAACTACTGAATTTATCAATATCATTTTCTCTTAACATATTCTACTTGTCACCGGCAAAACAAATTAAACCTTTTTATTTTGAAAAATGAGTGGTGAGGCACCTCGTCTGGCATCCGCAGGTGTTGCGTGCCAAATCTGTTTGCACCCTAGGTGCATTTTCCTTACCGAATCTTGCACAAAAGGACTCTGTCTGTTCTTGAGTACTCGAAGGTGATATGGATTTGGGAAGTACCGGGTAGGTGAGCTATATAGGAATCCTTGGTTATTCATGGTACAATGAAACACTGCAGGGAGCATAAACCATGAGGGGCGCTGCCCCGAGTTGTTTGTTCTTTCTGCAGTCTGTTTTTTGTTTTTTTTTACGATAAACAACGACCACGACTTCAACATTATGTACAGCCTTTTTTAGGGATGATAAAATGTACAAGCTTTAAAAATACTTACCTGTATTTAAATAATGATGATTCCCTCAATAGAATCCGACCTCAGCAATGTCGGACAAGTCCATTTTATGCACAGGTGGGTACTTCCCGCATATTCTCACAATCTTCACTCACTCGATTACCTGTACCTTTTCTCCCAATACCGATGGACATATCCCTCTCGCGTCTGTATGCGATCGTTCGGCCATCGCGTTTATCTGCATTGCCCAGCTTCATCTATGGGGAACAACTCGGACACTCCCCTCTAAAACATAACGTCGTCCAACATAATACGCCAAGTTGCGAGCGCATGCTCGAATCTCTGGAAATGACGTGATAGAACAATGTTTTATCGTGTAATAAACCGAACTTCGTTCTTCACTGTTCTTTGCGATTTATTACGTATCTATATGGTTTTGGTTTGGTTTGTTGTTTTACGCCGCACTCAGCAATATTCCAGCTATATGACGGCGGTCTGTAAATAATCGAGTCTGGACCAGACAACCCAGTGATTTACATCATGAACTTCAATCCACGCAATTGGGATCGATGACATGCATCAACCAAGTCAGCGAGCCTGACCACCCGATCCCGTTAATTGCCCCTTACGACAAGCATAGTCGCCTTTTACGGCAAGCATGGGTTGCTGAAGACCTATTCTACCCCGGATCTTCACGGGTCGTATCTATATGTATCTTATATTGTTTCAAATATGTCATCTGACCAAAACAAGGGTTTCAAAATTCTAAATATTTCTTCTATGAATGTCTGTCGCTGTTCCCGCACCTCCGTGAATGCCGAATCCCAGTAGTGCTGTTCCTGAATCTAAAACATTCACCCGAGATTCAGTGATAGAAGCATTCGTAAAATGCTAGCCACCCTGGTGGTCAATTTGTTCTATGCGCGCTTTCACCATACACTCAGATTTGTTATAGAATTCAATTGAAATCCATAGTTCGTCCCTCATGTGGAGACTATTTGGACTGGGAAATAATGGCATATGTGAAGCATTTACGTTACGCACGATATGTTGTTTGATGTTTGAAGACACGCAGTCAGCATCCTGGAGCCGAACGATATCAACCATTAAGATGGATTTACCCTTTGAAAGATTGTTAAGTTGCATGACGGCTTGTCGACTGATGAGCGCTTGCGTGTGAACTACATATTGCAAATGTCAACACCATCAGAGCTGCCATAATGGAGCAGGCTACGACATCACCGTTCGGATGCGGTTCAACAATAACCCAACCAGACCCTCCCGTGGTCGCGGTTTACATCGGCTCAGAAAACTTCAAGACAATGTGACCGTTGAGCACAAACCTGGATTAACGGCAAATTCAGTGAGTGAGTGAGTGAGTGAGTGAGCGCAGCTTAAGACGGCATTTCATTTATAGTTTGTTGTTTAACGTCGCACTCAGCATTATTCCAGTTATATCACGTGTCAGCTTAATGTGGGAGGAAAGCCCGAAGTGATGCAGGTCTCAGACGTTTACCACTTCGGTGAACCCACGAGCACGGGTATGGTGCTGACAAACCTAGAAACATAATTGGGGCGAACCGGGATTCAAACCCACAATCATATGTTTCTGGCGTGCCCAAGGGACGCAACTCTGCACAGCGAATCGCGGCACCTTAGTCGACTGGGCCAACCGTGCCCCTAACTGTTTAAGGCAAGCATGGGTTGCTGAAGACCAATTCTCTACCCCCAGCTTTTCACGGGTTATTTATAAACACGGTGTGGGGCGGTGGTGTAGCCTAGTGGTCAAAGCGTTCGTTCGCCCGGTTTCGATTCCTCACATGGGTACAATGTGTGAAGCGCATTTCTCGTGTCCCCCGCTGTGATATTGCTGGATGACTGCTAAAAGCGGCGTTTAACCATACTCACTAAATCACCCGCTCTCAATAACGTGGAGTGTCAGCTTCACACAAGAGGAAAGCCAATACTGATGCAGATCCTTGATATTAATAACATTGGTGTCAACAAAGAGCACGAAAAACCATCGGATTCGAACGCACGACCGTCGGCTTCTGGCACGTCAAAGGGACGCCACTCTACATGGACGCAATTTGGCACATGTATGATGCTGACAACCCAAGAATTATTGCTCATCGAATTGCGGCGCCTTTGACGACAATGCCCCTTGCACAGACTACAACAAAATCAAACATGACACAAAACCTATTTTCAACTGAAAATACATCTTCAAAGTCTGAAAATGAAACTGACATTGAAACCGCGGATATATATAGCCTTTTACAAAGACATATGTTTGTCCGTGTCTTGTACATAACAGAGCAGCAATACATGAGAAAACATGCTGCAGTTTTTGTCTTTTGTTCGAACCTGTTCCGTTCTCATATCATGTAGCTATCTTGATCGCACGGGATTCGATGGATCGTGTCTAGACCAGTAACTGCGTTGTAAACGAAAATGGAAAATCCCCGATATCTTCATTTAATTTCCCAAGTGGTCCACATCTTTTCTTGATCCACACCAGACAATTTCATTTCGGAGTTGTCTGTTCAGAGATCGCAGCATGACTTCTTCGTCAGTGAGTGATTACTGTGTCGGTGTACTGCACGTGTAGTTCGTGCGCACGGGCTGCAGCTGATCACGTTCTGATCATGAATTGTAAGAAAAACATGCTCAACTGGCAGACGAGAATTGGCTGATGGTGACGATTGAGCAACAGACCGATCCATTGTGCCATGGCACTTGTGAATTGTTTATGAGTAAATATATGGGAATGTGCAAATCTCCTTTTCTTAAATAATTGACGAAAACGTCCCCAATTCCAGAAAAGCTAACGGAGCATTTAAACAGACCAGGAAAGATGTGGTGTGTTGAAGCTCATTTTTGGCCAACTTGTTTGT